ATTTTATTATAAATAATTATAAAAAAGTATTTTATTTTATAAAATAAATTATTAATTATTATAACTTTATAAAAATATAATTTAATATATATAATATATTATAAAATTATATTTTAATTAATAATTAAATTTATAATTTTTTAATTAAAAGAATTAATAAAATAAAATAAATTATAAAATTAAATTTTAAAAAAGTTAAATAATAAACTTTATTTTAAAGGTATAAATAAATATTAAAATAAACTTTAAATATATAATAAATAATAATAATAAATAATTATATAAATTATTTATAAATTAAATTTAATTTATATTTTAAAATTTATAAAATTATTTATATTAATATATTATTATATTAAATTTATTTTTAAAATATATATTTAATAATAAAATTAAATTCTTTTATTTAAGCTTTTATTAATTATATTCTTAACTTTTATTTTATATTTTATTTATAAAAGTTTATAATAAAGTTTTTATAAAAGTTAATGCTTAATTTATATTTAAAATATTATAATTTAATTTTAAAATTTAATTTTTATTATATAATTTAATATTAAATATATTAATAAATCATTTAATTATATTAAAAGTAAAATTTTTAACTTTGTTTTATATTAATTATATGTATTAAAATAAATTAATAATAAATATATTACAATTAAATAATAATATAATAAATTTATTATAAATTTATTATAAATTTGTTAAGGAATAATTAATATTATAATAAATGCCTTAAATATTAAGATTTATAAATTAAACTTAATCCTTATAATAAAATAAAATTAAAAAAACATTATTTTATTAATAATTAAAAGCTTTATTACTTTAAATTATTATAAAATATATTTCATTACTTAAATTTAAAGAACTTTATAATATTTTTATTAAAGCTTAATAATTAAAATAATTAAAATTATAAATTTAAGCTATAAATTTATATATATAAACTTAAATTATATATTTATTTAAAGAAGTTTTTATATTCTTTATTAATAATATTAAATATTTATTAATAAAAATATATAAAGAAACCCCTTATATATTAAAATTCTTAATTTTAAATAATAAGTAATAAAAAAGAAAATAAAGAAATTATTTAAGAAAATAAATAAAGTTTTTAAATATTAAATAATTTAATTAATTATAACTTTAAAACTTTTAATTAAGACTTTATTAAATATAATAAATAAATCTTATTACGTTAAGTTATTATTATATATATAACGCTTGCTATATAGCATGCAGTTCTTTTGCTTATTATTTATATTAAAAAAACCATGCTTAAGGCCGGATAAAAACCAATATACTTTCTTCTTTTTAATTAAAAGCTTTTACCTTATTTATTATTAACATATATAAAGCTAATTACTCTTAAATCTTATAATAAATTCTCCTTTATTATTAATTCCTTTAAAGGCTACCTTTGTTAATAAGTAAATTCTTATAATAACCTAAGTTAAAGGTTACTATTCTTTGTTAAGAAGCTGCAGTTACTTTAATGTAATATTACAAAGCTGCCTTTATTAATGCAAGGCTTTAATATAAGCTAATTAAGAGCTATTTAAAGCCTTTTAATTTGCTAATTTAATTCTTTTTACTCTTTATAATAAGGCATTTAACGCTTATTACTAGGGCGCGCTAACTTATAGCTTATTATTTATTAACTTTAATAAGGTTTTTTAAGCTCTTTATACGGGCTCTTTAGCTAAGGGTTGTAAATAAGCAAGCTATAATTTATTAATTAACGTTAAGGGGAAAATTCTTAAAAAAGGTTTTAATAGCTATAATAAGGTTTAAATCTATGCTTTTTATAAAGAAAGGTTAAATGTATTATTAATGCGCCACGCAGCCTTTATTTAATATAAGTAACTTAAAATAATAAATAATAATAAAGATTATTAAATAATTATTATAAATATTAAGTTTAATAAGTTTTATATATAAATTAATATATTATAAAATATATAAATTATTATAAAATATATTATTATAAAATTAATATAATAATTTATAAATGCATTATAATTAAAAAAGTTATAATAAAATAATATAAATTAATTAATAAAAGGAAATTATAATTAAAAATATTTAAAAGTCTTTTAAGAATATAAAATAATATAATTTACAAATTTTATATAAGTAATTTAAAAGATTTTATTAATATAAGTAATATTTTATAATTAAATATAAAGATAAGCAAAATAAAATAAAAGTTTTAAATATTATACTTTTAAGTAAAATATTTATAAGAATTAAAAGATTATAACTTATAAAAAAATATAATTATAAGAAATGCTTTTATTATTAAGGATTTTAAGTTATTATATAAAAATATAATTAATTTATATAAAATAAAGTATAAAAATTAAGCTTTCTTAAAATAAATATTCTTAAGATAAAAAAGCTGCTTTATATATATTTATCTTTATACTTTTATTAAATGCTTTTATATTATTTTTAAAAAAGCTTATTTAAAGTTAAAATTAAATTTAAAAGTTAAAGAAAAGATATAAAATACTTTTAAAAATAACATTAATCTTTAAATATTAATTTAAGCCTTTTAAAACTTATAATTTAAATTAAACTTAAAAATATTAAAATTAATTATAAATAAATACCTTTTAAAATACTTAATAATATTAAATTTAATAAATATAATTTTAAATATAAATAATTATAAATAATTAATATAATTATAATTAATATTTATAATAATTATATATAATTAAGGAATTAAAAAATATTATTTATTACTTATAAAATAATATAATTACATGGTATACTAGTTATACATTTAGCTTCTTTCCATAAAGGGCATAGGTTTAAACCTTATCATGGTTATTAAAATCTTTTTTAGGAATTTTCCCCTTAATTATGCTAGCTCTTTACAACCTTATTAGCTAAAGGGCTATATATAAAATACTTAGAAAACTTTATTAAAGCTAATAAATAATAAGTTATAAGTTAATATATTTTAATTTAAAAGCGTTAAATGCTTTATTATAAGGGGTAAAAAGAAATAAATTAATAAATAAAGCCTTATATTAATAAAAGCAGCTTTATAATATTATATTAAAGCTATTATAGCCCCTTAAAAAGGAATTAATAACCCCTTATTAAGTAATTATAAAAATTCCGCTTTTAAAAAGTAGCTTTTATAAAAAAGGTATTTATAAAAGATAAGAATAATAAGGATAAAGTAAAAATTAACTTATTATTTAATTAAGGATATAAAGAAAATAGCTTTAAAATAAAGAAATATATAGCATGCTAATTTTTACTTAACCTTTTTAAGGTATAGTTTTTTTAGCATGGGCTATAAGTAAAGGGATTGCATATTATATGGTTCCTTTAGCTTTAAAATAGCTTAAAATAGCGTAAATAAATTCTTTTTCTTCTTTTTTTTTATATAAAATAATATTTATTTAAATAAGCAGCATTATAATATACTTTAAAATATTGTTTTATATTTAAGATTACTAATTAATATAGCTTTATTAAGATAATTGTAAAGAAAAACTATATTAAAAATAATAAAATAAATTAATTCGTTATTAATTTATAAATATTTATAAGTAATATATTATTAAATATTAATAAAATAAAATTTAAAACTTTTTTAATATAAAAAGAAAAAAATATTTTAAAATTATTAAAAAGAAATTACTTATTTATAAAGTAATTATTTAATATAAATAATTTAATTATTAAAAATTAAAAGCATTTAAATACTTAATACATTTATTTTAAAAGATACATACTTATAATTTAAGTATAATAAAATATAAAATATGCGCTTTTAATATAATTACGTAATACATTTATTAATTATTAAGGAAGATTTATAAATAAATAAGTAAAAAGATTATATTTAACGTTTTAAATTATAATTAAGGAATTTATAATAATAAATTATAATTCTTATTAATATATAAAGTTATTAAACTTACTTAAGATTACTGTTTTATAAATTAAATAAAATTATATTATTTAAAGTATTTAAGTTTTTTTATATAAAAATAAAAGTTTAATATAAGATTAAGATTAAGATTATTAAATATAATAGCGAAATATTTAATTAGAGATAAATTATAAAAAAAGATTTAAGTTAAAATATATTAAGATTAAGCCTTTAGCATTAAATATTTAAGCATAAAATAATGGCGTTAAATGCTTAAGGGGTGTAATACATGCGGGCCAAAGTCCGCCACAGGCCTCATCAGGTGGCTTTGCTATCAACCAAGGTAAAGATGAAAATCAAGCTCATCTTCCAGCAGGCGATACTCGGCCGAGAAAAAGGCAAATGTTCCGCCCCAAACGCGGGCGCAGCGTTACAACTCGACGGGCAGCTGCACGACGCGGTGGTCACGACCCTGCCATGCCCAGCAATAGTCCAGCTGCTGCTCGAAAGGGGCGCAGACCGGCAATACACGCACAAAGACAGGGCTCTGAAGGAGCCAAGTTCTTATTAGGAGCTCTCGCCCTGGCAGCGTCCATGATCGTGTACTGCGAGAACCCGAGCCAGGAACAGGCGTGGGAGCAGGGGATTGGGGCGAGGCTTTGTGTGATGCGGTGGAGACCAACCTGAAGCTGATGAAGCGGAAGGCATAAATATTTTAGGAGTGTATGTGTGTGTGTATTTGGTAACACTCGTGTTGGTCACGCATCGTCGCTTGTGACTAGATACGTCAATTTCGTCAACGGGTTTTCAGAGCGCATTTATCATGAAAAAAGTCAGGCCAAACAAGAAGGCAAATAATTTCAGTGAAATCCTGCTGAATTTGCTCCGTGGATGATTGCGTAAAACCCACATTTCAACGCATATTTTATGATACGATTGTTGATACTTCACTGAGCCCAATCATGAAAATCCATCTTTTGAGTCATAAGCTAATTAAACAAAGAACAAGCTAACTCTGCTACCTTGGACTGGCTATGGCCCAACGAGTTCAAGACTGCTATGGAGTCGAGACACAATCGTAGTGTAATTAGGTTCATTCTCAAATGTTAATATGCCATGGCGGATGAAGAAATCGAGAACTACCTCACCATTAGCCGGTGTGAACTCGCCATTGGCGAGTGCCTCCTTGAGCTGGTCGATTGACATCAGGACGAACCCCTCGGCTTCACCGTCCCCAGGTACTGGTATCAGGTCGGCTGGAATCTTCATCTCATACGTGAACCGGATCTCAGGACATATGACCCCCTTCTCTCCCTTGCTGCGCTCATCCGTCAGACACAGATAACTGATGGCGCCCACGGCAGTCGCCGTGCTTGAGGTCAAGCTGGTGTCGAATGAAGCCTCCTCGTTCGCCTCCCGGACCAGACACTCGAATGGAGTCTCTCCAAGGATCAGGCTGCCGCCGACGGTGCTGTCCAGCATTCCTGGGAATGTGCGCTTGGTCTGCGCCCGTCTGGCTATCCACACACACAACCCATCGTCCTTCCCTGTGTAGGCCAGTAGCTGCACGCCGTAGGTGACGACGCCGAAGAGAGGGGCGGCGATGCGCTCGATGCTGAGCACGACATCGCCTGTGGGGCCGTAGACGGGGCAAGACTCCCCGGTCCACAGGCCGAGAAGGTGGAAAGTCCCCTTTTCCTTCTCCTGGAGCAGTGTTTCCCGGAGCCACTGAGTTCTCTCGCGTTCGCGGTCTCCTAAGAGCTGCCAGTGGATCTCTCGGGAGTCATGGTCGACCTTCCAGCGATCTTCTTGCCATGTAATGGAATGTGCTGTTTCTTGGAGGAGGTGTCCGTATATTCCTGGCAGTCCGGCAAGCTTGAAGCTGTACAGCAGCTGGGGATTTGGTGGTGATCTGCCTTGAACTCAGAAGTGGCTCAGAATTGCAGATCATAGCACAGAAGACGGAGGTACCGGGAAATATCAGATTGGTGATCTTACTGGTCACAGTCGTCGATGAGATCAATATTTGATTTCAAATGCTTGTTGGCCATGATTGAGAACACAGTGTTGACGGCCGATGATGGTCGAACGAGTCTGGTTGAATTTCCCTGAAGAACGAGGCAATGAACTCAGTGTGATTAAAATGAGGGTTAGTCATGGGTCAGACGAGGCGTTGCAGTGAGTGGCTGGTCGTTATGAATAGCAATCTTGTAATTTCAGCTTGAGACTAGACGAAGCCCAACTCATTTACGACAGTCTCTCATGAATGTTGAAGTGGGGATAGTGCGTGACTCTCGAGGAAAGGAGGGTCAATATCGATTTCCTGATCAGTATTCACCTGATGGAATGAGGCCACTTGGGCAAAGCCTGGGAATGATCATCGGGCCTTTCTGCCGCGCTTATGCTGCCACGTTAGTGCGTCCATATGCTTACCATTCCATTCAAAATCAACTAGATAAAGTTGAGAAACTGTCAAGGTAGGCTTGGTCGAGCCATCGGGTTTCTATACATCATTGTGCATCGATGGAGGAAGTTTTCACTGTCTCAAATATTGAACCAGGCATTTTGGTACTAGTTTTCATACAGGTTTAATCATAATATGGTAGATACGGAATCCAATTTGACTGATGATCGCTTTCAACATCGATCAACCGCGCGTAGATTTCATCCGGTACCTCCTGTTGAATAGGTCACGACCAGATCAAGGCCCGCGAGCACATGCAACTTCAGTAGTACGTGCGGCTAACAAACTCTATCACCCTATCCTCTACATCAAAAATGGCCAAAACGTTCTGAAGGAAACTATTACCGAGGACATATGGTCCTGTCCACCCGCAATCGGTGAAGGCGGCGAAGCATGACTGATCCTGAGAGGCGGTCAAACGACCCACCACAAGGCCTTCAGGGTTCAGCCAGAAGGGCATGCCGTTGATGTCGACAGCGACGTCTGGGGCGATGGCGTCACAGTCGACGAAATAGACACCGTAGGTGGCGTTGTACTTGGCTGGTGGGATGTAGGCATCTGCAATGTAATTTGCGGTGTCTGCGTGGGTGTTAGAATGAAGGTCTTTTGGCTGCAAGTGGTGGGTGGTATTAAAGTGAATGGTCTAGAGGGCTGTAGAAACAGGCTCATCAGTCGGTACGCAGTTGAAAGGCGTGCCGCTGTCGATGTTGTATGCGATTTTCCTATCATCGAGAATGGCATCTTTGAATTGCCAGCCGTCTGATATGATTGTGTAGAATGAATAATCTGGTGGCAAAGCAGGTTCATCATCGACGATCGCCTGGAAAGAACAGCGGATGAGTACTCCATGTACCCTGACCAAGTAGGCAATTGGAAGAAGTGAGAGTCACTCACAATAATGATATCTGTCTGTATGGTCATGTTCCAGTCGACGCCCGGGACGTCGTCGGGGACTCCACCAAAAGCAATCACACCTCCGTTCTCGCCGCTCCCAGGCCTGTTGAGCGCGAGGCTGAAACCCCCTTGCATAATCCCCTCTTCGATCATATTGGAGATGACAGGAGGGTACAGGATTGGATCGGCCCGAATACCCGAGTCGGTGAAGGCTTTGGTGAGCCCGGGGTACGCGAGCCCCAACACCCCGGAGCTGGGCCCGCGGCCGAGCCACCGTGTTGCGTTGGTGGCGAGCCCGACGGTCTGGTTCGTCACGCGTAGTCCGCCTACGGTCACGTCCATCAGGCCGAGAGCTCCGTTGACGGTCTGGTTGCCCCAGTAATCTGTGCTGAAGTGCAGATGCTCAAAGGTCCCCAGGGGAAAATCACCCTCAGATGGAGGGCCGAACACACAGAAGTCATCTCTCCCTCCAGCACTCTCCTCGTCGCCGCCCGTGGTCTCTACGCACTGTGTGGCCGTGGAAAATGCCCAAGTGTCGCTACTCCCTGTGTCGAGGACCAAAGTGAGCTCCTGTGTACCGAAAGTGACGTTGACGCCGTACCACAGGCCGTGATTGAGGTCTGTGATATTCTGAATTCCGTCCCAGCTGCGGACAACACCTAGGCTAGTGGGAGCGCCGGACCTCCCAAGAGGTCTCCCAGTGAAACGATGCAGGGAGTAGTAGTTCTGGGTCCTCTTGAAGTGGTCTCTGGCTCCTCTCTCGCCCCAGCTCTGGGGAGCTGCGGGTTCATGTCCGGACGATTTCCCAGGAAGAGGAGTGGAACCCGGAAGACGAGCCTCCCAGAGTGAAGTCTCAAGAGGAGGACGTATGGATGGTATGATTGCGGCACCAACCAAGGCAATAAAGCCCGTTGTTGAAAGTAGTTCAAGCATATCACTTATAATTAGGAAGAAGGCCTCGAGACATGGGCACATTCACGATCTGAAGACAACTACAATAGCTTGGATGAAATATCCCATGAGCGCTCCAACAAAGACACTCGAACGAAGATGCATTCTCGACAAATGCACCCTTGGGCAAGAGGCTGGCGATACTGAATCGAGCGGGTGCAACCGACGGAAAAGCTCAGGCGACACGGTTGGTGATGATTGCTCGTTGTTTCCTCCTTGCAAACTAACATTCAAACTCGCACTCGCTTGTTCCCGTCGTCGTCTCGCAACCCTTAGTACCACAGCGAGTGCTGATGAGCACCACCTTGGCAGAAAAATTCTCATTTCCCCAGGCGCATTCAACCACGGAATCTCCGTAGATACTACGGTCTCGAGCCCTGATGGCTTGCAGCTGGCCTCAGCCGTGAGCACGAAGGCACAGCGTGCATTATAAGCGATGCTTACGTGCGCAAGCAAGCGGGAAGGAGGTTGCGGTGAGGCTCACCAGCCCGTCCGTGAATGGTGCAGCCGGCAGCTGAAACTCAAGAACCCTTGCCTGATCTTTTTGCACCGTCGAAGTAGCCCGCCCCGTCAGCTCGTCGGTCCTCCGCGGCGTGACACGGGTGACGGTGTCCATGGTCATGTGGTTTGCATGAGATGACTCCACGGCTGACGAAGCAACAACAACAATTCTTAGGTAAATCCGCATGACACGTCGGAGTTCAGAGACAGCATCGTTTTTGCAGTAGCCCCGGCTGAGTTGAAGATGCCGCATGGTTTGTTTGTGCGTCCCCGGCGGGAGGGTGCGTTACATCCCCGTCACCTCAGGAGATTCGTTGCCCGATGTGCCCGTCCTGCAAGACATTGAAATCTCCAGTTACACAGATTTGCGCATGACCTTGCATGGATATGGCGAGAGCCTTTTCCGTGCCCATAAATTAGCCGCATCTAGTGACTTTTCTTCCAGATCGTCGGGACGCGATCGGCTAAACCGGGGTATGTGTGTGTGTGTGTGTTTGAGGCATCCATCACGCGCTCAACAAGCCCGGGTACGCCCGACGACATCACGATTCTCCCCGGGTATCTTGGAAGACAGATCACTACGCAGATCGACGGCGGCTGCTGCGGGAGATGATCAACGTGGCGGTGACGTGGTGCCCAACTGCACACGTAGGAGGCTGTCATGCACGACCACCTGGCTGAGACACAGGCCCGTAGCCTTTGGGAAAAGAAACACGAAGCTGTCAGACTTGCAGGATGGTTGTGTCTATTGTTACCCACGCGGGCGGATAAGTGAGGCTTGAGGGAGCACGTAGATCCGGCCCGTAGTGGAAAGGTTGTCGCACAGCAGGGACTTCGTGCGACTTGCTGTCGCCACATACACACGCCATCTGCCGTGCGCTCCCGGCTGCTTTTTGTTGGGCATGAGAAGATGTGGCAAATGACAGAACCGAAACATCGAGCTCGTGGCATGTCATACTTGCCTTGTCCTCCAAAAAGATCTGCGGCCCAAACGGACGCCATCGATAGTTATTTGCCCAGGGCATGGGGATGCTACATCACAGCATAAGTAGGCTCCGAGCTCATCAAACACCGATGCCAGGATTCAGACAGAAGCCTAGAAATTGGCTTCTGACTGGCCGCGGACTCCGAATGTCGAACTGCATTGATTTGAGCCTTCTAGAAGAGAAGATGTCAGCTTTTAGCAACGCAGTCATCAGTCGTCCGGAGCCTCAGCCAATCTCTGGCCTGCAGGCTGAACAAGGACATGATGTGTGAGGTCACCGGAGGCGCGAAAACCGCTTGTGCTTGGCTGCATCTTCGCGTGGCAAACATCGTTGACTTGTTGGTAGGTATGGCCATTGGAACGGAAGTCAGACACCTTGACTCCAAACTTGAAGTAGGAATGATGTTTTCATATGTCGACGCTGGAAAGGAAGTGTTGTTGCCGAGGTATGAAGAGCTGCGGTTGTTGGAGGTAGTTCACTGTGGGGCCACGGAGCCGCGGCCCGGAGGGCATGTCAAACCGCCCGCCTGAAGACGTTTGGCCGGGGCCCCGATGGGCCGTGATCTTATCAGACCGTCAACGAACGCCGTACGCCAACCTCAAACGAGCAGCAGAAGCCAATTTCTTTATCATGGCCCATTTTTTTCTTTGCATTTTAGAAGCAGTTTGATAAATTTTTGGTGGCCTTGGTGGACTTCTGCCCGGGCAGACCTGTATCCCACCCAGATCATTGTTCACCAAGCGTCAGCTCTAAGAGGGCGAAGGAAGACACGGAGTGCCAAGGGCCAACAAGCCGTAGGATTTGCCGCTTGTTGAACCAACACGCCTTAACCCAGCCTCTACATAGTGACGCCTCCGCGCACATTTCTCAGCACCAGAGACAGCTTCCAATTGCACCAAATCCTCTCGACCTTCTGCAAGCCCTATACTATGGCAGCCACAGCGCCAGCGTCAGCGCCAGCCTCGGCGGCGCAGGGAGGCCTGCCGGGCTTCACCAAGATATCCAAAGTGGTGTACCTCTACCGCCCAGCCCAGGACGGCCAGCAGCGCCAGGCCCGAAAGTCATCGGCCTCCTCCTCCCCATCATCGCCGAAGCTCATCGTGCTCGCCGGCTGGATGGGCGCCCGCGAGCCACACCTCGCAAAGTACACCACCAGGCTGCAGGCCCTGTACCCGGACTCGCCCATCGTCGTGCTGCGCTCTTTCGTCTACCACTTCACCACCAAGGTGTCTTCACACCCCAAGGAGGTCGCCGCCGCCGTGCCCGTGATCAAGTCCATCACGGCCGAGTACGCCGAGGGAGAGGAGGAAGACGGCAAGCCATCTGTGCTCGTCCACCTCTTCTCAAACGGCGGCTCCGCGGCCCTCCGGCACCTGCGCGAGCAGTACGCCGCCACGGGCCAGCGCCTGCCCCGCCACGTGACGGTTTACGACTCGGCGCCGGGGCGGTTCCAGTGGCAGCGGAGCGTGACGGCCTTCATGGCCTCCGCCGCGCGGATGGCCGCGCCGGCCCGGCTGGCGATGCTCGTCGTCGTCAACTGCCTGTTCGCGCTCTACTGGGCCGCCCATGTCCCCTGGGGCCGCCCGGGCTACCTGGACCGCACCTGGCTCGCGCAAAATGACCGCGCGGCCAACGCGGCCGAGGTGCGCAGGGCGTACATCTACTCCGACGAGGACGCGCTCGTGGACTCTGGTGATGTTGAGGAGCACGCGGCCTCTGCGAGGCGGAACGGGTTTGTGGTCTCGGCGCTGGAGAAGTTCAAGGGAAGCGCCCACGTTGCGCACGTGCGGGTTGACGAGGCGAGGTATTGGAGGGTTGTCAAGGACACTTGGGAGAATAGTTCCTAGATCTCATGAGAGTGCATCAAGAACCGCGTCACGAGGGACCAGAGAACTCTTTTTGGGAATTTTCCTTTGTCTCCTGCTCCTTGTAGAATCTAATTTATCCTGAGAGCCGGCGTGCCTGCCTGGGTTCGTACCACTAAATCTAGAGAGATTGCGATGCATCTAAGAAAGCCCCAATGTAACCAATGTAAATGCGAGTAAACGAGAAGTGTTCATATAGTCGTTAATGTCGTTATTCGTCCCACGCCCACCGCATCGACTCGTGAGAGCTCAACCTAACCCCTAACCGCCCCACCAGCCACAGTCCACCGGTCACCAAGGAAGACCCCGTCATCATCGAACCTTCCTCCTCTTGCTGGCGTCATGCCTGGAATAGTGGCTGGAGCCTTTGCTGCTCGAGTGAGAGCCGCTGCCCGAGCTGGCGGCGCTCCCACCTGAGCCGGCGGCGCTGCAGGCTGGGATCAGGAGGTCTTCGTTGTAGGGCTGCTGGTCGTCGGCAAGGCTCATTGCGTAGCTACACGAGGCGCACTCGAGGGCCGGGTCGTGCTGGTCCATGTTGACGCCTCTCCTGCAGTCGCCGAAGCCGCCATTGTTCTTGGCCTCGAGACACGACACGCTCTGCTCGAGCTCGGGGATGGTGTAGTACTGGCCACAGCGGATGCAATTGCCCGAGAATATGACCATGCGGCACATGGTCACTCTGAGTTGATATGGCCGTGCGTGCGGTGTAGAAATGGGATGCAGAGACTCTTTTGGTGAAACCTGTTTTTTCTCTTCCTACTCTGGGTTTTTTGGTTCGAGTGGAAGATTCTTCTCTCCTGGAGCATGTTGTTAGTTCTTATGTCTTTCAAAATTTTCGGAGAAAGTAACATGGTTCACTTCTGTAAGCTTACAGGATGAAGTAATTTTGTTTCTCCGTGGTCAGTGACGAGCTTGTACTGTGCCGCGGTGTCCTTGTTGTTTGGGTTACCGAAGGTTTGGGTCGATGGATAATGCGCCGAGATGGAGGTGGGGCTGGGTACCAGGCAGCTGGGACGGTCGAGTTGGGATGGAAGTAAGGTTTTCCTGGGAGCTACTACAAGTCTGGTCGGGAAAGGAGGGGCGGAGCACGCCTTTTTGAATCCTCCTGTAAAGTGACATCTGGTGTAAGACGCAGTAGATGTTGTACAAAGCAGAAAGGGAAGTCAGTGAGCGAGCGAGCGCATGTGACGGGAGGGAAACAAAGGAAGGCAAAGAGAGAGAAGAGAGGCAGTGGATAGTCCAGGATGAAGACGTGAACCGGGCCCGTTTCGGCGACCGGCTTCCTTGGGCCTTCTAGCCCCGGGCTAGCAATTCTCGGAGTCGAACCATGTCCTGTATGCCCAGGTTAATGCTCCGGGCATGGTGTGTCTCTGCAGACGTGGGTGTCCACTGGCAGGACAGCCTCCTCGTGTGTACCAGCCGAGAGGACGGTGCTAGAGTGCCGTGGTGCCGTGTCAGGCTGGCTAGTTCCTGGGCTCGGGCTGTCTGGAGTCGCTGCAGACTGGGATGGCAGTCTGGGACGGGAGTCTGGTTGTCCAATTCATGGATAGCTCTTCTTTGCCCATCTTGTTCCTCGCTACTAGCGCCGTTGTTGTAACCCGGGCCCGCGATTCGTCAGCCAGCGAAAGAGAAGAGGCATATGCAGAACCTTGATTTGTCCGTCAGCAATACAGGTAGATACTGGTAAGAGGTACTTTTTGGCACCATCAGAATCTGCAATCCTGTCTCAGCCGGGCCCAGTCCTCTGGGTAGCCCATGCCAAGGCTGGCGCCACCCGCCCTGGTACAGCCCCAGGGACAGGGGCTCGAGAGCTGAGGGGGAGGGGGCCAGCAAACATGCAGTGTACCTCGACCGTGTCGACGGCCAGCTTTCGAGCTTGGGGTCCAGCAGTGCAGCCGGCCTGCTGGTTGGCGGTGGAACTACCGCGAGTGGTCGGGCACTTGCATGCCATATGCGCAGCCACGCGCAGCCATGCAAGTGTGTTGTGCTGTGCCGTGATGTGATGTGCAATATTTATTTGCGTCCCAAGGTTGTGTGGTATGCTGTGCCATACAGCTGCCACACAGTGTGTTATGTGAGTGGCTCGATGCTGGTGTGCTGGCTGGATGGCGGGCTGGCCTGTCGGGTCTGTCTGGTTGGTGCGTGCGCACTTGCTGTGTAATCAAGACGTGCGGCCGTTGGCTCCCAAACTCGGACCCCAACCTTCAGCTGCCTCTAATAAGCGAAGACGGGAATATGCAGACCAGGATCCCGGGAAGACCACTTAGAGGTCCTGACCGCGTGCTGCGCTGCATAATAACTTCCCCGACGTTTGATTGTCATGATCGCCGTGCTCTGCATGTCGTGTTGAGCCGGGCGAGGAGAGGTCGGTCGTCCAGCATGTGTCTGTCTGTCTGTCTGCCTGCCTGCGCCTGCAGGCAAGTGTGGCGCTGCGCTCGAGAAGCAGCCAAGGTGCGCGGGGAAAGTGGGCAGGAGGGCAGGAGGGCAGGAAGGACCCAGGTACTGCAGGCAGGCAGGAAGGAGAGACCCAGAGAGCTGGGGAACCACCGAGTATCCTTCGCCTCGGTTCAGCCAGCTCCTCTCTCCTTCATCTCCACCATGTGCCTTTTTTCTTCTTCCTCCCCCTCTCTCCCACCGACCGCGTTCCGGGGGCCAGCAATGTCATGCATGCTTGTTATGCGCGCTAAGGGAAGGGGTGCACAGAAGGCAACGTCACAATCAAATCAAATCAGATCAACCCCTCTCCTCCCCTCCCCAAAATCAAGCCAATTGAGCGGCCTTCTTGTCCTCTCCCGGCAATCTGGGAAGGATTCACTAGACTCTGCCTAATTTTTCCCAGTTGGCTGTCCCTCACATGGGAGCTAGTCCTGGATGGTTCCTCTGCCTCGGGTCCCATCCCCCCGCCTCCCATTCGTCGGCCGATGCCACCCGACGCCCCCTTCTCACCACCTCACCCCGACATAGCTTCGATCTGCCTTCGAGAATCACTTGGCCGATGCCACTGTATCGGGGCTATTCGACTCGAAGCCGTAGCACCGAAGCCCATTCCGAGCCTCCTCCTGACTCTGCGTTGCGACTCCAATATCAACACCGCCATTTGGATATCTAAGCGGCTGTTTAGGCTGCGTCATCTCTACGTCTGGGCTGCTGCGTTGGGACTGGGCAGGAACCCAAAGGCCCCCACTTCGACCCCGACTCCCACATGAGCAATGCAGCATGTTTCTGGCGGCGTACTCGCAGCCGTCTGCAAGCGCCCATTGGAGCCAAGAGTCCACGCGCGTCTGGGTTATTTCCGCGTGCGTACAGCCGAGTTTGTCGCGAGATCTTCACACTGACGAGCCAGGCAGCCAGGCAGCCGGGCAGCCCAGGGCTAGTCAAGCAGCAGAGAAGAGACATGTCGTGTGGCACCATGACCCTTGCAACTACTTCATCAGGGCTTGCATCAAGAGAAGCAAAGTATGGTCCTTTCGCTCCCACGAGCCTCTTGCATGATCCCGGCCCAAAAGCAGTAACGACTTTCACCCATCCGTCTATCAAGCAGTCTTGGGTCTCGGCCCCCATGGGGGCGAGGAGGGCAGGGCACTGCGCAAAGGCTCGCCTTTGAGGCCGGCCACATGCCGGCCATCTTTCCCCCACCGTGTCGAGTACCAGGAAACCGTACCGCACAAGCACCGAGCTTCATATTGGAGCCTGTGAGCTTCCATGGTCCCCGCCCCCGTGGACGTCAGCATAACAATCGACATCAGCACGGCTGGAGCCTAGTGACGATGGCTTACTTGTCTGCGCGCAACAGCCAGACAGACAGGTGTCCATTTAGATTACATACCAGCCACACAAGCTTCAACCTGTGATCGAATCATCAAGACGCCGAACAACCCGAAATCGTATTCCATTCTTCGGGGTTTACTCTTCCTTGCCACCAAACCACAGGCTTCTGTCGGGCTCGGGGGCCGCCTTAGCTCGCGCCTTGGCTCAGTTTTCGTCGACGTGGTTTCTGGACCTTGAATCTGGCGTAAGCCAGCCACGCGCCGGCTTAGAACGAGTCCAACGACCCGACTCTCTGGGAACGGCGTCTCGGGCGTGAGCCGTAGTATGACAAGAGGCAAAGCGCCTCCCGGGGCCACTTGGGGCTGGAGGGGGTCACAAGCAGCAAGCAATCTTTTAGTGCCGGATCTAACTCTCGAAACGCCTCGAGCTGCAGGGTGTCGTCGCACATGGCGTCCTGCGATTTGTTCCCCGCGACGGTCTGAAGCAATAGTCTAATGCGAGCATGGGCTGGCTTGGCACTGTAAACTTCTCACCTCACTCGAGCTTCTTTGCCCCAGGACAGGTGGTGAGTGGTGAGCTATATCCGGAGGCCGCTATGTACAGGGCCACCCTTTTTACCCTCTCCTTTTCCCTGCTGCCGGTAACGCAGGCGGTGACGACAACAACACCATCACGCATACGCGATCTTGAATACCCAACCGAACTCCTCCGATGATAGGGCCTCGGCCGAGACATCAATGGCCAGATACCCCTCCGGCGACGTCTTCCACGATAGGTCATTCACTCCCGTGGCGTTCACACCAACCATCGAGATTGTGTCTCCCTCTAGCACCGGAACTGTGGCGTTTATCCAGACGTGCCCGTCGTCCGCAACACCCGGCTGTTCAAGGAAGAGGACATAGAAGGCCTCATCCGTCTGTGTAAATCGGACCTCCTGCGGGCTAGCAATCTGCGTCTGTACGAACCAGTACGTGGTGTTGAACACAGCTTCGGCGTGGGCGTGTATCCATTTCCCAGCCTGACGCAGATTAGCCACCTCTGCCTCGACGATCGTCCCATCTGCTCGCGGCCCAATGTCCAGTAGGAGGTTCCCGTTCTTGGCGACCATGTCCACGAGCGAGTAGACGATGGTGGAAGCATTCATGTAGCTTTCTGCGGGCGTCTGTGCGTTGTACCCATAGCTGTACGGGTCCATACCCTGGTTCGACTCCCACTTATGCCTCTGGGCCGACGAGTAGGTGCTGTACTCGGGGGTCTCGAAGTCTGCGGCCTGGGCTACACCGCACCGACTGTTCATGACAACCTGCCTGTCCTGGTCCCGCGCCCAGTTCCACCACTCCGAGGCGAACTCGGCTGTCTTGTTGGCCGTTCCGGCATCGCACCACACTTTTGGATTGGAAGTCAGCAATTGCCTCTTCTGGAATACTTTGTGATGGGAATTTGTCCCAGTTATTCCAGGGCTCTTTATCAGTACATCTCGGACCATGTGGCCCGGTAGGATCTCCTGTACACGTAGCAGGTTTCCTTTCCCATTGGGAAAGGTGGAAGGATTTCATCCCTGCTGGAACCACTTACTTATGTCTGAGCCGTACTTATACGCGAGAGTTTCCATCTGAGGATACATGAGGTCCTCGACAAAGTCCCCGATGGGCAGCTTGCCGGTATATGGCTCAGTTAGATTTGTAAAAGGGTTGGTCGCCGGGATGCCCACCCAGCTCGTCGAGCTAATGGTGTCATGTTGGACGAAACCATAAGGGCCAAAGTCAGAATTGTACCACTCCGGAAGTGAGAAGTAAGTGCCACGCTTCAGCGTTGGCTGGTACGTGGCTGCGGCGTCGAAGAGCTCCTGGACGATGTCCCGCCTGGGGCCGTAGTTGATCGACGACCGGTTCGACGTGTCGCCTGCATCGAACAGCGCAAAGCCGTCGTGGTGCTTTGTCGTCAGGACGAAGTAAGTGGCGCCCGCCTCGGCGAACAGGTCGACCCACTCCCTGGGGTCCCACGCGGCCGCGGTGAAGTTTGGGAACCCGTCGTCGTAGTTCCAGTCCGGGCCAAACGTCTCGAGACGGTACCCGTAGCTGTCTGATTTGTCCGCGTGCACGAAGTGGTTGTTCGAGTACCACCAGAACCACTCGGCATACGTCTCGTTCGGGGCAACTCCCCCGTACCCCGGCACCGCGTAGGGGCCCCAGTGGATGAATATGCCATACTTGGCGTTGTCAAACCACTCCGGGGACTCGTGCCTCGCGAGACTGTCCAGGTCTGCGGTGAAGCTCTCAAACCCGATGTTAACCCCTGGGAAGCTGGCTGTCTGGTTGGAGCTGGCCGCCCCGGACAGGGTGACGGTCACAGTGGTGCTGTTGGCGGACCCACTGACGCCGACGTTGACGCGCTTCTGGTCGCCGGGGCAGAGCCTCTTTACGGACCCCGTCTCGGCGGTGCTGACCCCGAGACCCCCCAGCGACACCGTCAGCCCGGAGCCCGAGACGCACTCGCCCCCAGCATTGTTAAGAGTGATCTCGACGACCTGGTTCCCCGCCTCGGTCCACTTCTGCGTGGGCCGCACGCTCTGGACCTCGACCGCCGCACCACCGCCTGCGGCGGCTGCCGCCCCGCCCACGACGAGGGACATGGAGAAGACGTGGACCCTGCCCTCGGTGGCATTGTCGGCGACGGGCAGCCGCACGGCCTCGAGCATCCTGGTCGGGTCCAGGTAGCCCGTGAACTCGAAGACCTGGCTCGTGTTCCAGTCCTTGCCCTTCGGGGTCCAGGTGAACGGGCTGATGAGCTCGCCGTTCATGAGCGTCAGCCAGCTGAAGAAGGGCAGCGCGCGCAGCTCGGCCTCGGCCTCGGTGCCGTCCGCGTACAGGTACGTCAGCGAGTGCGAGGCGATGGCGTCGCGGGCGTCGTTGGCTACCAGCATGCTGAGCGAGAAGGCCCTGCTACTGCTGCTGTTGCCGGGCCCGGCGGTGCCGTTGCCGCTGCTTGGCACCGCCACCGGGATGGTCTGGCCCGAGCAGATGAGGTTGTCCGGCTCCAGGGGCCCCGTGTAGCTGGGGAAGTCGTACTGGACGCCTGTGCTCTTGGACGTGTAGATGCCATCCTGGGTGAGGTGGTTCAGGGGTGGGTAGGAGCGGTTGAGGGTGTTCTCGAACGTCGTCTCGTTCGGATACGTGCCGAAGGCCTTGTTGTTGAAGTACGGGGTCAGGTCGATTTGCACAGAGTGGGCCGCGATGGCTGCACTGGCAAGATACAGAAGGCCTGCCAATGCTTGGGAGGACTGTCCCGTGATGTGTTTCCTCATCCTGACCGTCTGTCTGCTCTCGGTCTGGCGCGGGCTCGCTCGGCGACAGTCGAGGGCGAGCGGGCGGTGAGAGGAGACATGGCGTCGCATTCATATTGCTATATTGTTCTGCTTCGCGGGAATTGCTACCGAAGCGCGACTGCCTATCATCCAAGCATCCGGGGGTGGTATCGTTGCCGTTGCCGTGGGCGGCGATTGACGATACCACGATCCAGCCGACCTCGGGACGCGTGATAAGGTGCCCTGATGTGCCGAGCGAGGTCGAGGCCAGCGACAGGGGCCGGCCCGGCTCGTGGACGCTTGTTCCTGCGGGCTGCCAGGGGCCGTTCGACTACTGCGGATCCTAGCAACTGGGTCATGTTCTAGCCCGTCAACCTAGGTACCAATGCGGAGGAGATAGCGGTGGGAGCAACGTTACCTAGACGTTCCTTCGTTGGCCTAATTAGCCCGTTGAAAGAATTGAGCAGGGGAGGGGCTTGTTCTGGAGAAAATTGTCCTTGGTCTACTCGATATCAGGTGATAAATTAATGAGACCTGCTGGAATCATTTTACGTCGCCGCGATGGCGTCCCGACTACTTGCGAAATTGTAGCTTTCCTGCAGAAGGCGCGATCCGGTCCTCGTTTTCGAGTGGACTGATAAGTGGCGGGTGGGCAAGCCACAATTTAAGTTTCTGTGGTCGCAGATCACTAATCTCGTACCTGGTCTTCGAAGATATTGTGCCATCCATTTATCTGCATCAGTGGCTTCTGAACAAACGATTCCGCGAGTCTGTTGAACTTTTTTTTTTCTTCTTTTGGTTTCTAGATGCATCGTGAACATCCAGGAATCTATCTATAGTTGTCCTCAGACATAAGAAACCACACGCTCAAGAGCGTTTGGCACGCTCGCAACTCGTCTGCATCACGGCCAATTCCGACGGAGGTCTCGTGGGCAACGGCTGCTGTAGGGTCCCTGGCGACGGCAAGGGTACCAGTTCGACCTGTGACTCCTCGTGCTCGGGGACGTTGTGCGATCTCACTGTCCACTCTGTCTTGACCTTTATGTGCTTCCCAGACGAGTTCAGTCTCCCAAAGGACCACTGCTTGGACCCGCCCGAGATGCCTGTGTAGTCCGACTTCTGCTGGGTGGTGCCAAACACCTTCGGGAAGATGGTGGCAATGAGCGAGCGGATGGCGGGCATGCACGCGCAGATCACCCCGACGGGCACCTCGATCGTCGACCAGTAGCCGACCTCGACGTAATCCTCTGTGCCTGGTTAGACAGTTTATCACACTCTATGGGGAAGAGTGTAGGCTCACGTGTGACGTTTGACGTATTTGCGTATTTCGCCAAAGACTGTAGTCTAAGAGCACTAACAATGGTAACACTGGAAAATGGTCAGCCGTCTGATTCCGGGCTTAAGGCAGCAGCACGGGGCAAAGTCCTTACAAGAAACCGACGCAGAACATGGACAAGATCTGGATCTTCTTCCGCAGCGACAGAGAGAGCCCAGCGAGTTCCGGCAATGGCAATATAATGACCGACAGATCCAGCACAAGGTTCAAGGCAGCGGCCATCCAACCTTGCATGTTGATATCGTTACATGTGGCCTCGAATGTCTTGTCCCACGCAAGCCACGCACCTGCTATCGGCCTGCACTGGAAGATGGAGATGACCTCGAAGACAATCAGATAGGCTATGTTGAAGCCGACGAGAACCCAGATGGCGATTTTGACCTCGCGCTTGGGAAAGATTTTGAGGTAGAACAGGAGGATGGAGATCTTCGTGACGGGGAGGACGGCCAGGTAGACGAGCTCGTCCCAGAAGTATAGCTGTTTCTCTTGGTTAGCCTTGAGTCATTCCAGCTGATCTCAACGGTCGTGGACACAATTCCGAAGGAAATAAACCTGGCGATGTTACTGACGTAAAGAATCTTCGTGATATTATCCGGCTCAACTTCCCACATGTCCTTTCCTAGCCCGTAATTGGCAACTGCACTCCAAGTTAGCCCGCCGCCCAGCAAAAGAGCCAGTGATATTGAAAGACGTACGAGGAACAGATAGAACCGCCAAAGGTATCATCAAGACCTGTGGGAGTCAGTTGTCGGTCTGTGCAAAGCGCCAAAACAAGGGTGAGCACCTACGACTGCAACAGTCATGACCCAATCTTCAGGGCCCCAAGTTGCATGTGTACCCACGAACACGCGAGACGCCACCCTGAGGCAGAAGGCTATGAAGCCGAGTATGCCGAACACGATGCCGATGATCCATACCAGCGCCGTCCGGTCTTCGCCCTCGACACCGCATGTGTGTTTTGAGTATTTCTGAGTGGCTGCGCAACTTTGTCAGCGGCTGGGCACGAAGACTGAGGTGTCACATAGCCGGTACGACACGATAGCCCGAGATGATTATTCCAACCAAGCAGAAGACGACATACCAAGCTGGTCCCTAACACTGCAGCTTTTTGCGATGCAAGCAGCGGCAGCTAGGTTGAGTTCTTTATTAAGGCAGATGCACGCCGTGTCTGTGAGACCGCAAGTCGAGTGCTCCGCTACCGCGGTGACAATGCACTTAAGCTGTCATAGGTAATGAATTATCAGTATCATGTGACGGCCTCGAACTTGTGTATGCAAGGAAGACACTTACACCGCAAGCTGGAGCAGAGACTGCGCTGTCGGCTGCGGCTCCTAATGTGATCTGGAATGCTGCTAAGAGCAGCACCCCGATGGAGAAAAGCTTCATGCTCGTGTGTGGGAAGCGAGCCTCTGGTGTGACAGCCTTAAAATTCTCCGGTCAAAAATAAGGTGTTGACAAAGACCCCTATCACAGCATTTTCATAAGCACTGATATAAAGGAGTGTGGGAAGTGAAAAGGCGGGATGCAGAATTTCTGGAGCGGCGTGGTCATAGGCAATGTAAAGGAACGCCAAGTCGTCGCGCCGTTATGCACATTTTGTGAACTGGAGAAGCAGATCGACCGTCGAGCGAACCCGGCTGCGCCATATCCAGCCTTGAATTCGTGTGCGATGACATCTCAATGTCCAGGGATCTGGGCACATGGCTAACAGGTACCCTTGATAACTTTAAGCCCCGCAGTGGATATAACGATCACCCAGACCCGCAGGCGTACATGCAACGCGTGGGGTGGCCCAGGCTGGCATACAGTATGAGAAAATGAGGAAACCTGCCCCGGCCAACTTTCTTTTTTACTGCTACCTTGAGGGCACACCACAAGGGACAAATTGTGACCCTGCAGTTGCTTCCGTGTGGTGGCCTCCACGTCCCGGGCCCATGAGCTCCTCTCCTTCTCGGCGCTGGCCGTCGTCGATCTCAATCGTGCGGTAAATGTCCCAAGTTCGGACCTGCCGGGGAGCGCACGGAATCGGTTGACGGCAAAATGGCATTACTCGCTTACAGCGATGGGATTCCAAGATCGATTTGGCGACTCGGGCATACAGATGTTGATGTTGTCCGACCCGAAAATGCAGTTGACGCTTCTGCCGTGATTTTCGAAACCCAACGCCAAGCCAAGTAATTTGTCTACGGTAAGAATCGTTGTCTGTCATCACTTGTCACTTACTCGATAAGCCGCGATAAAATACGGCTCCTTGCTTTCGAATATGACCTGTTCGGCCAGTGTTGCTAGAACTCTTGAGGCGCGTGTTGATCGCAAAGCAGACGACTAGTAGTAACCATGAGATCAAGGCGCAGGCCCGTCACTTGCTCCTCGACCACTCAGGCTCTGCCACTGTACCCAATTTTGCCAACCCAAAGGTGCCACCGCCGTGGGTTACCCGTGGGGACTGTGAGATCTTGCCAAGAGGGCCCGCAGGTTTCCACAGCACGACCGGGGACAACTCGTGGAACACTGGAACAGATCTCACCGGTTTTTCTGATGCGCAGACGTTGTTTCATCGCGAGCCTTGCTTGTGATCAATTCTAGTACGGTAGGCAGGGTTTCAAGGCGAGTGGAAGAAGATGACCTTGGATGTCCCTGTTAGAAAGGTCACGACTCAGATGCAGCAGATTGATGGCGGCGGCCCAGAACTTCTAGAATAGTCCTTCTACCGGTTTCATCGCCTGGAATCCCAGCTCCTATTCCCCACACACGTGGTCGCGCGAATCATTAGAACATGAGGCTTGGCGGCCTGCTCAGCAAGCTGTTCCCTGTCCGCACGTTGGAGCGTTGTGACATGCAGGGCACAGACAACGACGCCTTCTCCCGCGTCCGCGTGCCCCTCCTGCCCGACAATTTCACCCCGAACCGGAGCGTCGGTGGCCTCGGGCGCGAGCGCCTCGAAAGGTTGTATGTTCAAGAAAGAGGAAACGGCCAAAGTTTGTTAAGCGAGTAGACCGGGGTGTTAATAACGCCAGACCAGTGGGTCAAAAAGGGTCCGGTGAGGCCTAGCTTTGGCTCATTTCCTGGAGTTGACGGTCGAAACACTTGTGATATTGCTATGTCGCACTCGTTCAACATGATGGGATTGAGGTTCTGCAACCATGTCCAACCACTCTGCTACAGAGAACTCTTTCTGCCTCACTTCTGATGTTGCTAAGAATGCCGGTTCAAACCCTTTTCCAACCGCCTTCGACGTAAATCGAGTCATGTAGACGATTGCCATTGTTTAAAGGTCTGTTTGTCATGATATGGTATTCCTAGACTTACACTTCTTATGGCACGAAGCTATCGTGTTGGTTGAATTGAAGGATATATGAGAGTAGGCCCGAACATGTCTTGAGTGGACGCGTGAGTGCTGGAAACCTCTACTGACCCTGATAGGCCATGGAACATCCTCTATCACCTAATTGGGACACGACAAAGTGGGCATTCTTGTATGTCCTGCTTGGCTGTCTCTTTCCGGAGGTTTGATTCCTCTCTTTTGGTAGCGTCTCTCCACAGCTGAACCTTTTCTGGACGTGCTTCTGTCCCACGCCGCATAAGCAGAGCCATGCAATCTCGGGCATCTGTTTTGACTTGCGATGAGGCTCATGATGGCAACTTTGCGAGCACGTCTCACCGCTTGAACGAGGAGCCACGAATATGGGGGATATTGAGATCGGCGAATCCGTCCCAGGGACTTGGGAACCCTTGCCATGCTTTATGGCAAATGCCGAAGTGGAGACCTCGTGGCAACCCAGCATTCGTCGCAATAGCAAATGGCCGAACGGGGAACGTGCTAGCTCCAAAATTGCGTGGGCCCCATCTCAATCTGTATCTTGCATCCCCATAACAGCCTGGATCTGCTGGGACCCGGCCGCTATTCGACAGAAGAGCCTGGTTGCTCAAAAAATCTTCTGTGGATGCCGATCTGATTCGATATGTGATTGGAACAAAACCAACGAAACCTTCAGGGGGAAGTGGCAGGATGCTTCAAGCTGAATACCACCCTGGTTCTCCGTTGAGACGGGGACAAGATTTCTCCGAGACGTATCTTGCCTAATCAGATACGTGGCATGGGCCAAGCGAACTTCATGTCCATCTTAGTACATAGAAGTGTCTTTGAGCAAATTGTCTGCCACGTGCACAGACATACCAAAAAGGGCCGGAACTCTTTGCCTCGCTTATAACAAAATGCTGTCCTATTCTCCTCTTGGTCCACACCTGGGCAGATTGTGTGCTTGTCGCCAACTGCCGTACCTATACGCACTAAATTTTATATCCTTGCGTAGCTACCTTGGCAGGTCAAGAAGATCACAGTTAGGGGCAAGTGTAGTAATCGATGACTATCAATGTGTCAAGCTGAAGTCAAAAAAATGGTGGGTATGCAGATCTTGGACCCGGTATTGTCCAACCCCATATTCACATCAGTTACGACTCATGGCTTGCCGTTTTTGGTCGCACTAACCCGACGAGTCAGCCAAGGCCCAGGACAAAATTGGACCGGAAGGGGGCTTCTGAGCTCTCCGGGGTGGACTGCACTGTCCCCTACTCACACTGTCCACTATGTTTGGTTATACATTTTACCCCTTTAGTCTATCTCGCCTCGCTTTGCCGGGAGTCGTCCGCGATACTAGGGGTCTCGCTTCGCACTTGGCAGAATTGCCGTAGTCGATCGTCAGGAGGATTCTAGGCGGGGAGCTGGAGGGGGTTTAAAGTCCCAAGAGACATCGTGATCTTCAGTGAGGTAACAACGTCCACGTCAAGAGCGGAGTCCCAACATTGTAGTCAGGGGGTTGTACGAAGAGTGCGACCTGAGGACGCCTCCATCGCGGATGGACATTTCCGGCTCTTGCCCCCACGGTCGCCCGGGTATTGATGAGACTTAAGCCAGCACTCTGGCACCTCTGTGTTTGCGCTGGCGATCAGATTCCTTTTGAACTGTAAAGAGGAATGCCAAGTTGATTCACGCAGCTGGGCATCGCACCGCCGCCGGTATTCACGCTCTTTACATGCTTTGACACTCGTTTCTTGACACGCCCGACCCATTGTCTCTCCTTGCAGGAACCACATTCTTTCTATCAGTCAAAATGCGCCCCTCGGTAGCCTGGACTGTTGTCTGGCTTCTGGCTGATTCTGCGCTGTGTGTATACAAATTGCTGTCCGACGTGGGCACTCCGTGATGATTTGCTAACGTTTGACATAGCGCCGCTCCTTGGTCAGCCAAGAAGCCGCAGCGTACATTCAATCCTTACCTCGGCCGTCGTGACGCTACCAACGCCATGGATGACATCTACGACTATGTCGTCGTGGGCTCGGGTCCTGGCGGCGGCCCTGTTGCGGCAAACCTGGCCATAGCAGGACACAAGGTGCTACTTGTTGATGCAGGCGGCGACTCGGGGGACGATCTGATGGAGACTCTTCCGGCCTTGCATCTCTTCTCGACCGAGTTCGAGGACACGAGATGGAACTACTTCGTGAACCACTACTCGGACCTCGACCGCCAAGCCAGAGACTCTAAGATGACGTACGAGCTGCCCGACGGGAGCTTCTACGTTGGGCTTGATCCACCCGAGGATGCTACTCCATTGGGAGTGTGGTATCCTCGAGCTGGTACCCTGGGCGGTTGCTCTCGCCACAACGCTCTCATCAGCATCAACGCACATGACAGTGACTGGACTTACATCTCCGAACTCACGCAAGATTCCTCTTGGAGCCCGGACAGCATGCGATCTTACTTCGAGAAGATCGAGAATAATGCGTACTTGCCGAGTAGCATTGTCGGACACGGATTCGGTGGATGGCTTACAACCTCTCTCACCTCCCTTTCGCTTGTGGCTGAGGACCGGAAACTGCTTTCCCTCATCCTTTCCGCTGCCACGGCAGTTGGTCGAAACATCCTCGAATCCGCAATCACTACCGTCACTGGTCTGGCACATGTTCTCCTGGAAGATCTTAACGCTCCCGGTGAGACGAGCAACACCGGACTGTACCAGGTGCCTCTGGCCATGAAGGACTCTGTCAGGGGTGGTCCACGGGACTTGATTCTCGAGACGGCAGAGGCAGTGAACTCTGACGGGTCTCGCAAGTACCACCTGGATATCAAGCTGAACACATTGGTAAATAGACCCAGTCCCATTTAAAGTAACGGCAGTGCATTAACCATCGATCAGGTCACGAAAGTCCGCTTCGACACTACCGGAGCAACTCCTCGCGCAGTTGGTGTTGACTACATGGAAGGCTCATCACTGTACCGCGCCGACCCCCGATCAGGATCGGCTTCTGCGACTGGACACGGCAGCGTTGACGCCAAGCGGGAGGTCATCCTGGCAGCTGGTGCCTTCAACACGCCTCAGCTTCTGAAGCTCAGCGGCGTCGGGCCAAAGTCAGAACTGGAGTCGTTCGATATCCCCGTCTTGGTTGATCTCCCTGGTGTCGGAACCAACATGCAAGATCGTTACGAGGCCACTGTCATCGGCAAGACAGACAGCGACTTCGCCATTACCTCCAAGTGTACCTTCTTGCAGAGCACACCTGATGCCTGCCTCGAGGACTACCAAGCCGGCTTTGAGCCAGTCACAAAGGGCGTCTACGCAACCAACGGAATCGCCATCGCCATCACCATGAAGTCCTCCGTTGCCGAAGACGAGCCGGATCTGCTGGTCTCCGGGGCCCCGGCCAAGTTCAAGGGTTACTTCCCCGGCTACGCAGCTGACTCCCTCGCGGACGCTCAGCACTGGGCCTGGATCGTCCTCAAGGCGCACAGCAGGAACAATGCCGGAACAGTGACGCTGAAGTCTACCGACCCGCGCGACATGCCCCACATCAACTTCAACTACTACGACACGGGCGTCAACGCCAGCAACGCGGCCGAGAAGGACCTGCAGGCCACGTACGAGGGCTTCCAGTTCGCCCGCAAGGCCTTCGAGGACATGATCCCCCTGGACGGCAGCTTCCCCGAGGTCTGGCCCGGCACCAATGTCTCCAGCGAGGCCGACGTCAAGGACTTCCTGAAGGACGAGACCTGGGGCCACCACGCGTCGTGCACCTGCCCCATTGGAGCCGATGATGACCCCATGGCCGTTCTCGACAGCAGGTTCAGGGTCCGCGGCACGGAGGGCTTGCGTGTTGTTGACGCCAGTGTCTTCCCCAAGATTCCTGGCTTTTACATTGCACTGCCTCTGTACATCGTTTCTGAGAAGGCCAGTGATGTTATCATTGAGGCGGCGAAGGCTTCTTAAGCTCCAAAGACAACATGATATCAATCACCGCGTCCGAGCTAGCGTTCTCTTTTTTCAAGACCAGATACCCTCTAAGACAGAATAATGGCAGCTCAGAAGCGTACCACAGCCTGTCACCTTAGCTAGCATTGATAATATCCAAATAATTCGGACACCTTTCACGTTTTGCCACGTATGATCTGTTGCCGTACCGAGCTTTTGTGAAAATGTCTTCTCTAATTATTTCCAATCTCCTTGGTGAGCCCAGATGAGGCATTGCAGATCTTTTCAAGCAGGAAAATAAAATCCTGTGTGGTCCTTAGAAAGGTCCGACATTTCCTTGTAAGGCTATTCAAACGCCGTTACTTGTTTCCATAATGAACGAGGACGTAGATGGTAGCATACTGAACGCAACGCGAGACCATGGTTTGGGAGGTAGTAGATATATACGGGAAGTGAATGCCATTTTAGTTCCAAATAGCCTCTCGTAAATGTACTAGAAGAGGCAATTTCGATGGAATATTGGTTTTTTTGGCTGGGTCATGTATTCGAATACGCAGTGGGTGTTGTGGTGGTGGTTCGCATTAGCGTGCAGAGGGGAGGGTTGCAGTGTGTGCTGCAGCCTTCTCCGTCTGGCTATGTGCTATCGAAGGGGCCACTTACACGCACCCATCTATCTACGTACATACATACTATTTATTCCCACTGGTTCAAAGCGTTAAATCCTTATGGTTCATTACATCTCCACAGTCCGAATGGTACGGGGTACAACGGGGCCTGAATCAAGTGACCAAAGCCCTTGAGACCAGTGCTTTCCGTCGTCACCGTCACCAACCAAAACACACCGAACCTGGACCTGCCTTGCACAATCAGCTTCCTTCCCCAGGCATACATGCTATGCGGACAGCCGCCATCTCGCTACTTCTACGTGAGCACAAACTCAAGCGCTCATGCACTTCGGGACTGTGCGCCAACTTCAAGAATTGCAAGGAAAGAGTTGGGCACACGGAATTCCGGGCAACTTACTGCATGCCATCGAATGCTAAATGAGGTCACAAGCCATCAGCCTCACTTAGCACCTGCCCATTTACCAGTGTGCACACGCACAGGTTGTTGCTCGAAATTCCAGCAACCCTTTGCTATTTCTGGACTTGCTCCCTTTTACACTTTCATCAGCACGCATATTTCTTCTGTACGTGCCTCATTTCATCCAGAATCAACAGCATCACGATACCTTACCCACATACACGAAAGATGCCAGAATCAAGGCATTCCCGATCGGAACGCTCTGAGCGAGATCCCTCGGAGCGAGATCATCCCGAATCAGATCACCCCGAGCCAGAACAATCCAAGTCAGATCAGGCAGAGTTAGATCAATCCAGTCCAGATCGCTCCAAGTCAGCCGGCTCCAGGAAACATCGCTCCAAGTCAACAAACACCAACGGCCCCCAACGAGGGGTACAAGAAATCCGATACAAATTTGACAAGAAAGACCGGAGACGACATGTCCGACCATACATAGAATATGTCTTTCCGGACGGCCAAAGGTATTATGAGCCCTGTACCGAAAAGGATAACGGTTGTGTGGAGGTGGAGATGGAGCCGGAAATCAATGGAATCGTATGGATGTCCCGATTGCCGATCAATTTCATAAGCCCAACGGGGGCTTTGGTACTTCCACTTGGTCAAACAGGGGAGCAGCCCATTATGCTCTATTTGCCTGACTACGAGCCAAGAAAATTCATGCTTTCCCTTGGCCAGTATCCTCAATTCCAGCCTCCGCAAGGCCAGGCGTTTCCACAGCACCCCCAACCCGGCCAGATTCTTCAAGATCCAGCTCTTCCGAACGAGCTCGTTTTGAACCAGCCTGCTGCCAGCTATCCTCGCCAAGTCTGTCCTGTCCCGGGCCAGTACCCCGATGGCCAGCCTCTTCCAGGCCAGTCTCTTCCGCCACAGAACCCGCAACAATTCTCAGCAGAGGCCTCGCACCCACAGCCACATAGCGCCAATGATCAACAGCATTCCCAAGGAATATTCCCATTCGAAGTACCCGGTCAGCTCCAGGCAGGACCGATAACCCCAGTCAGCCTCTTCAATGATAACATGGCCGATGAGGCACAAGCTCGCCAGGTAGGTTATCAAGATGAAAGGAGGCCTGTTCACCAGGTTGCCAATCAGCAAGTGAAGAGCATTGCATTAACTTCCCAGGGTCAGCAGTTCGTTCATCAGCAAGGCGCGGGACCTTCATTCCCTCTTCTACCTGACCAGATCTCATATCAGCAAGGCGGAGAGGCTCCATATCCTCTCCAAGCTTACCAGGTCGACTATCAGCAAGCCCATGGTGATCCAGCCCCTGCCCAAGTTCCTGATCCATTCTTTGGAGGATGGAATATTATGCCAAACGAACAGCATGGCGATGAGTATAATCTGAACAATTTTAACACTGTGCGCCCTGGGTTCATTCCAGGTGGCGAGCTTGCTCCGTGGGACGTTGAAAACCAATGATGGGTGTGGGCGGAGCCTTGGTAAGCTGCCAACCCAAGAGACTCTGGCCCACGATATCTACTAACAAGTTTTATGACGGCCAGTCTATGAAGTTTGTGGGTTCCATGAGAGCTTGGGCTCGAGTCTTGGATGCGATACCACTCGCCTTTTCGGGCAGCCTGTGTTTGCATGGGTCTTCTCGACGGACGAATTCGCAGTGACTTGCTATTATCTTATTTTGCGAACACAGCGAGGCCGGCTGTACACAAGGGCCTAGAATCATGTTGCGCGGCATAAGTTCTCCCGGGTGGAAGGCAGGAAGATTTCGAAGCGTTAGAAGTTGATGGGAGGGGAAGTAGCAGTTATCTTGAATAGTTCCAAACAATGATTCCTGATCGCGAAGGTGCCACCATTGACTCGATCTGTGACAATATTACATGCCAGCAATTCGCCCAACAACCAAGTGGGGCGACTCCAGCAACACTGTATGGAGGTCGCCGACGATGATGACAAAAGGTACTGATATCCACATACCTACTGCAGTGGTCCTTCGGGTATCTAATTAGTGAGTACCAGACTTGTAGACTCCGATCCCGCAGGCAATTCTATCGTGTAGTGGTTCCAAAGGGGTGCCCAAATCTGATCAAGTGGGTCAGATGACTTGCGGACGAGATATGGATGATTACAAATTAATTTTGTGCTTGATTCGGATTGCGGACCTCGGCGTCATTAATTATGCGAACCAGTTCAAAATGGGGCATGTAGTCTGACATCCTGGTGGTGAGAGTCTCACTACTGTGTGTTGGCTTACAAATTGCGCGAGGGGGAAATCGCACGACAGACACCATCACCTAGATCCCGTAATTCTGGCAGATGTAAGCTCATTTTCATTTAAAAAGCGCCTTTACTTTCGAACGAAAGTCAGATCCTCCCTTTGAATCTGTCAGGACCCCAGACACTTAAATCAGTACTCAGTCTTTGATCTTTCCTATTCCCAGCCCATGAACCCATCCTGAGCAGCTCTAATGGCCACCGAAACTTCTCTTGCATATCGCATTCACCTCCTTGAGCGTGGTACTTCCTCAGCCGAAGGAATCAAACGGAACCTCAAGTTGGAGGAGGTGCCAAAGCCCCAACCAGGGATCGGCCAGGTGCTGGTGCGGATGAAAGCTGCCGCGCTGAACTGTGAGTGAATTCCAGAGCAGCCGTGCCCCACATTTCACGAGATCCCGTGTATTTACCATTGGCGCTCTCTAAAATCCATCCGTGGGAAACAGACCGAGACCTCCTCATCGCCACGGACGATGAGCGCTACGCGACCCGCACCCTCGCGCCCCTGGTGCCGCTATGCGACGGCGCAGGCGTAGTCGAGAGCGTGAACGCGGCACCGGGCTCCTCGTCGAGGTGGCGACCCGGCGACCGCGTGATCGTCGCCGCGGGGAGCTCGTGGAAGTCAGCCGAGCCGGGAACGGACGGCGAGCTTGACGGAACGAAGTTGCTGGGTGCGGGGGACGTCGACGGGGTGCTGCAGCAGCATATCGTCGCCGATGAGGACGCCGTCGTGCCGGCGCCCGAGGGCCTCAGCTTCGAGGAGGCTGCTGTCCTCGGCGGTGCGTATGTCAGTGCCTGGAATGCCTTGTTTGGGTGGTATAGGCCGTTGAAGGCCGGGGACGTCGTTGTAACCCAAGGCACTGGGGGTGTGAGCATTGCGGTCTTGCAGGTGAGTGCCCGGCGGCATACGACCCGGCAGTCGAGCTGGCTGAGCTAACGCATGCGTTCGGGAGTATAGATAGCTACAGCCGCTGGGGCGAAGGTGATCGCACTATCTTCCTCCCCCGAGAAGCTCGAGGTTGCGAAGCGGCTCGGTGCGGCCCACGGCCTCGACTCCAATGACCCGGAATGGGACGCCAAAGTCCGTGAGCTCACCGGCGGGCGCGGCGCGGACCATGTCGTGGATGTGGTCGGCGCATCGACGATCGTCCGGTCGCTCCGCGCAACCAGGAAGGGCGGGCTCGTCACAGCCGTCGGGTTCCTGGGCGGCTCGGAGGATCATGATTTGATACCGGAAATAGTCCTCGGTGCTAAGACTGGTATGTGGCCTTCGGATGCTTGGTCTTGTGTCAACTTGTGTGTTATACGAAAGATGTGCTGACTCATGAGATCAAGTCCGAGGCATTGTCTACGCAAGTATCCCTATGCTGGAGAACATGAGTGCGTTTTTCCAGAAACATGGCATCAAACCGGTATTGGGGCACATTTTCGAGTGGACTGAGGCCAGCGAAGCATATGCGGCCCTCCTTAATCTCAACACAGCGGGGAAAGTCGTCATCAAAATTCCCTGAGAACAAGCCGGTCCACTCACATTCGTCCCTTGGTAGCTCTTCTGTTTGATTGTCTGTCTATTTGTCGAAGTATCAAGACTAGCTAGATAGCCTTCTCATTTGTTTGAACCCACCCCGTCTTCCGTAGTTACAGCTTGTTTGAATGAAGTCACATCTACGGATTCAGCGTATTCATGCCAATCACATACGTTGGCGTCGTGTTGGAAGCTTGCAACACTAAGGTTGGGACTTTTTGCGCTGGGCAACCATGGTCTGCGTCAACTGGTGCCTCAATTTGGAGGGAGGATTTGAAGAGGCGCTTGGAGTTCTCGTCATGTATCTTCTTGGCCTACCTCCCAACAAGGCCGCCCCCAAACCATCTATCGTGACCATGTTTACCTGCGTGTTGGTTTTTGAGACCCAAGGCAGCAGTCTTGCCTTTTCTCTCATGGAATGAGATCTCATGGTACGAAATAGTACTTGAACAAACGAGACCATCTCATATGGGCGTTTGGAATAGCAGCTTACCTCTCTTGACTCACTGACATCCATTCACTATCGTCAATTACTTATTATCAAGTCACCCGGTTGTATCACTCCGTGGATTCACCCCTTCGATTCAATGACTTCAGGCCGGCAGGTGTTGTTCTCGTCTTCACTCAGCAATCTCTCGAATACTTAAAGCCAGAAACCTGAGGCCTGTCCGTTCTTTTCCTCCTTGGAATCTATCCATCATCAACACTCGCAAGCCTCACAATCGACTGACACAACAACATCACAAACACTCAACAAAACACTCAACCTATCTCACCCCAACCAAACATCAAGATGCAGTTCTCCATCAAGACTGTCCTTACCATCGCCATCGGCATGGCCGCCCTGGCTGCTCCCGCTGAGGGCATCAGCTGCTGTGCCTTCAGCGACTGCACCGTCTGTGCCGACTACGGCCACCCGATCGATTCCTGCGACTTCTGCCAGGTAGGGTTCCATGATCCACAATCCTCAAGAAGAAACTAACCCTGTCTCTCTACAGGACCCCTACGGAGTCTGTTGCTAGGCCTAGGCACTCAACAAGATCGAGAGTGGATTCCCTCACGCCATCATCGGCATGAAATGGGACGTGGGAGTTTTTGGAATCGACCCGGAGAGACCCAGGCAATCGGAGCTGCTCTTGTGCAATCATCCAGACAGAGTGTGCTAGGAAAGGGGACCAGGAAAGGGCACGACACAGATGATAGAGAATAAACACTGAGGTTCTCTATTACATGTATGATCCTGTGTGAAATGTGATTTATTGCCTGGATATTCGCGTATCATTTCTTTGAGAACGTATGTTTTCGTGACAGCTGATCAGTGCCAGACTAAATGAATGAACATCATTGGCTTCGGGAAACGTCGGGACACCGCTTTATATTCTCTGAGGAGAAGATGTCGGGCAATTGCGTAGCCCGGTGAGACATCAGAATCATCCCACTTCTCCATATCGGGGGAATGGCCCATGTTGAAATATGTAGTCTAGCTCCTAGATGTGTCTGCAACAGTACCGCAGCCAGGAAGTCCACTGTCACCAGCCTTGCGTATGTGGCTTGCGTGTGAGGGGAGAGCATGATCACAATGTGTGCCCCACAACAACTCATAGCCTGATTCCGGGCAAAACATGCTCGGCTGTTGCTCATGCGCAGTAATGTAAGTACGGGCGAGTTAAAACCAGAATCCCGGGTGGGACATGGCAGACCGAATCGACGACGCAAGGCGCAGGAGATGGTCTTTCGACTGGATCAGTTTCAAGATGATCGGATAAATAGGCGTCTGAGTCTAACTTGGTGACTGATGAGATATAGGATATGTAGTATATCTGATAGGTCCACCCAGAATCAAAGCGGGTGATGTCTCTCTGGGCACGCGTGTCTTATGTAAGCGTGCCATCGTGTTGAGGTTGCAAGGTTACATTGCAGGCATGAGACGATTAAGCGAAGATAAAGTGAACGGCTATAGAGTTTTGCTTGTGATTTGGCACTCAGGGGCTCGTATCGTATAAGCAGACCACACTTCAGGGTGTCTGCCCGATTGCTTCGCGGTTGTGATTGTGGATGAAAAGACATGAATGGACTTGGAAAGGCACAGGGCAGAAGTCGTCAAAAGCCACTCGAACTATGTCGACGTCTTGGGCTGCAATACGAGGGAAGCGCACGATCAAGCACATCCAGCACCTATCCGCCCGGTTCAGATGACGGGGAATCAGAGTTCATCCAATGACATGGCAGACATGCACCAGACAATCGCAATGGCAGGACGACGGATCCGTCCCAAGGGATCGTTCTGCTCCCAGATCATTGGACGCACCTGATGTCGATCACCGGCGATGTGCATTACGAGTTCTCGAAGCAGTCTGGCAGGACTCGACGGCCCTCTTGATGTCTGGGCTCGTGGTTTCAGAATAGCAATTGTCTCAATTTGTCGCAGGGAATAAATGCTGGAGGCTCCATCGAGCATGCTGCACGAGCCAGGAGCCGGCCATTGGGCAGCTTGGAGAGCGGGCAACAGCCCAGAAGCTGCTACTAGCGCCGCGCGATGGTGACCCCACTGCCCTGTGACACGGCGAGGGGGCCCTGGCATTGCTGCACAGGCTGCGGCTTGCACCGCACTGGCACCACGGCCAACCTTGACCTTGGAGGACAGGGTCAGGACAAGACAACAGACCGGGGCAGCTTTTGCCCCGACTCGTCATCCTCATCTTTTCCAACGACCTCATGTTGATTGATCACCGTCACACAGCACTACCAAGGCCCTGCGGCACTCGACCTGCTCCGCTGCCACACCACCAATTGTGCTACTTCTCCCTCGGACGACCAGTCTCAACAGCGAACACCAGCTACACTGGGCAGGTGGATATGCGGACAGCTGGATGAGATACCGACCGATACCTCGCGCGCCACTCTCCTCACCTCTTTCTCTCACAGCCATTTCCCGCGCCCTGCCCGATGCAATGGTCGCGTCAATATCGAATAACTCCTCTACAACGACACTGCCGCATCTGCACCTCGTCTTGACAGCTCGCTGGCCCTGATCCGGGCCCAGGGCTTAGGCCTTTGCTGCTCTGGCCTCGACCCAAGCCAAGCCTTCCTTCGCACATCGTCGCCCAATCCACACACCGAGACAGTAAGCTGGAGACGCCGACATGCTGTCCCATTTCAGGCTCCATCGACGCGGCCCGTCCAACCCTTCCTCGCCCGTGCCCGATCAATTGAGTCCCCTCGATCATGCCGAACATACCCACTCGGCCCACGATGTCTCGAACCGTCCAGACTTTATGACCAGGCCCATCAATGCCGCCAGCACCCCTCCCGTTCATCCGGCCGGCCCTCGAACAGACCCCGACCCCACGCCTAACAGGAAACCTTCAGAGCAGTCCTTGAAGGAATCATCGTCACCGTCTGTCAAATCGCCGCAAAATACCGGCGATTCCGGCTTCATGGGTGGGCTCGCCCTCGAGAACTACCGCCGCGCCTTCGGGGCCAAGCGGGACGACTCGTCAGCAGTCGTCCGTCAGGCACCACCAGCCACCCAGCAAACCCCACGATCGAAGCCTCTTCCACCGCCTATAAATACCAACTTGCCTTCCGCGCACCCACCTCCCGTCCCCGTCAAGGAGCTGAGATCCCGGTCGTCTTTCGTCGCCCCAACCGAATTGCAAAATAATGCCGGCGCAAGTGGCAAGAGGCCTTCCGGCACCCGGCTCACCTCCGAGCCTGCCACCCTCGCCTCGTCGCAGTCTGTTGCAGAGTCGCAAAAGGGCAAGAAGGGGCTTCCCTTCCTCAAGAACCCCATGTCCGGCCTTTTGATGCGCCGTAAAGCTTCACAGAATGCCCCCGACCTTCGCCCGTTGCCCCTGCCCCAGAAGCCTGCCGAGGCAATCTATGACCCTCGCATAAGAGGCACGAGAGTTCACGACTTCAGTGCTCCCAGGCAGCGCGTGGTTCCTACCAGGAAACCTACAGTGCCGGGAGCTGAGGTCTGGAGCGGTATCCCGGGAGTGTCGTCCAGTGTTGTACCTGACCCTATATCTCGCAGCCCGACTGGCAGGAGTAGCAGCGCCGTATCAGAGAAGACTCAGCCTGGAGCATCGGACACAGAATCGCAGAGACCACATGAGCTTTCGAAAGAGCCGTCCAAGAAGTCGGCTACCGAACTCAAACGTGTCTCCTTGGACGATAAGCCGCTCCCAGCGGAGCCTGAGCCTTCTTCGGATGAAATTGTTGTTGAAGCTCAACGTTCTACGTCTCGAAACTCAGGGCCCGGTGCCGCAACTGACATCGGCTCGATGAGCAAGGCAAATCCATCGACCAGGACGAACAAATCGCGGCACATCTCACTTTCTGATGGTTCCATCAAGGATGGGGTTGCGCTTGCTCTGCCAAAACATATGAAGAGCACATCATCACGATTCAGCTTCGATATGATGGGCGCGGCAAGAGCGGAGAAGGCCCTGGAAGAGCGACACAGGCAGAAAGAACTAGAGAGAAAAGCAAATAATCCAACGAATAGGGATTCGAGATTTGACGACTTCGACGAGGACTCGTTCGATTACGATGCAGCTATGGCCGAGGACGGGTTTGAGGAGGATATTCCTATGATTGGCGATGACGACTTCCTCGACGACGACGCATTCTTCGAGGAGGACGTCCCGGTGGTCGGCGACGATGTGTTGGAGGTGGAGGACGACCCTGACAATGATCAAGAAAACTTTGCCGGCTTCGTGTTCCAGAGGTCAAATCCACAATCATCGCTGGCAAGTCCTGCCCCGGGAACACTGCAAGCCACCCCAAGGGATGCGACAGGCAAGGCTATTGGATATGCCATGACCAAGGATACAACACCAGAACTGCAATCTGCCACGTCGCCGCTGGCAAACACTGAGGCTTCTCTAAATCATGAGGACTTATCTGGTGCTGACGGTCTCGGCATACAAGAGTCCGAGGCCCCTCGCAAAACTCAATACGACCCCACAGTCTTCCAGGAAAGACGACATCAGCAGATTGACGATGGTGGGGACCTCGCGGGCACGGGAGACAAAGAGCTGTACTTCGACGAAGGCTTGTTAGAAGAGCTGAGGATGGAAGCGGACGAGATACAAGAATCCACCTTCGATGAGTCCATCTTTGACATCGACGACACAGACCAATATGGCCGTCCGATACCAGGCGCCTTCGCCCAAGCTCAGGCCACCAGAGTGGTCCAAGAGCAGGAAGTGAAGAAACGTGAATCCGACATCGCTTCAGCATCCGGGCTGTCTGGCTCGACAGCCCACACCTCGGTCAGCCTGGGCCTGCAGCCTATGCCGTCGATGACGGAGAAGGGAAGAGAGCTGTCCTCTCAAAAGGATGCTGCTCCTGTCACTGCCCCGTCCGAAGTCCCAACTGAGGGCCAAGTCGCCGCTTACCAAGCTGCTTTAGCCGAAGCTGCCCACAAGGCTGCTGCGTCTGGTTGGAAATTCAAGTGGGAAGACCAGCCAGGATCGCCTCCGTCTCCGTCTCCATCTCCACCTCTGCCGCCGCCTCCGCCGCCAGCCGACCCGGTTGACCCAGACGTCACGATCACATCACCTACGACAGGTTCACAGCCAAGCAGCGGTGGGCAAATAGTCGACAATGGTATCCAGGACGAATACGACGAGTATGCGGATTATGATGGCTATGGGGGAGGGTTTGACGACAACTTCGATGACGAGTTCGAGTTCGACGACGACTTCATTGCAGAAGCGAATGCAGAAGCACTGGCCTACGACTCGGATGGGTTTTACGGTCAGGAATTTGGCTTCTACTCTGCGCCCGTCCCGCAGGGTCATCATGGGGCGTCGAAATCCAATGGCTCGTCACTGACCACCGACAATGTGTACGGTGGATATTTCGGCCCGTCAGGCATCGGCCGTACCACCAGCGGCCGCGTGGTGAGCCGGGAACCAAACCTGACCCCAATCACAGAGCGGTCTGAATACTCCAACCGCAACTCGATCATGAGCCTCGGCCTGCCGTTGGGGACCTCGGAAGGGCGAAATTCCCTCCAGAGTCCTGGCCTGGCACAGCTGGCCATGATGACTGACGACGGCAAGATGAGTCTCGCAGAACTTCTGCGCTTGCGTAGCAAGGCGTGGGGAGGCAGTCAAGTCAGTCTGAACTCGTCGAGGGAAGGAAGCCCGCGGTCAGAACGGGCCCCTCCTGGCGATAGGTTTGAGGGGACGTCTAGCCCAGCGCCGTGGGAGACCGGGAGGCCGAACTCCCATTTAGGCCTTTCTGGTGGCACACATGCGAGGAAGACCTCGTCGTTCTCTCTATGGAGCAATTCCGATGCTGCGAGCGGTGCGGGGAGCCCAACATTGTGTATGTCGATGCCGAACAGCGCACCACCCCAACCGCTCTTCTCACCCCCGCCACCACCTGTACCACAACCCTCCCCCGGGCTGCAATGTCCGCCTGTGATTGAAGACGAAGAGGAAGCTTCCAGCCCAGGTTTATCCACCAAAAGCCCGACGGCAGATGACGCCCATGAGAACAAGGACGCCTATGACGCCAATTCAAAAATCGACAATGTTACCACCTCGCTTGATGCCGCCCCGCCCCCGCCTCCAGGGCCCCTTGAATCACCCCCGCCTCCACCACCAAACACGACCGTCTCTTCCCCCTCGAAGCGTCTCGGCCATCGCCACAAGAGCTCTGCCGAGAGCATCTCGTACTCGATAGACGAGGACAAGGAGAGCGGGGAGACGCGATGGGTGATGGAGCGCAGGCGGACGGCAGAGAGCGGTGAGATCGAGGTACTGAGACGGGAGGTTGTCAGCGCCGGGAGCATATAGTCCCTGCCTAGCCTTTCAAGGCTGGTATATGGACTGGCTGGGGCCACGGTTTTGGATTACGATAATGAAAGCGTTATTACGCTTATTTTCACTCTAGAGAGAATTATGCTACGGCTATACAAAAAGGATGTTTCCATTGCGGGGTTGGATATATTATCGGCGCTCTGGGATGGGAGCACAGCGGTCTAGTACGACGCGCGTGGATACGCGGCAAATTGAATGTCCTGTGGGAGCCACACAATTGATTCTTCCAAAGCGGCCCCATTGCGATAGAAGCTTGCTGTGCTGTAGGAACTTCTCAACGAAACAGAGTGAACACCATACTGTGTATCACGGAAAAGTCGTGCAGCCACGGTGGGCCTCTGCTTTTCAGCGTGTCCAGTGTCTGCTGAATTGTCCGCCCAGTCTGTCTTCGAGACTTTTTACCATGCCTTTTTCTCTGGCTAAATCGAGAGACAGGGTAGAGAATAGATTTCCTCTGGCTTGAAGCATCCCCGCCATTATCAGGGCTCATGAGAAGACGTGGAAGCGTCCAGGGGCGGCCATCGTATGAACTGCGGGACCAAGAAATTGGTTTGAGAGGTTTTTTGAAGGCGACAAAGGCCGAGAACAAAGATCATTGTTAACAAACCCTGGATGGTTGGGAACCGCGTGAATTGTATCCAGACTAGCCGTCGGCAAAGTGAAGACAGGCGAAGTAACGACTGTTCGAGTTCCTTCACTGGTCTGCATCCTGCATCTGATGATGTGATAGGTCCGCCAAGTTGAACTTGATTAATTCTTCCAGTCACCGTCACTCGTGGTGTTGTCCCTGTTAGTTCCCACCAGTCGACCATTGTCAGGAAACCTGGATTGGTCGAGGTGGGAACGAGGCTGGAAAAGCAACAGCGGCAAGAACCAAAGAAGGAATACAAAGGGCTTTGTCAACGCACAGAGCTATTGTTGACTTGTAAGTCGCAAATGAAACAGTATCAAAGATAGTGAGTTATTCCCAAGTATAATATGCTCTGGGTATCATCTGCTGTTGGATTATGGTTTCGGGGACTAATGTCTGGTCAACAGGAATTTTTATTTGCTTCAATATCAAGACACCCACAATGTGTGTCATCATCGTGGACGCTGCTCTTGTAAGTTACCTCACGCTCCTCATTCTTTCCCTGAATATGTCATCTCCCCCTAGGCAACAAAATATAATATACCACCTGACAGGAGACATCTCAAACTCTATAGCACTCACTAACAAACAGCATCTATAGTGCGATTCGACTTGCCCTTACGCTGCTACAGACATCCCTGCTGGGTGTCTCAGAGTCTACCCATATACATACTTGCAGTCTATCTGCGAGGCCGCAGACAGCGTTTTGGGTTCTTGCGGAAATGTGGAGATACAGAAGCGCGAGGACAAGGACGGCAGCAGGATCGAGAAGCGAATTTGTGAATCTGTAAGTACAACAACAAATTGTAAACAGACTGTGACCCCCCTGTCTTCCATGAGTCTTTTCCTGATCACAAACAAGGATAACAAACACCCATTGTGTACAATTGCTAACTCTCAAATTTACAGTGCATTGCCTGGTCCGCTCTGATGAGAGACAAGGACGGCCGCAGGGCACGACGCTCGATCCGCAAGGAGGTGTCGCTGCGAAGTGACTCTGACGCTGAGGAGGGAGCGGCGGTCATGACGCCCCCGGACTCTGCAGTGTCATCGGACTTCGAGACAGACGTCTAGAGTATTGGGTGCATCGACAAGGACTTCATTGTGGAGTGCCCGCGGATGCGGCCAGACTCTTGATTTTAAGTACAGCCTAATATCTTTCCTAGAATACAATTCACAGATTGGTCCCCTGATATATAAAACGCTCGCTCCCCTTGAGTCATCCGAATTGCGTACATATGTGACAATTACGTCCTGTCCAGATTTTACAAAGTCTGGCCTGCTGTGAAGTGTGCAGAAGAGTCAGCTCGCATTAGGGATAATTACAAGGACATTAAAACTGATTATATCGACCTAGGCTTTCGTGTCACGATCTATTCACCCAGTCAGACTAATTAAGGCCTCGAATTCGGTGGGAGACTTCCAAGGTTTCACACCTGAAGATGTCCACAGCGTCGCTAATTTAGAAGACCCATTGTCCTTAGGAACACTAATCCCTCCTGAAAGCCCCTGGGCACTTATTTCAGCGCTTGGGATCCACCGAGAAGGACCTTGGAAAATCAAGCAAGCGCAAGAGGAAAAGCAAATGCTTGCACGTGCGGTGCTTAGGACTTTTTTCTTCTGTTTTAGTTACAGCCTTACGGCCCAAACTCTTACGTCACCCCTTGAGAACATTCCGTCTGGTCTCTTGCCCGCCGACCTCCTAGTCGCGGAATTTTACCGAGCGTTGCAATAAACGTGATGCCTGGGTTGCTTCTTCCGCGGGGACTGGGGTTTCGGGTTTCTGCTTTTCCATGTGGCAACAGTCCGTGGGTTACTGGGAAGTACCTCGTAATTGGCTGGATATATTTTGAGATTATTGACTATGATTGGCATTGTGAAGTTCTGCGAGTGGATGGTGACTTTCAGGTCTCGTGACACAGACTCTGATGTTCACCGCATTAGCAATGCCTCCTGCATAGGTATCCAGTCCAGTGCCACTTCAACAAGAAATAAAGGTAACCGCCACATCCGAAGAGGACCAATGGACACCGCCACGGTGGTTCCAAGCACAGCGCATCTTGCGGACGCAAGTCGGGTCCCGTCCGTGCCGGACCACATCCACCCCCAGCTCCCATGGACACCGGAAGTCGTCGCGTCCCGCCCAGACGGCCGGTACTCTTGGTTGCATCAACCAAGATGGAGGTAATCTAACCTAGTGCGCTCCTTAACAGTGGAGAACAGAAGTAGTCCGACGTTGACACTTAGCTGCTTTCTAATTCCATCTCAAGGTTAGCGTGGGCGAGTTTAGACGGCTTAAAATTCATCAGCCGTCGGTTCCTGGGCTTGAGGACAAAGGGAAAGGCGGATGACGAGGCGTAGGGCTACAATAAGCTAAGGGGTCAACCGCAGCAGAGACCTTTTGCACTAAAAAGTTGTGTTTACTTTGAAGCCCAGCGGGGCGCTTCATGCTGAATGGTCAGCAGCTAGTGTGCTTGAACCTACGACATTACTGGTTTGGTAGCATGCCAGATCTTCTCCTGCCGCCGAGTATTGTCTGACCTGTTCCTACCTAGCTGTCTCTCCCATCCCACCATGGACGAGTCACACTTGAAGGGTCTGCCATGGCCACATACCCAGATAGCATGGCAAGCTGCCGGTCCTCGCCGAACAGCGTACTACGGACGGAGAATAAGAATCAACGAGGAGCCTGTAGAATGCAACAAAATTCGCCAGACCAGACAGTCCAGTCTGCAAGATGACCCCGGATCCCCAGCGGTGTGGCTCGGCACACGTCGAGCCTCTACCCGATCCGAGGTAATGGGTAGATGTTTGGCGACTGGGGTTCGAGAAGCTCCAGTTGCCAACAGAGTGATATGTAAACGCGGGTTGGTCCATATTGGCCCATATTGGGTGACGAAAACAGTATGACGTGCGTGGCCGCGACACGCCTTGGCCGGCGGTTACACGGCTTCACCGCGGCCGGAAAGCGTGTTACAGAAGTGACGCCTGGGCGGGCGGAGACTGGTTGAGCGTTTGATATTTTCCGACGCGTTGATCGCCCACAGGACCGGTCGATCTCAGCCCCCAAGCGATTGATTGTCTTCAGAGCTGTCAAGGTCTGCCCTGTGAGGGCGCTGCAAGCAGAATTCTCCGCCGGTGGTCTGGGCCATGGGGAGCAGCAGTGAAGCTCGTGATGTTGCCGAGGATGAGTCAGGGTGGTGACATCTGGAGCCGCTCCTCAGTCGGTGAGCTAGCGGCAAACTCAGTGGACGAGGTGTGCTGGGAAGCAAACACCTGACGTACCGAGTTGCTGAGTCGCTGACTCGCGGCCGGGGACAAACCTGGTGAGTGCAGGCGTCAATGACGGCAGTGGTCGCGACGGCCGGCGAAGCGGGTAGCCGAAAATAGGCGCACGCTATCCCGGACTTGTGGGGCCAGCCGGGGCGTGGAGACAGGCGGTCAAAGCCGAAGCGAGAGGGCACGACCGGCCTGGCTAACGGTGGACGGTGGACGGTCGACGATGGACGATTGATGGTATGGATGATGGTCGGTGGAACTTGGAAGTGGATGGAGGAAGAATGCAGTGATAGCAGCCCATGGCCAGTTACACAACAACAGTCACACTTGATCTGCAGGACAACATGAGCCGGTACAAAGCTGTCGTACCTGTTTGAATGGGGGCAACACGGATAGGTTCCGTGGGGGTTAGGTAGTGCTGGGCCCTGGTGTGGCGGCGATCGCATGCTCGCTTGCTGAGCATATACTGTATACTGCCTAGGTCCTGTACTGTAATTTGATCATATGCCGACCCGCCAGCGCCAATAGAGTACGACATGGGCCTTGGGCCGTAGACCCTGGGGCATGGAGTATTCGAGTGCGCAGCAAGACTCGCGATGTCCACTGTAGTGCAGGTTGTCCAGGAGAACGACGGAGGAGACAGATCTAGACTAGACTCTGTGGTTGAGCGTTGAGCCGCATCGCATTGTCCGACTGACCTCGATGTTGCAGGACGCCGGAGCCGAGGTCGGCCAATGGAGAAAACCCAATGACCACTGGCGGGTGCATCGTGATTGAAACTCAGAGGCCAGTGACGAGATCTGGGGGAGCGGAGATCATGATGGCGGCTTTTCTGTTGCTGTGGGTATCCTTGCAGGTCGTGTCATGCCTGCCTAAGGTCCCGTTCCGCTAGCGTGGCCTGCGAGGAAGCAATACGGAATTGGAGATGATGAGGGTCTGAATGCTACGGTGGGATGGTACTTCCCAGACATGTACGTATGATGGCATGGAGCGGCGCTGGCAGTCTGAAGTTCCTGGCCATTCAGGCGAGGCAGGGCTGGCCGCCTCACTTTGTCGAGAGCCTGCCAGCCAATCAGCCGGGCCTCGACGCAGCCAAGCGCATCCTGGCAGCCGGGGGTAGGGTTTGTGGCTTGGCTGTGCCTTTCTGGACGAACGCTGGAAGCTGGAACATCCACACTAGTACTGTTAATAAAGGTCGGAAAAGCGTAGACGACGGTTGGTGGCAGAGTCGAGACAAAATGTCTTTGATGACCACCTACCTGCCTGGCTGCTTGACGCTCGGTCAGGGCAATCACAGTTGTCGGGGGTCGGGCGGCGGCTGTGATGTCTGCAGGAGGTGAGCGATGCCGGATCGAGCAGCATTGGGAGTCGACAGTCGTCAAGATTTCGAGGAAGGGAAGATTGTCGTCAGGCAGGCAGGCAGTCAGTCAGTCAGGTTGCGACTTGTAAGGTTGGCAGGGTTGGGCGCTGTTGGGTTCGTTAGTTGGCTGGCGGGCTGCACGGCGGTGAGTTATGTAAGCCGTCGTGCGGACTCTTACAGTATTATCTACTGCGGTACGTACGTACATCTCGAGAGCCACGGCAGGCGTGAGAACAGGCAGCGCCTCCCATGCAACACTCCTGCCCTCTGCCAGCTGCCATCAACAAAGTGCAGGTTCATCAGCAGCGAGCGTGTACACAGCTGTGCAGTGCATCGCATCGCATCGCATCGCATCGCAGCGCACCACCTAGACCACACACTGACTATCTCGTGTGGTATTGTAGCACATCAATCACAACAGCCAGCCTGATCTTGGCCCGTTGGATTTTTACACTTCTTCTCCATCGTCGTCGTCCTCGTGTCCCACGCAGGACGTAGTAGGTCGCACACAGCACGTACATGGCAGCAGCATGGCCAGAACAGCAACCTGGCTCCAACTGGCCCATCGCAGCGTGTCCAGGTGATCCTGTGCTCGTCCCGTCAACGCGGCGCTTGCCAACGCATCGACAACCCACATACACATTGAACACAATCCCCGTCCTGCCCGCCTGCGTGCCCATGCCCACCCTACCAGCCTACCTACCCCAAAGCCTACACACTACCTAGCGAGGTATGCATGTACATGCAGTCTGTGCCTGCCACTCCGCTCCACTCCACTCCACTCCACCTCACCCTTTTTGGGTTGTCCAAATTCTCCGATGCCATGGCTTGCCCGACGGGGAAAGTTGCCCATCTCGAATGACCTAGTCCCTCTGGCTCGAGTCCAAGATGAGATGAGATGGTTTCATTGCCGTCAGGCACATCCCCCCGACCTGGCCAGAATATGCTTCGGCTCCAACCCTGCCAATGACACCTCAGGAAACGGTCTCTCGACACACGATACGGGACAATGATGAAATAAAATAAACAACGAGGCAGATGTCATGCGTATCCCTCGGCACCCAGCTGGGAAGCCTCGGGGTGGTAGATGTAATACACACAAACCTGAGTTAGTAGCTTGGCCAAAAAGTAAAGGGACACCATCTGCGAGGTCGTTACAGCCGGCCGCGGATTGATGGTTGATGGTTGCTGGGCACACGGGCAGACAGGTGGCTGTGGAAGGATTGCGACCGACGACAATCGAGATGGGTGGAGCATGGGGATGTTGGGATGGGATGGCCTGGGATGGCCTTCCACTTCCGGGCAACATGCGCTGCTGCACGCACTTTCCAGCAGTCACCCTGCAGCGCCGTGTCCAACCGTCAGCGATGTCAGACCATGCACACCCGTCTCGACAAATCGGAGCCCCACGCGGCCCATGCAAAGGGTGCTGGGACTCTGACCTGCATTCCCTAGGTCTGCACCTCTGCACGCTCCGGTTCTTCGTCGGTGTGGTGGGTGTGTGGGTGTGTGCGCGCGTGTGTGCGTGTGTGTGCCACAGCAGGCGCACACTGTCGTCAAGCTCGAGCCAGTCGTTTCGCCAGCAGCAGACACCAGACACACACAATACTGGCGTCCCCCCACAACCGTCTGACCGATCGCTTCGCTTGTCGCCCGCAGCCACGACCAGACCGAAAACGCCCGGCCAGATAAGGTACTATTGCCAATGACGGTGCCCTCCAATGCAGCAGATGCTACCTGTGCAAGCCGCGGCATCACTGGGTCTGCCGCATGGCTGGGCTGCGTGCGCGCGGCTCTCAGGCCTCAGGCTCAGGCTCAGGCATGAACCGACTGACTGCTTCTGAGACGGATGGGCACACATCATGACCTCTACAACCAAACCAATTCAAACAATCGTGGGAAGAAGTCATGCGGCAGAAGCTGTCCCTCGGAAGTAACCGACGGGAGGTGACGTGTCTCGGAGACTCGAGAGGATCTTACAACGGCCTTTTTCCACTACCTACTGATCTAGGTTCCCCAAGGTTGATGGGGCAAAGCAGCGCGTTAGCAACATGTCCATGGCCGTCGTCTTGGTGCGCCCTCGACTAGATGCTGATGACTGTCAATAAAAATATCCGTCCACGGTACGTACATGAAGTAGATACGGATTACAGGCGGTGGTGTCTGCTGGCCTGCTGGTCTACCTACCTTTGGGATTGCACCTCGGAAACACGCATCTTACCGCATCCAGCACCCCAGTCCTGGTCGTATAATGCAAAGTTATATTGGCTGCCGGCCAGCCTCTCATAGAGCTTCCTTGGGCTGCTTGGACTGCTTGGACTGCTTGGACTGCAACCCACTAGCAGCCGCTACGGGCTGTGCGGGATGCAGCTGTGTCTGGCACGTACCCAGGTAGTGTAGGAGCCAGACCATCGGCCTGATCCTTGGCCCCGATTCTCCCACACCATCAAGAGCCCCACCCTGGGCCAATCGTCATTTACCCACACACCCCCCAGGATGCATGGCCTGCGCGGGAATTACAAAACCAAGCCCGCAATCTGGTCATGTACGACGTACGGTTGTACCTCCTTCAAGCCTCAGCGCGCGAGTGGCTTTCATAAACAATCTGTCCCCGGCCCGTCCAAGGCCTCGAGAACCGTTCCTCTGTTTGCTTCGAACTCTACTGCCCGTCGATCTTTCGGTGCCCTATCGTCATCCTCGCTGTTTTCTCCAGTGAGGCCCTCTAGTCACCGCTCAAGACAGCCTTCATCCCAGCTCCCCGAGAATTTCAAGGCTGCCGCCACGGCCCGGGCCCTTTCGCTCCTCCGCCCTGCCTCACTCTCGCTGCGAACCTTGCTCCATCGCAACTCCTGCGTCGCTGTCTGAACAGACGACGGCGCCGCCGACCTCAGTACGATGAGCCAGACGACTTTCGACCATTCGATAGAGGACCTTGCGCGCTTGGAACGTGAAGCCGAATCGAAGGAGCACGAGCTCAGACAGATTAGGGCACAGGTTGCTGCTGCACGACAACGGTCGATTGCAACGGCTGCCCACAATCCCGACCTCCTGTCTGCCTCGCAGTGCAATTTCCAGTTCTCGCCATTGCCTACCTCTGCTCCACAAGACGCCAGGCTTCACGCCACGCCTCGCCATGGGGACCTCACGTTCCACACAGGGCCCCAGCCCTCGGTAAGAGCGGTCCCACAGGCCTGCCCGATTCGGACAGTCCCTCTAACATGACAAGCAGGTCCAATATCAACACAACCCGTCACATCCCATGAAGCGCACCAAGACTACTCACCCCCACCCCCAGCAATCAATGACAAGTTCAAGTGCCGGCATGGTGCGCTCCAAGTCCAGTTCAGCTGCACAGAACCCCTTTGCCGGTGGTGGTCGGGTCAAGCCCATATCACCCCTGCAAGCTCAGCAAGGCTCCAAGATGGACATGATGGCCAACTTCCTGAACGAGTCAGAGCAACAGCAGCCTGCAAATAACTATGTACTTGCACACTCAATGGGCAACTCCATGACGTCCCAACCGCGCAAATCGGAACTCGCAACGGTCATGGAAGCCGGCGGGATGTTGGAGGACCCTGCAAGCTGGCTCTCGAGGCACCAAGGAGATTTGGAAACAGCACCACCATTTATTTCGAACGACATGCAGTTCTCATCTTATGGGCAGCCAGTGTCTGCCCCAGCGTATCAGCCGTTCCAGTCGCAAGGCTTTCCTACGTCTCAGTGCGGGTCTCTGACATCAGGCCCTACCATCGAGTCTGCCATGACAAGATCCAACAGCACCGCCAACCAGTCAGTCTCGGGCCATTTACAGATGATGAGGCTGAATTCCCAATCGTCCATGAACGATTTGCCAAGTCCCGAATACGGCAGCTTCGTCCCCACTGGACATCAGCCTACATCAAACAAGCGCCGTGCACCGGACGATGAGCTGCTAGTTGGCGTCGGGAACAACCTTGGCGAAGTTTCCTCTGCACTGGAAGACTACTCAGAGAATATGGGTCGATCCATCTCTGTCGACAGCAGGCGGTCAATGGAAATTTCAAATCCTCCTTCCCAGATGTTAGCCATACCGATGCAGAGGTCAAAGACCACAGACACATTCCCGTCAGCTCAGTCTCAGAGTAGCCCAGCAATTGGGCAGCAGCTCGACCAAACCGAACAATCTGAGCCTATGATGCGGTCCATCTCCGCGAGCAGCGCAAAGTCTACCTTTTCCCAGCGTCTGCGAGCCAAGGACTCATTGCATCGCCAGATTGCAGCGGCTAATGTCCTCCTGGCACCCAAACCCGCTTCCGACCCTAATGAGCCGGAATCGGATTCACAGCCGGGCTCAAAATCTGGGAAAGACGGCAAAGTGGCCGTCACCAAGGCCAAGTACGAACGGCCCAAGCACCCCAAAGTCAAGTGCCGGCAATGCGATGAATACCCAGACGGATTCCGTGGTGAGCACGAGCTTCGTCGCCACACCGAAGCCAAGCATGGAAATGTTGTCAAGAAGTATGTCTGCGTTGATCCGACTACCAGAGGTCTCAAGAGCGACTACCAGCCAGTAACGCCACTCGACAAGTGCAAGCACTGCAGAGGCGGGAAGCAGTATGGAGCCTACTATAATGCTGCTGCTCACCTAAGGCGTGCCCACTTCTGCAAAAAGCCTCCCCGGGCCAAGGGAGCTGCCAAGAATGGGAACGACGCTGAGGCTGCTGAAAGACGAGGTGGGAAAGGCGGCGGTGACTGGCCACCCATGAAAGACCTCAAAGTATGGATGGAGGAGAAGAGTGTCTCGGTAGACGACCAGGACGCCCTAGACATCAACACGATACAAGACGAGGACGATATGCAGAACCCAGACATGGAGTACATGGACGGTTCACTCCCAACCGCCTTCGGCAATCTGCAGCCTGGCCAGATCGACAGCACAAGTTTCTACGGAATGGGTGGCAATTTGCCGATCGAAAACAACGAGGTCTACCAGAACATGAACGATCTCTATGCAGTATCTCCGGTGCAGCAGCTCGACACGATGATGATGCCGTCTGTAGGGTCTGCCAACTTCGACTTCGCGTCCAATGTCTCGCCAGCTTTCACCCAAATGCTGCCTATCGATCACAACGCCTACCACAGCCCAAACGTCTCCTCGTCGTCTGCTACCCTGACAGCGTTCAACAGCTTCATGGAAACGCAGCAGTTCTCTCAAGCGTCGAGTCAACAAAACCATATACCGATTAACCAGCCGTCACATGACGTTGGGGACTTGGAGTTCTCCCTGGTTTTCACCGGCGGCGGGGTTGACGGCTGCTAATTCAGAGATCCGCATGGTCATTTGTTGCCAGCAGTATCCTGTACTCTTGTCGGCCTCCTTGTTACGAAAGCGTATGATTACGAGTTATGTTTGATTTACAGGTGTTTCCTCTTGGTTATTGACTTCGGCGTTTGTTTGTTGTTTATTTCATGTTTGTTTGAGTTTCTTTGCCGTCGCTCGCTTTTACTTGGCCCCGATCGAGGCATACGTTCTGACGAGGCGCCTGACTGCCACTGTTTGACTGGGCGCGCTTGGGTCCTGTACTAGACACTCAACACACGTTGCGAGCAGGCAGGGTAGAGGAAAATGGGTTTCGCATTGTATTCGGCGTTCTTTGGGGGCCAACGGGGTGGAAAAGTGCAAAAGACAGGTTGGACTCGCATTACCTTGTCGCTTCCTGGGTTCGCGAACCACCCAGAGGCACAGGGCCATCAGTCTCCGGACTCATTGTCGTTGGGCACTCTTTGAGGTGTCGCACATGTTTGGTTGGGAAGGATCTCGAGCCTGAATGTTGGTGCTCAAGCGACAACGAGCGAAACGCATATTTGAGAACGGGATTGGGATGATGATACCTTAACTATTTGGTAAGGGCTTCGCTGAGAAGACTTGGATACCCCTGAATGCATATCCACCCAGACAATCTTGTCTGGCTTTCAAGAAACATACCTGGCCTGTCACCCACTCGTGCACACTGTCCCATGTGCAATGGGTCCCTTACATGCATGGATTTATAGCTGTTGTCGCCTTTCGGAAGGCTACTATGGATACAGTCCAGCACGGGCCGCGGTAGGCGTCAGGCCAGGCATCACATCACGGACGGCTTCACCTTTCAAAGACAGCCAAGTGAACCAACTCGTATTGCATTGCCCGAGCCCAACCACCGCTACACAAATATAATAACGCCTCAGACACCAGCAGCCGACAGATAGATCTCACCGCCAGCCTAAGCGACCACCAGCTCGATGACGGCCGAGTCGGACGTGCCGTGCCTGGAGAAGGACGACAGCCGGAGCCCGGCCGCGGCCGCCAGCTCGCCGTAGTGCCGCTCGCTGCGCCTCTTGCCGCCGAAGTTCATGAAGAAGAGGTCGACGGCGCCCATCATCTGCGAGGGCGCCTCGGTGATGATCTGCTCCGAGATGAGGACGCGCGAGTCGGGCGCCGCGGCGGCGCTGATCTGGCGCAGGATGTTGGTCACGTCCTTGTCGGGCCAGTCGTTGAGGACGCGGCGGATGTGGTAGACCAGTGCACCTGGAAGGGAGTGTAAGCCACGAGTTGTTCCTGTGCATCTTGTCCTCCGCCTTGACGGTCACCAAAGAGAAGGGAAAGGGGTTGGGGAAGGGGGCTGATCGGATTACTTACCCTTGACGGGCTCCTCCCCGTGGAAGCTGGCGCCGAACTTCTGCACCTTGGCCAGCGCCGGGTCCGCCTCCTTCTCGACCTCCTCGATCGTCTCGGGCCTGTCCTGCAGCGCGCAGCGCTCGGCGGGGATGTCGGGGTTCTCGGCGAGGATGGCCTTGAGGGCCTGGCCCATGCCGCCGCCGACGTCGACGAGCAGCGTGCGGTCCCCGTTGCTACCCTCGGTGGCGTGCCTGCCGATCCAGCTGAAATCGTACATTCCCGTGATGGGCATGTCGGCGACGCCCACCTTCATGGACGCGTTGAAGGGCAGCGCCTTCTCCGGGAACAGGGCGAAGACCTCGTAGTTGGTCTTGTCCGGGTGGCCCCACGACAGGCCCCAGGGTGTGACATTCGCCTTCTTGGGCTCCGCCAGCCCGTGGGTGCCAAAGTACTCGGGCCAGTGCGCCACGGGGAGCAGGCAGTTCTCGAACAGGTGGCTGAACATGAGACTCACGCCCTCGTCCAGGAAGAAGCGGGACGTCCTCCCGTGGGCGAAGGAGGCTGTCTCCTTGCCGGCGGAGAGCACGTCGCACGCAACGAGGAAGTTGGCGAAGCGCTCCAGCATGTTGTACTCGCCGCCCGTCTTGGCCGCCAGGTCGGCCAGGCTGATGGCGGAGCCGTCGGCCGGCAGGGCCGCGAACACCTTGTGCTCGATGAAGAGCTTCACGGCGCCCATCTCGATGAACGAGTACATGTAGCCGTACACCTTGGCTTCCACGGCGCGCTTGACGGCTTCCGGGACGGCGGCTGCCTTGCCCTGGGGCGCGGTCGGCGGGTCGGCGGCTACGGATCCCATGTTTTATGTGTTGTGTGCTGGAGGGAGGGCTTGGGATGTTGAAATGTTGTATTTAGGGTCGAAACGGCCTGGTGTGCTGTTCTCGTGATAGAGTCGTGCAGAGATGCTCGCTTATGAATTAAATCGTGATCGCCCCTGAGCAACCGCGTACAGGCTTGCATTTCAACCCTCCTCGCTCTCTTAGTATAACATCGCCATCGCCAAGAAATTAACGAAGCCCGAATATCTAGAACTCGGCTGATGACAACAAGAGGCGAAATAAAGAGATGGTCTGTGTGCCGTGCCGCGGCTTTGGCGGGCAGTTGAGTTGCTTGGCTCCGGCTCCAACCATGGTGCTTCGTTTCTGTATCGCCTCTGGCAATTCGCCTTCACTGCGTCATATTCGATACAGAATAGCCGCCGTGGGGGTTTAGTGCGTCCGCGAAACACGGTTGAGGTTGCTGACAAGGTTGGATGGACGGGCTGACTGTCATGACTGCTCGGTTGTCATGCAGTCTCGGTGCAGGGCTGACAACGCCAAGAAATGTGGCCATAAGACTGACAGCACGTGTGAGTTTGAGTTCAGCAACTGGGGGATTCGTGGGGACTGGGACCAGCTTCATGCCAAAGACTAGCCCACAGGAGACGAATTGGTAGTTGAGAACCCGTGCCATAATTGTGTGTTTGAAGAGAGCCTTGCCACTGCCTACATCCCTGCACAGCCCATTCCTCCCCTCATTCTCTGCCGTAAGCCCACTTCTTCGCACTCTCAAGTACTCTCGTTTCCTCCTCTACCCTGAAATTTGGCAGTGAAGTTTAGTCTCCTTGCCTTCTCTTTCTTACTTGTCGATTTGTCCACCTTTACCCTTGGGGTCTCTTGCGGCAGCAGCCTTCGATGTATTGATTGAAGGTGGAGCAAACCTAAGAACACCTACATGTGAGATGCACCTCTGAATCATCTTTTGCAAAGCGTCAATTGCTGTGAAGTTGCGAGAGCAGCACAGTAAATTCACAAGCAGGGAGGAGCTCTGGTAGTCTCATTGTATCCAAACACCGAGAATATAGTAGTGTGGGCAGTTGGGCTAGTATTTAAGTGATGGCCACATGAGAAGTGAAATAGGTCATCCCGGAGTGAGAGCCCAGCACCATGGAAAGGGGAGGCAAAAGTTTACATGTGTTCGAGATCCACCAGAGCGATCCCATGATTCTCGTCTCTCCGGTAGGCAGTTGTGCCTCAATACCGACCGGTTTCATTCCGAATAGACAAGAGATATTGAAAACCAGTATTGTTAAATGATGTCACTTCTGGAATTTCAAGTGTCGTCAAGTTTAGGAGATGGTGTCCAATATCGAAATAAGCCTTTGGCGTACGCTATAGTGGTCCAAGAAATTAAACTCCACCGCAAAGCCCAGTCGTGTCTTTTCCCGCCGGAATTTGACACAACATTTGTCCCATTCCTCAAGAGCTCAAGTACATGAAACAAGTCATAGTGATTCAAGTGAGACCCAGGGTTTTGCCAGAAACATGGCTAACAACACCTTTTTCAACATCCCAATACAGTCTGGAGCGATCTTCTTGATCGCGCATGGAAGGGCTTCATGCCACTCTTTCCGAGTTATGAGTGAATGCTCATTGAATTAAGAAAGCTGTGCACAACCCAGACCTCGCTGACTACTATCGAACACGTCGAATCAACGCCCGTATTCTGCATTTGGTTCATTTGTTTTAATACAAGACGTGTGATCAGATGCGAAAATGATGCGTTCAGGCTAACTAACGAGGCGCAGAGGCTATTCAGAAGCAACAACTCTAGGCTCGAGTTGAACCACACTGGGAGTTTTCATCACCTTGAGGCCCACCTAGCTTGCCACTTGAAACAACGTTGAGGCTCTACTTAAGCTCCGCGCACTGGCGGCCGCTGCTGCAGTAGGTCCAAAGCTTCACCAGCAGGCGTTTCAGCCTTTAGTCCTGACGAACAACATCTCGGTACATGCCTTGAAACAAACCTTGTATGCCAGGTCTCCCGGACACGGATCCCCACCCATCCAGAGCAGAGCACTATCGAATCGGTGGTTTGCACCTTCGAACGTCGACTCATCCCATTGTCCAAGAGGTGCGCCTTATCTAAACTTTTCACCCGGTTTCGGAAACGGCACATGTCGTGCAAGGTTTGTGGCTGCCTGCCTGCAGCGTTTTGTGGCATCGGAGGCGTGGGGAAATGGATCGCCGATGACACAGCAAGACCCTCGAAGATATTGCGAGATCCATCTATATAGACTCCCAGCTTTAAGCCCCTCAAGACATTTGGGTTGTGACCATCGTTGTTTTCTATAAGCATACATTGAAAGTTCTTTATCATCTAATCATAATTCCTGTTCTCTACCAGGCAGCGCTTGGACAGTGCGCAGATCAATCAATCGCATGCAGTGTCAGCGTGCTCAATCACAATCGAATCATACAGCGTCGTATCCGGTCATGGGCTTAACCTTCAGCATTCGTGAGTGTCACATACGCCTGCCACTGCGGCTCAAATAACCTCTGCTGCGCGACTCAAACGTGGGGCGAGGGTCGGTGCGTGCCGAGCACAACGACTCTGCCGTCTCACGTTGCTTGGCCAAGCTTTAGTACTGATCACACGTATTCCACGGTTTTAGCCAGTGTGCTTTTCTCACCAGGCACACCATCGTCGATAAAACAGGCCATGCGAGAATAGGTCTTCTCCGTCCAATGTCTCGTTAACTTCTTGGCTATTCGCTTTGGCACGACGGCGTACGACGGCGTCCTGGAGTGCCTTGATAAGCTCTCGGAAGCACGGCCGCCATTCTTGGGAGAGCAGCAGCAATGTTTAGATAGAAGCGTGTGTGACCAACTGCTCCCAGCCTGGTACACTGCAGCATTTCATGGTTTTCCCTTCGATTGCCTCTAGGAGAGATTGTTCATCATTTTATCCTTCTGCCAATGATACGCGTGTTTCTCTTCCCATCAAGATGAGGCCAATCGACGTCTGCGGGCCTAGAACTTCGCCCCGGCGGGCACATTTGGGAGTCCGTAGTGCGACGCGCACGTTTTCCTGTCCCTCCAGCCTGCCGTGCCGATCAACACTCTTGACAAGCTTGACTCAGTTAGTCTCTCTTGGTTAGCTTGCTACCTTGTCATCGGACCTCCTGCTCAGCCGCAAGGGCGATATATTTTCTTTGTCCCCAGTCCTCTTATCGAGTAGTTCGGATGCCCTTGCGCATCGGTTTCGCTAAAGCCACAAGCTTTGCCGCGGCTCAGCAGCAGCGATCAATACTCAAGATTTCTTTAGCGCAGTGCCCCGTGATGGCGCTACGGGCTTGACATTGAAGCCGGCTTACCAGCCAGCCGGTTCAAGGTGTTAGCGTTGGCTACCGGGGAGCAATATATGCAAGTCCTGGACGCCCTGAAGCTCGTTTCAGCACCAGCAACCATCCTCCTGCCGTTGTGCACACCACCGCGCCCGCCGAGGTGGAGCAAGCCCGACCTCGCGATACTCGACAATGGGAAACTTCGATCATGATTTTGACGTGACCCTGAGGTCACAAAGCTGGTCTTTGTACAGCGTTGGGATCATTCTCATCATCTTCAGGCTGTGAGTATCAACTCTCGCCCACCCTCATTTCACCAAACACCGAAGGCTAATCTGTCATGGTTGATCAGAATCGCTAGAGCACGGAGGTTAGGCGTTGGCAACTTCCAGGCTGACGACTACCTCATGCTCCTTGTGGCTGTAAGTCCTCCCCCTGGAATACATCGCCAAGCATCCACGGAACTAACATTATACCACAACGAAGCTGCTCTACACAGCCCTCATAGTCTGTCTCAACATCATCGTACATGGCGGTGGGTCTAACCTATACCCACCAGGGCTGGAGAAGACCTTCACAGCCAAAGACATTCGAGAGCGCATCTATGGCTCCAAGATCGTGGTCGTCTCGGAGCAGGCCATGCTCAATTTAATATACACCATCAAAGTGTGCATGCTTATAATGTACACACGCCTAACTCTCTGCCTCCGTGACCAGCTCATGGTCCGTTGCCTGGGAGTGTACGTGTTCATCGGGTGGTTCGCGACCGAGATCGCCTTCTTCACTGCTTGCCAGCCGTTTGAGGGCTATTGGGCGTTGCCCCCGCCGGATCCGCAGTGTACGACTCTGCAGAAATATGCTATAGTGCAAGGCTGCTTTAATATCACCTCTGATTGCGTCATGATCTGTATACCTATGCGTAAGTTGTCCCAGTTCTTCTATCTTCAACATTTTCCAACTTCCACTCAGGTAAAGAGTCGCTACTGTCACCAGATGAGTTGCGAATATTGAAGTCCGTAACATATGGCTGACATGTAATAGCGCTCATTGTACGAATGGCTTTGCCATGGCGACAGAAGATCGTCGTCGCATTCATCTTCTCCCTAGGAATCTTCGTCATCATAGCCGCACTCCTCACCAAAGTCTTCAACCTGACAGATGTGTATGACGCCGACTACATGCTCTGGTATATCCGGGAGGCCAGCGTAGCAGTCTACATGAGCAACCTACCGATGATATGGCCACTCCTGCGCGAGTGGTTCCCCTGCCTCCGGGCGCTGACCCCGGGCGCTGGCAACACGTACGAGAGGCGAGCTCGGAGAACGACCTTCACGCCCAGATACGGAGCTCGCAGATCTGCTCGGAGGATGACCATCCCTAGCGGCAAGGCAAGTGGCGGCACGACCCTGCGCTCGCCTTCCCTCGAGCCTGCGCCGGGCATCCACCCCAAGGACCCGGGGTACGACGTCGAGATGGCGATCCGCGGGGTTGACTCGGATGGCGAATCCAAGCGCGGCAGGCACAGGAGAGCGGATCCTGAAGACCAGCCGGGAGCTGGCGGGTGGCATGATGCTTCGTCCACCGACCAGATCATGCGCATCAAGACCCCTCCGAGGAGCATCTCGCGGGCGACCACGGTCGAGAGCAGTCTTCGGTTTCTTCAGATGGAGCAGGAGGCTCGGGATATGGTGATGGGTGCTGGAATCCAGGTCCAGACTTCATTCTCGGTGGAAGCGGAGGCAGCGACCCCGCCGCAGTCGAGTCAAGGGGGGCCGTCTCCGGAGCCTTGGGCACCGACGAAGGGCGGTTGGTGAGATTTTGGTAGAGGAATGGCGAAATGCTGTGATATCCTTAGTGGCTCAATGGGTTGGTAGGGAGTTTGTGTGTCTTTTGAGGAAAGCCGTGTATGTGACATGCAAATACTTGAACAGACATCTGTCAGTCTCGGCTGAAGCCTTTTGGCAACACTCATGTGCAAAACTTCATTGCGCACCATGCCTCCCATCTCCTAGATACGACAAAGTATATCTTGCTAAAAGTAGTATCGCACAGCTCATCAACTTTGGCAATGTGGTTGCCAAGCCAAGTTTGAACTTGTTGAACATTCATTGATATTCCAACTCGCATGGGGACTTATAAACAAGTCACTTTGTCTTGAGTGAAGGTTGAGATACTGGTAGAACACGCACGTGGCTTGCCTCTTATTAATCTTCTCAACAGTCTGTGCTACACTTTGAATCACTGTGACTCTCACAATATGTAATGAGACTACACAGTTGCAATACGTAAGGCTCGCCGCAAATCAAGGTATTGGCCCCGAGGATGAGTCTGCTGACCACGTGCCCAATTACGGGTTTGTACAACGCCTTCCGGGCTTGCCACAGCGACGGACCAGGGCTCTTGTGGACTTGATTTGTACCGAGCCGCAGTCGTACGTTGCATCCCCACGAGTTTTAGGCCATGGCGCAGGCCTGCATATGACACAGCCTGCATGAACGCAGCAAGGCATTTCCCCCGGCTGAAATGCTTACGTTGTTCTCACTCGCTCTCAGCGACTCCCGGACGATGTGAGGACACGCCCAGGCGTCGGGCCTCATTCCTACAAAGCGATCTGCTTCGGAAGGCCATAGTTATCGACTACCAAGGCGCTCATGTTGGACATGAGCCACAATAACACAACTTGCCCTTTCAGTAATGGACCCGTTGTCAGCAGCAGGTTTGGCGGGGACGGTTGTGCAGTTCGTCCAGTTTGCAGCAAATCTCTTCACCGTTGCGAGGGAGCTTCATCGCTCAGCTTCGGGCAGTTCCGAGGAAAAAGGAGTCACTGGAGGCCATTTACTCGAGATTATCAACTTTGAGCACGGATCTGCAGCACCCAGGGCCGACGACCAACAGGAGCAATGGCGCAGAGTCAGACGAGGCAGAGGATGTGGCGATGGGAGTTTTGGCCAAGGAATGCAAACTTGACTGCGACCGACTACTTTCCGTTCTCGGCAGACTCAAACACGGAAATGGGAGCTTTCCGAAATGGTGGAAGAACTTCAAGTCGGCACTGAAGGAGCTGTGGAGGGGCGATGAAATCGAGGCGCTGGAGGCACGTATCGCGAATCGGCAGACTCAGCTGATCATGCACTTGTGTATGAATACAAGGTCAGATTCATTTGAAAGCATAGTCGTCGATCTCAAAGGCTTACAGTGTATTGGCTACTTAGTGAACAGCTTTATCGTTTGAGAGTGCAAATGAAGCGCGACGATAATAATGTGGCTCTCAGCCTGACCTCTCGTCACGAGGACCTCCGGCACAGGGTCCAGAGGATGCAGAATCTCATTGAAGAGATCAACCACGCGTTCGTTGCGAATACTGGGAGACCTGACAAGCTGGTCCCGTCTCGAGAATTCGACCAATTCCCAAATACGGAATCATTGTTGCAGCAGGTCTCAAAGCTATCGCTAAATGATGCGAACAAATTCCTCGCGGACAATCTGTTCTTCGATAGATCAGAACTTCGACAATTGGCATCGTTAAGCGAGATGTACACCAAGGCAGATGATGTCCTCCAGGCCATCGACTATGAACACAGAACTGCTCGGCATGACAGCATACCACAAGAATATCCCGCCACATTCGATTGGGTGTTCGACAGGGACAATCCACAGAATGGCCACCTTCTCGAGTGGCTTGAGAAGGACAGCGAAATCTTCTGGATAACGGGAAAGCCAGGAGCGGGCAAGTCGACATTCATCAAGTTTGTGGCAGACAGCCTCGAAACAAAGACAGCTCTGAGAAAGTGGGCTGCTGAAAGCAAGCCTGCCATCGGTTGCCACTACTTTTGGAGCGGAGAGACGTCGATACAAAGGTCCCGCGATGGGCTGCTCCGGTCTCTTTTGCACGATATATTCCTCGAGGCCCCTGAACTTTTCCCGGAAGCATATACTCTTTTCGCCGCGGTCAGAAAGCCAAGTCATCTTTTATCTTCTGCTTCTTTATTGATGGGTTGGATGAAGCTTGCATGAAAGATCACGACAACGAACTTTGTGATACTGTGATCGCTCTGTCAACTTGTCCAAACGTCAAGCTTTGCATCTCGAGCCGGCCCTGGAACACGTTCACAGAGTACTTTGGAAACCGACCTACCCTGAGCGTACACGAGCTCACTCGCAACGACATTCAAGACTTTGTGCAAAACGAACTTAGCGGACATCCCAGGTGGGGAAGCTTGACCAATGAACGGGGCGAGAGAGATGGCCTGGTCGTTGAAATAGTACAAAGAGCCCAGGGCGTCTTCCTGTGGGTTGTACTTGTTGTCCGGCAGCTTCGAGAGGGCTTGACCAATTATGACACCTCGAAGGATCTATGGAAGAGGCTAGACAGGATCCCGGATGGACTAACAACGTTTTTCCGGCTCATCAAGAGCGTGGAGCCCTTCTACCTCCAAAAGATGGCAGAGACGCTGTTGATAGCCGCCGCTGGTCAGGGTCCTCTCCACTCAGCAATCTATACTTTCCATGACAGGTGCGACGAGAACGGGAATTATGCTATCGAGGAGCCAATTTTTCCGTGGAAGGACGAACAATTTGCAAATGAGGTCAGATCGTACCCAATGAGGCTGAATTCTAGATGCAAAGGACTGCTTGAGGTTGACGCTTTCGACAGTGTAAACTTTCTTCACCGCACGGCGCGAGACTTTGTGCAGATGGAGGATATGAGGGAATTCCTCAAAAGTCATGCCATTGCAGGCTTCGATCCTGGGATGAGCATATTCCAAGCATAGATATTCTGGGTTAAACATTCGACCTTTGTGGTGGGAGGGATTGATTATTTTGGACCTTCTAAGAGTCTATTGGTGGATACCGATACCCTCGAAACGGCGCTCATGTATGCTGGCAAGTCGGACAACCCATTCATTCTTGACCTGATCGATGACTTGGACTGGGCGGTCCACAGGATGTTTGATACTGGACAGGTGACATTGCCGGTACCGAGACAATTCAGCCGACACAGCAGCTATTCCGAACCTGCCTCTTGCGAACCGGGCTCGACGACTATTCCATCAAAAGACTTGTGCGAGAGCCTCGATACTTACATGATCTGGAGGTACCCCCTCTGGTATCTGTTCTCAAACTTGACAGCCAGGACGAGAACAACCATGAGATGCGATGGCCGGCACGAAGAGTCAATTTGCTTCAAAATCTCTTGGACCATGGTCACAACCCCAACACAGTATATGTCGATACGGAGTCTGGGATTGAGACGACCCCCTGGTGCCAGCTTGCGAAGAGATTGATGCTCTGCCCACAGCTCGAACAGAACCAACTTCCCTCGGATTACCCGCAGCGACCCTGGATAGAGGCAGTGAGCAGAGGCGTGATCTCGATGCTCCTGGACAACGGAGCCGATCCGAACGCCATGGTCGAAGGCGAGGACTCACCAGAGCCCCTTGCGGTGTGGGCCAAGTTCTTCCTGGCCGTCTTTTCGACCCCCGCGCTCATGTGGCACAGCGATCAGTACCTCGGTGATTTGGATAAGATGGTGCGAAAGGCGAACCTCGATTTGAGAACTGGCTTCCTCCCTCCAGCCGCTTGGCGAATGGCTAGTCGGAGAGCCGATCGATGTTGTCTGTCGAAGCCTTGGTGTCCCGCTACCCCTCCGAACCGCTCTGCGGAACATATTGGGATGCTGCATGAGGAGAAACTCCGCCGCGACCTCGACGCGCGCGCCCAAGAGCTACAGGGAGCTCCAGTTCTATGCCGAAGTCACGAAGACATTTCTGAGGCACAACGACTTCTCAAAGCTGCCGCTGCATGATATTCGCGTGGCTGTGCAGCAAAGCATGCCCGTGAGCCTTTTTCCGGACATATTGGAAGGATTCAACGGCTTTCTTCAATCTCGCCAAGAAAGCAGGTCGTTAGCGAAGAGGCGGAGGCCGCTAGACGGCGATGGCGACGAAGATATGGCGTGCAGCCCGGGACATAAGGCCCCAAGACCAAGCTTCATCTGCAATCTCCCAGGCCCGGGTGGGACGCCGGACGGTCAGGTTGGGAGAAGATACGGAGAGACAGTTTGGGCCTGAACAGTACACGAGAGCCACTACTTGTTTGGACATGACACGGACGCCCAGTGAGCAACCCTGGTACGGTTGAAATAAAAATTGGCAAAGTGCTAAAGATGGAAAATAGGTAAGTAAATGTCCGTTGTCCTATCAGAGCAAATAGCGGTTGTTCCATGTAACTCAAAGACCAGCAATGTACCAGATAACAATCAACTGCGGAGTTATACATGGCCAGATAGTTAATTGTGTTGAAGCAAAGGATGAAGTCGAGGTTTGTCTGAGATGGTCCGTGCTGACCCAGGCCGGCACTCAGACGCAGATGCGGGAGATCTGTGAATTGGTGGAGCTGTGACAAAACACACAAGCACTGGACAAGCCATCTCGTTCCAGCCAAAACAGCCACAAACCCAGGGGCAAAGGCGTTTTACCAGATGATTTCAACTCTGCTGGCTTTCGCTTATTTCTGAATCATTCCAGCCAAACACAAACAAAACAGGGTTGTTTGCTCTGCTTGCTTGGCATGTGCCCTGGTCGTTTTCACGAGGGCCAGGGTGAGGTGGGCCTGGCTCCACCCTACAACCCAGTGCCTTCCAAGGCGACATGACGAATTCCACCCTCCCCGGGCGGACAAAAACGATACTTTGTACCCTCTTATACCTCCACGCTTTTTACTTAAAACGCATCTTGCTTATTTTAAGGAATATAAAAAGTATCAGGTTAGGCCTTAAGTGGTGCTTGGCGATGCCTATCGGCACCATTTATCCTTACCCCAGCCGGCCCTTTTTAAATTTAATTGCCAGCTTAGGAAGAGTTGGTTTATTAAGAGAAGTTAAAAGTAAAAAAAGTATTTTAAGGTACTTTAAATTATAAGTTGTGCACTTGCTTAGCGTTTTTACGCTAACTAAACTTAGATCTCCCATAGTAAAATCATTGTTTTCGTCCGCCCGGGGAGGGTGGAATTCGTTATGCCGCTTCCAAGGTTGGTTGCAGGTGCAGGTGCAGTAGCACACACCTACGTAGGGCAGAGTGAAGGGGTACGCACGGCTGGCAAAGCACCAGCCAGGAATGACAAGGAGTGCCAGGGCACACAAGTCCATCCACACCAGGGCCAGAAGTCCAGACCCAGACCGAGACCGAATAGCTGGGTGTAGCTTGGTTTGGTCTAGTGGGGCCGGCGCATTACCTCCGTTCCTGTCTCTGCTCTGCATATTCTTTTTGCGACACCCTTTTTGTAGCTTCACCCTTCCATCCTCCTTGCCCTCGCCTGCCCAGCCAGCAACCTCCACCCTGCACCTCCACCTGCGCCTGCTGCCTCTTGTCTTTGTTCATCAGGTCCGGCCGGCTACCTTCTCCCCCACAAACGACTGACTTGTCGGGCCCTTTTTTCATTGTTCCCCAGCTGATGCAGCGACTCGACAAGCCCTGAGAGACTCAACTTGACCGAGTCTTGCTCGTCGTTGCGCACGCACGCACGCACGCGCCGTCAATCAGCCAGCCCCGTTTCTCCTTGGCCCGCGTCCACAACGACAGAAAACTCTGAGACGGTGACCGCCTTCGGAGCTTGACAGACAGACAGACAGACAGCCTGCTTCTCAACCTTTCATCACCTATCACGAACCAAGACCTGCACGGCTCTGGTTCCAGAATCAAACCCCTGCCCCAACCCCCAAGATGGCGGGTGCGACACCAGACATCCAGCAGATCCTTGAGCAGTTGCGTGGTAAGCGCTCCCCGACACACCTGTCATCCCGCTCTCCCTCATCCCGTGAACCTCAGCTGACCCGAGTCTCACTTCGTCCCTTTAGCTACTCAACAGAGACCTGCGACGACGACCCCTACGCAAGGCCAGCCTGGTCTTCCTGGCCCATCCTACCCCCCCGCCCAGGGCTATGCCATGCCGCCAGGTGCCACTCCTGTCCAGCAGAGCAACTACCCACCTCCTGGCGCCTACGGCTACCCGCAGCCCTCGTCGAGCGGGACCGTCGACCTGAGCGCCATCAAGCCAGTCAACTCGGGCACGGTGAGCATCCAAGATGCCATAGCAAAGGCAAAAGCCGTCGCTGCCGCCAACAACCTCGCCCCCTACGAGCGGCCTCCCGTCTACGCTGGGAACGACGGGCGTCGCCGGTCGCGTTCCAGATCCCCTCCCCGCCGCGAGGCTTTTCACGACAACTACAACCCCTATAGAGATGAGCGTCGTGCTGATCGTGCCCCTCGCGACCACGGCCGCGAGAGGTCATACTCCCCTGGACCCCGTGGCCGTCAGGGCGGCGGTGCTTTCTCCCCCCGAGGCTCCAATTCTGCGCGCCAACGCTCTCCCCTCCGTGGAGAGGATGACAGCTCGTCCGAGACCATGCAGATCGAGGCAAGCCTCGTCGGGCTCATCATCGGGAGGCAGGGAGAGAATCTACGACGTGTTGAGGGCGAGACAAAGTGTCGGGTCCAGTTCCTTGCCCCGCACAGCGGCGATGACAAGTTCCGGCAGTGCAAGATCACCGGCCCTCGCGCCAGGAGAGCGGAAGCAAAGGCAGCCATCAACCGGATAATCGACGACAGTGGCATGGGCGCGATCGCCCGCGCCGGTTTGGATAGAGGCCAGCCCCGTCCGCCTCCAACTGTCGACCCCACCAGCGGCCAGATAAACCTCAAGGACGGAGAAGAATGCTTGCAGATCATGGTGCCTGACCGCACTGTTGGTCTCATCATCGGACGAGGTGGCGAGACAATCCGTGATCTCCAGGAGCGGAGTGGCTGCCACGTCAATATTGTTGGCGAGTCCAAGAGCGTCAACGGGCTCCGCCCTGTCAACCTTATTGGTCCTTATGCCGCTGCTGCCCAGGCCAAGGACCTCATCATGGAAATTGTGGACAGCGACAGCCGAAATGGAAACTCAGGCGGCGGCGGTGGAGGCAACCAACACCAAGGCCGACCCAACCAGCGGGATAACAGCCACGACAAGATCAATGATGCAATCTTCGTCCCGAACGAGGCCGTTGGTATGATCATTGGCAAGGGCGGCGAGACCATCCGTGAGATGCAGAATCAGACTGGCTGCAAGATCAATGTTTCGCAACAACCTGCGCCTGGTGAGGCTGAGCGGGAGATCGAGCTTGTCGGTAGCCGGGACGCAATCGAGCGGGCGAAGCGGGCCATTGAGGACAAAGTCGAGGCAGTTGTAAGTCTCCTGACTCGTGCATGATATGATACTGTGCCTATCCTAACACCCGGATCCAGAGACAGAAGAGCAACGGTGGTGGTGGTGGCGCCGGAGGAGGAGGAGGCCGCGGTCGTGGGCAGCACCGCGACTACGACAATCCGAGCTACGGGCAGCCGCCTTCTAACAACCAGCAGCCACGGGCACCTGCGGCTCAAGCAGGCGCTGACGGCCAAGCAGACCCCTACGCACCCTGTGAGTATAATCCCCCCCGGAACAGCGCCCTTCCTCCGGGCCACATTCTGATGATGCGAGCAATCACTGACGCACACGGCAGATGGCGGCTATCAGAACTATCTGGCACTATGGTACCAGTCCCTTGCTGCACAGCAAGCCAATGCGGGCCAGGGCGAGGCCCCCAAGCCACCCGGCACATCGTAACCGGCCATGCGCACGAGACGCGGCCAACTGCGTGACGTCCTCTGCGGAGAGATTGACCCGACTGAACCACTGTATCGCTGTTGACTGACACGGCGGCTGTCCGTCTAACCGCATCCTGATGAAGCTGTCCCATGCCAGAGATACACGTCCATTTTGAGAACCGTCCAGCTCCATCTCTATACCCCGACTTTTCTTCAGCCTTTCATTGTTTGAGCACATCATCTTCTGCGCGCCACAGTCTCCGCGGAGAAACCTGCTTTACAAAAAGGGCCTCCCTCCCTGTGGGCCACTCTGACATTCCCGTCGACTTCTGACACGGCCGGTGAGGCAACTGGTGTCGCACTTTCGCGGCTTCGATTGATTTGACACTTCTTCATGAGATGCCACTTGATCGTAGTCCTGACAGCGGCCTGACTGCCTTCTCGGCCATGGTTCGCAATCTGCACGGACGAAGACCTTTGAGCTTGATGCGCTTGATGTGCCTGCTCCGGCGTTGTCTGGGCAACCTTGAAAAGTTCAGCTTCGTCGCCCACTTTGATACTACCGCCTGACTGCTCCTCATCCCAGGGTCTTCTCGAGGGCAGCTGCCGCCACCCGAGCGCGATTTCTTTCTGACTGCAGGCGTTCATTCCTTCAGCATTTGTCGTTCATGCTCCGCAACTTGAGGTTCAAGTAAGCTTGCATCTGACATTTACGGTTGGTGATGGTAGAGCGTCGTGACACGGCGTCTTGCGGCTCCTGAAGCGCGTCCATGAGGAGAGGGCATATGACTTCTACCCGCTGCACATGCGTCTTGTCCAAATATGGACAGTCTTTAACTCGGTTATGACCAGTCTCTTTTCAGCTCTGCTTTCCATAGCACGATCTTAGTGAGTATAATGACGGGAACGTTTGGTCAGGGTAGGCCACTGGTCTAAGGAAGAGGAGACACAGCCGAGGGACACAGCAAATCACCGCGAACTTGTAAAATATAATATTATGAATCTTTAAAAGTGACTTGATGGATTTGGTTATGAGTTATCGGTGTGTGTTTTGTCTCCTCGATCTCAGCCAATGTGCGCCTGATTCCGTACATTTGCAAAGGATTTGGCATATCCAGCCTCCCAGAAAAGCAGCTACAATACGGCCCCCACGACGTCGCAGGTTATGACCTTCACCATTCAATCCCGTAAATCCTCATCACAGCTTCGACTTGGGCGCCCCCGGGCCGGCTTCATCCCTCACGAGCTTCTCCACGGCCTCGACACCTGCCCTCGCGACCACCTCGTCCTGGGCGGGTGTGCCCGTGGAGCATCCCACGGCGCCGAGGACCTCACCCCCGGGCCCGATGACGGGCACTCCTCCGCCGATGACGTTGAAGCGGCCGCCGTTTGTGCCGTTGATCCCATACGCGGGCCCGCCCGGCCACACGGCCTCCCTGTAGGACGAGGTGGGGATTCTGTGTCCGGCGGCCGTGAAGGCCTTGTCGATGGCGATGGCGACGGAGGTGAGCTTTGCGCCGTCCATGCGCGTGAAGGAGAGGAGGTGGGTGCCGCTGTCGACGATTGCGATGTTCATGGGCACGCCTATGGAGGCGGCTTTCGCCTCGGCCGCGGCTGTTGCTGCCTTGGCGGCCGAGATGGTTAGGGTGGGGATTGTGGTTGTTGCCGGCATGGTGTGAGTTAGATTTGATTGATGAATTGATTGGTGGTTTTATCGAGTGGCCTTTGTCTGGGTCTATGAGATCCAGTGTGTGAAAAAGGGGGGGGGGGTTTCAGTTGACGTTGACATCAGGAGGGATCGACCTGACGGAGTGACGTCGTTTTAAGTCTGATGAAAGTCGACCCCTTCGACCCCTTCGACCCGGCGACTTTGAGAGCTTCGGCATTCGGCATCGACACTGAGTGCGATGTCGGGGTGTATGAGTTACGACTTGGTCAACTATAAAGTGAGAATAAAACAAATACAGACGCGGGATCAAGAAGGAACAGCATTTTGGAAACTGCAAGGACAGAGAAGGAGTAAGTGCAGTGAAGGTGGAAGGGGAGTAATACATTTTGTTTTGGGAGGGGGGAGCGTCGCGAATTCCCCGTCCTAACCCTGAGCCAGCCCATCCTATCCCCTCGCTCCGTACCCAAGTACCGACCTTGACAGGGATCTACTTGGCCCGAGTCGAGGTCAAGTCTTGGTGTTTAATTGACGATCCTTCCCCAGAATTTCTTTGTGGCAGATCTGAAGTACAGCCACAAGAGGATGGGCCCAATTGGCAACACAACGTCGCCAGGATGGCCGTGAGCCGGCACGACCTATCAGAAGCGCTAAACCGTAGCACGAGGGCGGCACGTGGGCGGACCACAGTTGGATGTTGCCATCACTGACGGCGGCGTCCCTCCTTGCAAGATCTTCACCTCCTTCTCCTTGGCTTCCCCGCCAATGACCATGTTCCGACTGTTTCTGGGCAGACTCTCGTGCCGACAGTCGTTCGGTACCTTGGCTGCCATCATGGTGCATGCGCAATGCTTGGTAGATAAGCCCGCAGCCGGGATTGGCAGATCTGGCTGGGCGAGGGCTGGCATGCGACACCATTTCCTATCCTAAAAGCCGCTCACGCGCCGCGCCGCGCCTGCCTTGTATCTGGTTCTTAACCTTTCGCGCTTGTCTCTTTCCTCGGCAAGTATCTGGTCAGGTGAATGTCGTGACTCTTTCACTCAACCACCTGCTAAGCGCCAACGTCTCGACACGCCTGTTCTGTGCTGAGGCTAACCTCCTTCTCCCTTTTCTTCAAATCTGTCTGGCGAGGGGTCTACCGCTCCTCTAACGCACCGAGAATCCGTGGTGGCACCAGACAAGTAGCTCAGCCATGGCAGCTAATACCAACGACAGGGGCCCCAGCCCCACCAAGCTGGAGGCAGGCGATGAGAAGGCCAGGATCCCGGACCAGGGCGTGCTCACTGACGTCCGCGCCGCGGATGGAGGCTCGCTCAGGGATGGCGAGGACATTCTCGCCCTGCAGGACCTCGACCCGGCGCTCAACATGAAGATGCACCTGGTTAACAATGCCATCGACGAGATCGGCTGGACAAACTACCACTGGAAGCTCTTTGGGCTCAATGGCTTCGGATACGCTGTTGATTCGCTGGTCCTGCTGCTCCAGTCAATCATCGCCACCCAGTCCTTCATGGAATTCGGCGAGGTCGGCTACGCCCGCGCGCTCACCATCGCCGTCTACGTCGGCATGCTGACCGGTGCCATATTCTGGGGGATGTCGGCCGACATCGTAGGCCGCCGGTACGCCTTCAACATCTCGCTGTTCGTCTGCGCCGTGAGCACGCTCGTTTGTGGCGCCATGCCGAGCTGGGGCTCGCTGGGGTTCTTCATCGCCCTCGTAGGCTTTGGCGCGGGCGGCAATCTGATCCTGGACACGACTGTGTTTCTGGAGTATTTGCCCTCCCAGAAGCAATGGGTGTTGACGTTTCTTGCCGCCTGGTGGGGGTTTGGGCAGGCCATCACGGGATTCATCGCTTGGGGATTCATGGGTGAGTTGCTTTGGGGGCGCCGTGCTTTCGCATTTGCCAAGAGCCTGTGGAAGCTGTGGCTAGTTTTCAGCGCTGATACTCGTCCATCTCGGTAGTGCCTGAGAGATGGAACTGTGCGTCTGTCGACACGTGCACCAGGGAGAACAACATGGGATGGAGATGTGAGTAATGAGATTCTACGCCAGCACGAGGATTCGCCGTCTAACAGGAGCCCAGACACAATGTTCACATCCGGAGCGTTGGTCTTCGTCATGTCAGTCCTACGCATAACCGTGGTGCGGCTCAAGGAGACTCCAAAGTATCTGCTGGGTCTCGGGGAGGATGCCCAAGTTGTCGAGACGCTTCAATACCTTGCCTCGAAGTACAACCGCCCCATCTCGCTGACGCTGGAGAAGCTTGAGGCGTGCGGTGAAGTCAGGGGCACCCACAGCATGAATCGCCTCTCGGTGAACGAGTTCTCGATACATCTTAGGGGTCTATTTGCCACTAGGAAGATCGGAACCTCGACCCTCTTAATTTGGGCGTCCTGGACACTTATCGGACTCGTCTACCCACTGTTCTACGTCTTCCTTCCGTATGTCTTCTGTCAAGAAAGTGAGAGCTTATGAAACAGACCCACTAACCTGGCACAGCACTTATCTTGAGACCCGTGGAGCAGATTTCGAAGAGACTTCTGTAAGCAGCTGCTCTTGCCTCTTCTTTCACGAGACTCCCCTCGATTTCTTTTCAGCTAACCCCGACCAATGCAGTACGAGACCTGGCGCAACTACGCCCTCGTCAATGTCTCGTCCATCTTCGGACCCATGCTGGCGGGCTGGATGTGCGACCTGCCCCTCCTCGGGCGCCGGTACACAATGGTGATCGGGGCGCTCATGACCATGACCTTCTTCTTCGCCTACACGGCCGTGCGCTCAGCGGCCCAGAACGTTGGCTTCTCGTGCGCCATCGGCTTCTGCCTCAACATTTACTACGGCACCCTCTACGCCTACACGCCGGAGGTGTTGCCCAGCGCCCACCGCGCCACGGGCAACGGCATCGCGGTGGCTTGTGCAAGGGTTATGGGTATCCTTTCTGCCGTGATCGCCACGTTTGCGGACACCAGCACGCCCGTGCCCATCTATCTTTGCGCGGCTCTGTTTATAGCCATGGCGGTCGTTAGTGTCTTCTTCCCGTTTGAGCCGTATGGGAAGAGGAGCTCTTAGGCTGGGGCCGGGGCTGCGACTGGCTTCGTGTTCGGGTAAAGAGGTGGAAACCGGTAGCTCTTGCACAAAGAGCTTTCAAGGCTGATACATCCCTGCACATATTTGTGCATATAGACTCTGTCAGGGTACTTGCTATTACTACTGACAACTACGCCAGATCTACGAACCATAAATATACAGCTAAGAACTCCATTGTCAACTTCTCCTGTTGGCAGGCCGCCATCTGCAAATTCGCTTCACTGTTTGTTAAAAGGCGGATTCATCTGCACGGTATGAGACGCTGTGCTATGCGGCGTGGCTCGACTTCTTTCGGCTTGGCTATAACCGATCGGACTCGATTCAAAGTCGAAATCCTTGCATGGGAGCTCGTACTTGTTCTCTCATTGCAACTCTCACCATATTAGTCCTTATGGCGATACTTCAAGTCACTACAAAATTTGGAGAGAGTTGAGCAGATCAACGCAATTATCTTCATTGAAGGCAGGTATTGCTAGGTCTACTTTCACGTTCTATAGACTCTGTCCATTTCTCTCGTTCAGTGACTGAAATGTGCGCCTAAGTCGAATTCGACAGAGCAAGCAGAGAGGTGAATATAGGCGTTCCCAGGCCCGTAGTTGGGTCCCACCCGGACACGGCCTTGAAACCAGCTCCGGAGATCTGACCAGAACAGCCGGAGATGCTCCCCGTCTTGATATCAGTCAGGGCGGAAGACGCATTGGCATATAACCAGGGGTTCAGGAAACCCAGCCCGGCCTTGCCGCTGGCGACGCGGTCGCTGTTGACGAGCTGGATGACGGACGCAAAGGTGGGCGAGGCGCAGCTCGTGCCGTCGACAAGGCTCGAGGACCCGCCCACGACGATGACGAAGTCGGTCGCCTGGGCCGCGACGTCCGGGTAGGCGCGCCCGGAGGCGTTGAAGTACTGCGACACGGAGCTCGCCGTGCCCGAGGCGACCCACGACTTGACGGCGGCGGCCTGGTAGCTCGGCTGCGGGAAGAGGTAGGAGAAGCCCCCGCCCGACGAGGACCAGGCTGCCTCGGGCCCCGTCCCCGTCGTGCCGCCCACGGTGGTCACCCACGGGCACGACGCAGGGAAGGACGTGGCGAACTGCTTGACCCCGTCGTTGGTGCACTCACCCGAGCCGCCGACGCCGCTGTCGCCGCTCGCGACGAGGACCGAGACGCCGCGCGCGCCGAGCTGGGAGAAGAGGTTGCACGCGTTGGTGGCGTAGGCGTCGGGCACCGTCTGCTCGTCGTCGCCGTACGAGATGGAAATCGTGTTGGGGAGGGCCGAGTCGCTGAGGCCCAGCAGGTACTCGAGGAACTCGAGGTACGGCTCGTTGGTGTTGGTCCCGGAGCCGACCCACTGGCCGCGCCCGGCCGTGCTGTAGTAGTTGATGGGGATGGACTCGGCGATGCCGCGGGCATATTGTATATCCAGGTTGGCCTCGGTGCCTGCTTGTGATGCTGATGTCGGGCAGGAGCCGCCGTTGACCTTGACGCAGTTGAATGACTGGGCGGAGTTTCCTTCCACTGCGTACTTGGACAGGAAGGTCTTGAGGTCGGAGGCTATGGCGTACTCCTCGAGGAAGCCAGCGATTCCCAAGAGGCCTGTGCTGTAATTCTTGGCCGACTTAAAGCTGTAGAGGTTGGCCAGGCAGGTGGGGTTGGTGTTGGACGAGCAGCCCGTGACTGCGTTGGCCGCGTCAATGTGGGTGTTTGCGGTCGCCTCATTCAGCGGGCGGACACCCGAGATGTTGGACTTGTAAGAGCGGAAGCCGAAGAAGGTCGTCGGCTGGACCATGTCGACGTGGCTCTTGAGAGCACTGGGGAGGCTGAATTCCAGAGTCCGGAGCACGACCTCGCTAGTCGCCGTGCAGCGGTAGGCGCTGTACTCTGCGTCCAGCAGCTTCTCAACCTGGGCGATGCTGGCGTCGACGACGATGGAGTCCCCACGGGCGGAGTATGTGGCATTTCCACCAAGGCCGGCACTCTCGAGCCAGGCCATGACCATGTTTCCAGATTCATCCCTCGGGGCGATGATGGCGTCGATGGCCTTCTGTGACATGTGAGAGCCATACTGGTGGTGTCCTGGTGTTGCGATCTGAAGTTGTACTGGTCAGCAAAGTGCATAGCTTGAGAAATAAGCCAGGGAGATGTGCACCTACGTTCATAGCAAGTTCGTGGAACTTGTCCATGTCCTGGTGGACAAGATGTATGCGAAGCCGGATCTGCGCAGCCTCCTTGTCCACCTGCTGCGTCTCATTCTTCACCCATCCCCGTGGAGGGGCCGTGAGGCTCTCGACAACGACAGAGTTCTTCTGAACATCCTGGCTGCCCGAAGTTGGGAAAGACAGCGTTGTGGATGCAAGTGCCAGGAGCACAGAGGCTGCATGCAGGAGACCCATGTTGGCCGCCGTCTGTGGTGTTCTAGTGGAGCGAAGGAAGGGTGGCCAAGAGGACGAGAAAGCTTGGTTTCGATCAGCATCTTGGCATCTCAATTTATAGGCAAAATTGACGACGTGGAAGACCTCAGTCCCAGCAGTGAGTGATAGCGCAGACGCGGTGACTTACCCAGGGTAGGCACGCAATCGCCCTGCTGCCCCGCGAACCAGGGGTCAATTCCAGACCCGACGTGGTATTGGCGTCTGCCGGATACTTTGAGCTGCCTATTTGGGCAGCTGAGATAGGTGATGGCTACACGCGATGTTGCGGAGCTTGGCACGTCCAGGGAAGGTATCAGCGGGTGGTGTCCGCATGAATCTCTCTCATTACTCATCTGCTTTGAGCTGTGATTTCTTTTCAAAGCAAACTCTGTGCCACCAGCCAGTGATCATATCTACCTGCAGTTACCTGGCTCCTGTGTGAGTAACAAGGGGGCATATGTGGCCTACCTGCTTCTTTCCCTTCATTCCAGTAGGCCGAATGTACAATCTCCGTATCCTCATTCGAACCCGGTCGTGACGAAAAGCGGTTGGCTGCAGTTGAGGCTGGGGTCATGTGGTACTGACGCACCTCAGCGGCGGCATGAGGCAGCTGCTTCACCGATTAAATGGCTGATTGATTGATTTACTCTTACTTCAGACGTCATAACTACTTGATGTCTAGTAACTGAATTCGATCAGACATCCCAAAAGATCTCACACCGGGGGTCCACACTTTGGGCACGGTATCACAGAGCTTCAGTCATAATTTGATTGCAATATCAACATTGCATCAGGGATGTATGTACATGTGAAGCCGATCCCATAAATGATGGGGGTTTTCTTTTTTGTGGCGTGAAGGGAAAATGCGCCTCAGGAGTCGGGACCACCATATCTCGACCAAAGCTTGAATAGTACCTTGCGGAGCTCAACCGAGCCTTAGAAAGCCGGCTTAGCGTTCTTGACCAGCATCTCGAAGCTACATCCGGTGTCAGTAATCTCAGTCATAATCCATCGATGTGGACCGAGGAAGGGCTCTTCAAAGTGCATTCAACCTCATGAGGGCATCAGGAGAGAAGGGGAAGTCCTTACTAGGCCTGGTTCCATGTTCCAGCCTCGGGAGAAGGCTTGTAGGCTTTTGTCTCCGGGTTAGCAACGCAAGTGCCCACAAATGTGTCTTGGGGGCGACTTACCATCCGAGTGTCCGCAGAAGCTGTCGTACCGGGTCGCGCTCGTGTCGCTGGTGCCGTCCGACTCACCACCGGGCTTGACCCACACAAACGCGTCGGCAAGCTCGTCGCCCGTGCTGCTCGTCGGTCGCACGCCGAAGCCGGCGCCGTTGACGTTGCACCAGTCACCCCCTGGGAACAGTCAGTCAACTGTGTCCGGGCATTTTGCCTTGGGGTACTTACACTCAGCGCGGAGGCCAGTAACGGCGTTGCGGCCGGTGTCGACAATGGCGTGGTTGGGCATGCCGTTCTGCTTCAGGAGAGGCGCGAAGGTGCTGCACATTTAATGGTCAGCAAATACCGCAATCAAGTCATTTATGTCCTGGCATATTGATTCTGTTGACGACAAGTTTCGAGTCTCATGGCATTTTGGGACGTTCTGGAGGAGGAAAGCAACGTACTCGACATAGATCTTCTCGTTCTGGCACTTGTTGTACTGAGCGTCAGGGGCGCTGGAGAACTCGCCGGGCGACTGGTCCCAGGCGTTCCACCCGGCCACGTTGGTGGCGAAGCCGCGGAACTGCTTGGGGCTGCCGCCGGCCTTGTAGGCGTTGGCGAGCTCCTTGGCCCCCGGGCTGAGGTTGTCGTTCCAGCCGAGCCAGCCGCCGTGGCCGGCGTCGATGTACATGACGACGTTGGGCAGGTTGAGCTGCTTGATGGCGTAGGCGACGCCGTCGCGGTAGCCCGAGGCCGACTGCTGGCACGTCGTCAGGTCCGAGTTGGTGACCAGGTTGGGCAGCGAGTCGGGCTCGATGACGAGCGCGAAGGCCGTGTTGGAGTGCGCCTTGAGGATCTTGACGATCGGGTCGATGTACTCGCTCTTGTACCGGGACAGCTGGCCCACCGCCAGCTCGCCGTTGGACGCCTTGGCCGCGCAGTCGCGCCCGGGCAGGTCGTAGATCACCAGGCCCAGGATGTTGCTGCAGGGCACGTCGGAGATGGCGGGCTCGACCTTTGCGATGTTCGCGATGGAGTCGCTGGTGCGAATGTCAGTGGTAAGCTTTGTGCAGATGGCGGCCGACTCGCTTCGTCCTTTATCCAGGACGTTTGGGATTTGCAACTCACATCCAAAGGAAGCTGCCGACATCGGCGACCTTGGCGGCAGCTGCCTTCAGGCTCGCGTCGCTTATAGCAGCGGTGGCGTTGTTGACCTCGTCGCGGTAGAACTTGTTGGCATGGAGCTTGTACTTGGCGAAGACGTTGGTCGAGGCGTCGAGAGTGACGGCGGAAGAGCAGCCCGACTGGCGCTTCTCCTGTGGCAGGGCAAGTGCTGTGGTAGCACAGGCCGCGATGGCTGTCCTCGAGAACTTCATGGTGTCTGTGGTGTAACTCGGCGATCTTCGAAGGATGGCGGGTTTCCTGCCCTGCTGCCCTCATGAAGCTCCATGCGGCGTCTCCGGGGTCTTTATATACACTGGCATTCGCCACATGGATATCCGACCCACCTCGTCAACCATGGTCACGAGAAGAAAGATAGTACTACGTCTTGGGCTCCGAGATGTGTCTAGAACGAGATCGGCAATCAGGAACACAGGTCCGAAAGTAGCGATGAGCTCGGCCACAGCACTCCGAGTTTCCCATCGTCGACAGGACCAGCAGTCCAGTGAAGGCTGTCCGCGTGACTGGGATCTAGAGAGGGACACCATAAGTTGAGCAGTACGTTGGGTGTCACGACGCGAGGCCAGGGAAGACCCTCGCCCCCGGGGGGATGCTGCTGTAAGAGGAGCTGGCCCGATTGGTCTTTCGACCACATGAGAAGCAGCACATACTTTATGGGTAATAACGGAGGACCAACTTGGAGCCCTCCAATATCGACGGCGAGCTATAATGCTCCATTGGCCTTTAGCCACTGGCTCAGGCATGGGAAACCTTCACATATTGCCCACTTGGCTATGTCTCCTGCCGTCGAGTACTGCTACTAGCAGCCCGAGTTCAAATGTGATACAGTAGCGAGTGAAGCCAAGCATCGCATCTGGTGTTAAATATTGAAGTCTTCCATTGGAAAGGGAATGGACATGGAATGAGAGGCTTGTTGCTTTGGGCATTGGGTGCAGATTCGGGAAGCCCCGAATTTGACGCTGGGAACTGTGAACCAGGCACTGAGTACAATCATCTACCAGTGTCGACTATGTGCGTGAAATATCTCTTGGTCTCGAGTGGCAAACCAAAAAGGTCTTCATAACTTACTGAGCTGGATCGTGATCTACTGTTAAAGTGAGCTGGATGATCAGGCGGGCGAGACCTCAGGGTCCAGACTGATGAGCCCCTAAATCGAAGGTTGAATAACCTTGGCAACCCATTTGAGGTGGATGGAAGGGCCGTCGATTAGTGATGTCTGAAATTGATCATCCCGAGGTGAATTCTTCCGGAGCTGGGAAGTCAGCTGTTAATCTCTTATGAAATTGATTGCTGGGGGTTGCATTTCGCCTCCCCTGACGGGGGAACAACCAACAAGAGGTCGTGCCAATGCAGGAACTAGGAAGAGGTGACCGTGGGAGGCGCCACAACAGACGACTAACCACCGCCAATGTACTTTTTATGTACTAGGTGGTGTCCAAGACATCTCATTCCTGGCTACATGTTTTGAGCAAGTATGCAACCTCGTGGCATCCTTCTCTCATCTCATTTCCAGGACCTTCCACCGTCAACTCATAGTGATGCTCGGACTGTCCTCCGCATTTGGTGAGAAGGTGACCATTAGAAGAAAAGAATGATATGTTCCTATTCGATGATGGATGGTACAATACGCAATTTCATGACCACTCCTACTACTCAGTACCAAGGTACGAACCGAGGCAAATAGAATATATCCCGGGCCAATGTTGAGATACACTCGGAAGAAAGAGCGGGGCCCAGATCTACAGTTCTGACAAGGTTTCAATGTGAGCTTAATTATGCTTGTTCCAAAAAGTGACAACTGCCGGGTCCGGTTAAATGCAGAGCATACACATATTACCACGCTGTTGGCAACAATATCTTGGCAGCATGACAGTCGTTCCAGGCCCCTCGCCCTTCTAGAGAGGGATTCGTGCAAGAACTGATGGATCGGCAAAAGGAGTGGATGGTATTTTTCCAAAGCTTCAAGCCTTTAAACGAACCGAAATGTGGCCTTTGAGGCTCCAGATTCGCGGAATTGCCTTGAAAGCTTGGTTGGTCTACAACCCTTTGGGAGCACACTGAGGCCGAACTGGGAACACTGGCGGCTTCCTAGGACGACTTGATCGTCTCACAGTCAGAATTTTGTGGGATTTTGGACCTTGTTCAGATAGATGAGAACGAGGTCAATATATCGCTACATCCAATCTCTTTGCATTCATCAGACTGAATCTAATTCGTAGGGTCCTGCTTGGATCGTCGTGGACGGTGCGGTGGCTTCATGTAGAGGGTGGAATCGGACCGTGCAGACGGGACCTGCGTATCAAGCTGATTACTCTGTTCGTGTGTAGAGAAATCTGGCATGCAGTACATATAGAATAGAAACAGCTCGCTGATATTTCGCTCAACTACCCTGTGTCTCGGTCGCAATCACTTCCTAGTTTTTTAAATTTCAGTAGCCTTGGCTTTTTGCAACTTACTGCTTGTTCACGCAGAGCGTTTCATGCCACGTTGGATTCCTAGTCTGATTCGATGTGCTTGTCCATTCAAGACTGGAAGATTAGTCTCGAAGTTCGACCTGTCATGCAAACAACAGCATCAAGAAGCACCGACGTGGGTATGTTTACTTGCGTCCCGACCATTCAAAGTGCAAGTAACGGGCTCATGACCCGACACTCGTTACGGAGAGTTCCAACAAGAGTGGGTTTGGCCGCCATGATGTTCTGAGGTGGCTGAATCTCTACTACGAGACACGCCGAGTACCTGATTACGAAAAGCTATGGTTTCGATTGAGTTTCTCTCCAAAGCTATAGGCGCGGAAGCGTATGAGGACACCAGGTACGACTGAAGCATTCGAAGGCGATATCATGCAATGTGGACGCCACATAACACCTCATGCGTGAGACGGGACACCATTTGCATCATCAGCTCCCTTACAGCAGCCAGTTTTATGATCTGTCGATCGGGGCTCCAGGATGCAGGCCGACGCGTCGAGACCACGCTTTCTGGCTCCGAGGCCGTTGGCATCCTGGCAAAAACATGTGTTTGACGAGTAGGAAACAGGCTGCCTGCTCGGCCTTTTCACGTGAACGAGTTGGATTAAAAGGTCAAGCATTGTCGGGACGCCCTGCGTGCCATCGGCCAGGACGGTAGCCCGCGGGCAGGGCCAGCGCCGGAGCCCGGACGGACGAGATCCTTTCGTACACTGTTCGCTTGCAGTCGGAGCTTCCGCAAGGAAATAACACCAATTACACCCCGTCCCAATCCTAAGAGACCATCCCGTCACGGCACTGCTGAAGACCAAGCGTAACGGTTGGCTGGCCGCCAGTTACCAGCCGGGGAACGTTACATGAACGAAATGCGACAGGGGGACGGCAGGTTGGTGGTGGGAACTAATAAGCACTGCTGGCTTGATGGGGGAACGGGACTAGGCGCGCCTCGTGCACGGCACTCGCCCCAACTGCCTGTCTGGTCTGACGGTCCTGTCGGCGCCGGATACCAAGGGTCTTGGGTGCCCAGGTGGGTGTGTGTGCCCACTGCCTGGCGCACCAGCTGACCGCGGGGTGGACCGCCCAATCAGCTCACCCATTGCAGGTCTCGGGCTCAGGCAGGCTGCGAGGTGCCCGCCAAGGGGGCCAATGGGCCGTTTCCTGCATTCGGGCCGGGGACGCTTATCTGAAGGATGGGTACGTGGTTTGCCTGCGGGGGTGTTTGTCGTATCATGATCAAGGATTGAGATAGGGTTGGACAGAGTGCCGATGGATGCTGATGCTGATGTTGGCATTTCTGTCGGTGACAGCAATGGGTGCAGCAACTCAGCCTGTGCTTGGTGCCAGTGAGAGGAGGATTGTTTGATGGTAATAGCGTCTTCGTCCGAAGTGCTGAGCCCGACCAGGTGGTATCGAGATTGGATTTACCCCGGATTTCGCGGTGCAAGTGTGTGTGTGTGTGTGTGTGTGCATGGCTGGCATGTGGGGACGGACGGACGAACGAACGGGCAACCAAGCTGCTGGGGTGCAACAGCTGGGCCGAGTGCAACGCAACCTCGAGGTTCTCGACTCCAAAAGCAGTTCTGGGCGTCAGTTTCGTGACCAGGCACATCCTATCCTTGATACGAAGGGCTAAAGCGGATGCCCGCCCTCGACAGGCTGAGATTTGCTGTGGCGCCACTGGGGCCCGTCTCCTAGCTTATCATCTCCTCTCACCTGGCTGCTGTGGGCATCCTTATATGGCAAAGCGCTTATGTACGGGCAAGGCTTCTTGGGAGAGGGACAGCAATCGAGCCGTGAGAAGTGACATTTTTTTTTGTTCATTCCTCGAGGCAAGCATCTAAAAATTCTGGCTGCTACGTAGCTTGTGCGTCCCCGAAAAGGATCTCGTTCAGCTTGTCCGATGTTACCCTTCATCACAAGACATTGATCCTTCATCCCAACCTCCAACAGCTCGTCTGCACACTGCCGCTCGATCTGCTCGCCCAGCCCTGCAGTCAAGCTGAGACGAGACATACGACCTGAACGGCTCACGAGCTCTCACTTGGTAGCGGGTGAGACGCCACTGAGGAAGCCAGCCCTTTCGCGTGTTACCATTTCCGCTAGGTGGGTTTGTTCTGTCTGTCGCCGCAACCTGCCACTCGTTGTAACGCGTCACATCGATAGCCCTTGGCCTGGACATGGATTGTTATCTCACTTTTCTCACCATAAGCCCTGACCATACATACAGCAGCAGCTGCTGATCCCCTGCACCAACATATTTCTCGCTTGCCCCAGTTCGACTGATTGATTTCCTGTCGCGACTTGGGTCTCATCTATTCCGTGGAAGAATTCTGTTTTCACCCAGTCTGTTGAAAGACGGCGTCAATCACTGTGCTTGCTGACCACCTCACGAATTAGAGGTTTCTAGGCCAGCACCCCAAGACTACCCCGCCCTCGGTTGCCAGGCAGCTTGTCAACAATCAACGGTGGCAAAATCCTATTGATTTCGTCCAGAACTGCCAATCCACGCTCTTTTCTCGCGACATACAGAATGGCAGACAACAAGGAGACGGCGGCCGACGTGCCCGCCACCTCCCACTCTCCCGTCACCCCGACCGAGAAGGACACCACGGTCAATGCAGCCCCGGAGACGCACGCCCACCATGTCGACGGACCCGTCACTCGCCCTGCCGGCTGGATGTACAAGGGCGTCAAGCTCGGCAAGAAGGAGATCTGGTACGCCTCGCCCAAGATGCAGCTCTTCATGGTCTCCATGGTCTGCTTCCTGTGCCCGGGCATGTACAACTCCCTCACCGGCCTCGGCGGCGGTGGCCAGCAGGACCCCCAGGTGCAGGACCACGCCAACACCGCCCTGTACTCGACCTTTGCCGTCGTCGGCTTCTTCTCCGGCACCTTTGCCAACCGCCTCGGCATCAAGCTGACCCTCTCGCTCGGCGGGCTGGGCTACTGCATCTACGCAGCCAGCTTCCTCTGCTACACCCACACCCAGAACGACGGCTTCGTCATCTTCGCCGGCGCACTGCTCGGTGTCTGCGCCGGTCTCCTGTGGACCGGCCAGGGCGCCATCATGATGGCTTACCCCCCTGAGACGTCCAAAGGCCGCTACATCTCGTGGTTCTGGATTATCTTCAACCTGGGTGCTGTCATCGGCTCGCTGATCCCTCTCGGCCAGAATATCAACAACTCCGCCGGCACCGTCACCGACGGCACTTACGCTGCCTTCATCGTCCTGATGGCCGTGGGCGCCGTCTTGGCCTTGTTCCTATGCAACGCCGACAAGGTCCAGCGTGAGGACGGCTCTCACGTCATTCTCATGAAGAACCCGAGCTGGTCCTCTGAGATCAAGGGCCTCTGGGAGACCCTGTACCTCGATCCATGGATCGTCCTGCTCTTCCCCATGTTCTTCGCCAGCAACGTCTTCTACACCTACCAGACCAACGACATGAACGGGGCGCACTTCAACACCCGCACCCGTTCCCTCAACAACCTGCTCTACTGGCTGGCGCAGATCTTTGGCGCCGTCATCTTCGGGCACGCGCTCGACTTCCACAAGGTCCGCCGCAGCGTCCGCGCCAAGGCAAGCTTCGTCACGCTTTTCGTGCTCACCTTCGTCATCTGGGGAGGCGGGTACGCCTGGCAGAAGAAGCAGGTCAGCCGCGATGTCATCGAGGCGGTCGATGAGAACGGGGACCCGACGTACCAGGACCGGGTGGACTGGACCGGCGGTGGTGAGAAGTACATAGGACCCATGTTCCTGTACATCTTCTACGGCTTCTTCGACGCCGTGTGGCAGACAAGCATCTACTGGTAAGCACTCGCTGTTCCTATTCCTCCATCTTTGCAAGCATTGGCCGCGACCAAGAGCTGACCACGCCTCTCTGGACAGGTACATGGGCGCCCTCTCGAACTCGTCTCGCAAGGCCGCCAACCTGGCCGGCTTCTACAAGGGCATCCAGTCCGCGGGCGCAGCCATCTTCTGGCGGCTCGACGGCCTCAAGAAGCCGTACAACACGCTCTTCGGCGCGACGTGGGGCCTCCTCGCCGCCGCGCTGCTGTTTGCGGCCCCGATCATCTGGACGCGCATCAAGGACACGGTGCCGCTCGAGGAGGACCTCAAGTTCTCGGACGAGACGGTCGCGGACGTTGCGCCGACGGACGCGCTCGGCAAGAACGAGAAGACTGTCGATGTTTAGCTTTTGAGGCTGGGCGAGATGGCATGTCGGCGGGAGTCAGATTGTTGAGTTCGTAGATGAATGTTTCATGGACAAGAGGGGACTTGTGTGTTCGGCCTGGCCATTCACGTCGGCGAGCGTGAGGGGGGCCAATGATACCATAGCATGAGTTCTCAACTTGAGATAATTGATGAGACCAATCACAATTTTGGAATTCGTCAGGACAGTGCAATGCCTGGAGGACGTGAAGCTGATTTGTGAAACCGCTTCGAGATATCTGTACATGAAGGATGGTCAGCAGTGGTGTAGTGCGGCGGCAATTTGTTGAAGTCAAGTAATCCAATCGGGCTCGGCTCTCGCGGCGATCCCGGACGGCGAACGCGCGAGAGGCAAGGTTGAAGCTCGAGGGAAAACTGTGTTTCACAGTCGAGGACAACAATGCAACAGGAGGCCAGTCAGGCCCGCCAATGAAGCGAATACGAATGTCCAGAAACATCGAATCGACCCAAGAGCTGCCTGTTTTGGAGATCCCCTGACGCCTTAACCGAGGACATCACCACGCCCGGGCGGACGAACGGGAGCCACGGGCGGCACAGACCGAGCTAGCGCCGCCTGCCAGTGTGGCCCGGAGGCTCTGCAGGGAGTGGGCCGCTCGTGCTGCTTGCATTTGGAAAATAAACTCCGCGATACGTATACATGCAGGCTACAGTGCATACTGTGCCGTCCCCTTGAACTTGCATGCATTCCAAAAGGCAAGAGAAAGACTGGGGATTTCCCCACGAAAAGCCTCGTTATTAACAAATGGCCAAGCCCAGGCTCTGGGGATTCCACGGGGTTGAAAGTGTCGAGCGGCCAGAGGATCGAGGATCGAAGAGCTCGGTTCTGGCATGATGAACATAGAGCTACGTCATGCTAACAGACTTTCGTATACGCTTTGGTCTAGTTGTGTTAGTGTCACTTCGTACCCACCCACTGGGCCGAATCCCGCAGCAAAGCTTCCTGTGGGCGCATCGTCACCCTTGCTGCATGGAATGATCAGACCACAGCAACGCCGTAGCTTGCGACCCATTTATTTTATATATCCCCACGAGGGGGACCCATCCTACTTTCCTTCAAGATGGGCCCTCTCTACTCTTCCCTCCGGACCGGCGGTGTTTTTGTGTTATCTTTCCTTTCGACTGTTGGACCACTCTCCACTCCTTCTCTGCTGCTTCTAGTCGCGACGACGGCAACCCTCCTCTCCTGCTCGACTTAGCAATTCGAGAAAGGCAAACTACACCATACTATCTGGCATCGTGAGCCCTCCAAAGAGTCCGCGCAAACGACCATGGCGAGCCCTGTAGCCTCGGCGGCCTTGAAGGCGCGCATTCGCCGCCCTTCGATGCTGAACAAGCTCTGCCACCCCGAGCAGCTGCTGCCACACTTCCCCACCGGCTCATACATTGGCTGGTCCGGTTTCACGGGAGTTGGATACCCAAAGTAAGCTTTCCGTTAATGACCAAGATGGGGCGGGGACATGTGCTGACGCGTTACCCTGCAAAACAGGAAGATGCCCACGTACCTGGCCGACCACGTCGAGAAGAACAACCTCCAGGGCAAGCTGCGGTACAGCCTGTTCGTGGGCGCCTCGTCCGGTGCTGAGACAGAGAACAGGTGGGCTGGCCTGGACATGATCGAGAGGAGGAGTCCGCATCAGGTTGGAAAGGCCATCGCCAAGGGTATCAACGACGGCAGGATCAACTTCTTCGACAAGCACTTGTCCATGTTCCCCGTGGACTTGGTATACGTACGTGAACCCAGCATGCCTAAGCAGTTGGCAAACGGGATGTCGCGATAATTATGGACGGATTGCTAACATTGTCTACAGGGTTTCTACACAAAAGACAAGCCCAACAAGAAGCTCGACGTCGTGGTGGTGGAGGCAACTGATATCTTGGAGGACGGCAGCATCGTCCCGGGCGCGTCCGTTGGAGCCACCCCTGAGCTGGTTCAGATGGCCGACAAGGTCATCATTGAGGTCAACACCTCCATCCCAAGTTTCGAGGGCCTGCACGACATCACAATGACCGACCTGCCCCCCAAGCGAAAGCCATACCTGATCATGGGCGTCGAGGACCGCATTGGCACGACGTCGATCCCCATCGACCCCGAGAAGGTGGTTGGCGTGCTGCACTCCGACTACCGTGACCAGACGCTCCCCAACTCGGCCGCGGACGAGGGTTCGCAGCAGATCGCCAACCATATCATCGAGTTCTGGACCCACGAGGTCAAGCACGGACGTCTGCCCGACTCTCTGCTCCCAATCCAGTCTGGAATCGGCAACATCGCGAACGCTGTGGTTGGAGGACTGAATGACTCTAACTTCAAGAACCTGAAGGTGTGGACCGAGGTCATCCAGGACACCTTCCTCGACCTGTTCGACTCGGGCAAGCTGGACTTCGCGACGGCCACCTCAGTGCGCTTCTCTCCCGACGGCTTCAAGCGTTTCTACGACAACTGGGAGGCGTACCACAACAAGCTGCTCCTCCGGTCGCAACAGGTCTCCAACTCGCCCGAGATTATCCGGCGGCTAGGCGTCATCGGCATGAACACGCCGGTGGAGGTGGACATCTACGCGCACGCCAACTCGACGTGCGTCCTGGGTTCGCGCATGCTCAACGGTCTGGGCGGCTCGGCCGACTTCCTGCGGTCGTCCAAGTACTCCATCATGCACACGCCCTCGACGCGGCCGTCCAAGACGGACCCGCACGGCGTGAGCTGCATCGTGCCCATGTGCACGCACGTCGACCAGACGGAGCACGACCTGGACGTGGTGGTCACCGAGGCCGGGCTCGCGGACGTGCGGGGCCTGAGCCCGCGCGAGCGCGCCCGCGTCATCATCGACAAGTGCGCCCACGACATCTACCGCCCCATCCTCAAGGAGTACCTCGACAAGGCCGAGTGGGAGTGCCTGCGCAAGGGCATGGGCCACGAGCCCCACCTGCTGTGGAACAGCTTCGACATGCACAAGGCCCTCGTCGAGGAGGGCAGCATGGCCAAGGTCCAGTGGAAGTAGATTACGTGAGGGGTGGGCCCCAGCGGTGGTGGCGAGAGTCGCCTAGCGCGGCGTGACTTAAGCTTAATACAAATCGTCCCATTTTCATCCCTTTTTGGTTATCATTCATTTTGATGTGCCCCCTTGGTGAACGCTAATGCAGTCTGGCAGGTTTGACAACTGCAGCTCGGAGACTCCCGCAGGATAGCTTACCCGAAGCCGTGGCATCCTCTCACCTCAGCAACACTTGTGATATCGTGGAAGCTTATTTTGCCTAGAATAGCAAGCTCATTGGGCTGACAGCAGAATGCACAGAATATATCTGGGCACCTGAATTGGTCTTGACTTGCTATCTCTTCATACAATTATCACGAGCTTGATGCGTCGCTATCTCAACTTCGAGGACGCAATGACCGACGAACAACTTGCTCATGAGTCAGTCTGATCTTGGATTGGCCATTCGGCCCTGTGGCCGCCAACGGCTCGATTTCCTCTGACGTCTGGAGCTGCTTCTCGCCAATGAGGGTCAACCGCCTCAGACCATGGCAGCTGTTTGCCGACATCGAGGCCGAAGCAAGCGACCGTGAGCTCCAACTAGCGTTGTCACGATCTGGAGCTATTGAGTTGTTGACGACAATGTCGAGCTCGATGATAAGTCGATGATGGCAAGGCGAACAACGGACCGAGTACCTTCCTTTAAGGAGAGACGCGCTCGGCCAGTGGCCTCCTCTTTCTTTCCCTCTTCCTGCTCTACAGAGTCTCCGTCGTGGTAAGGGTTGGTCTTAATATCAGACCGCGAAGCACCAAAAAAGAACGAATTGATACCGTGTACCCACCAAAAATGGACTTTACACACGGAACAGGACGGCATGCCGGTCGACGCTACCACTGGTGCCTGCCATGCGGCATCCTTTTCGGGCTTATGGCATTCGTGACGATGCTGACTTTCGGCGTCCTCAGCTACATTGACCATGGTGGGATTGCCCACTGTGTTGAAGGTGACTGGAGGGCAACCAGGAAGGTCCCAAAGCCCGGGTACCCTGAATCTCTGGAACCCGATGACCAAGTTGCCATAGCGAGCGGGAAGGTCCCCGAGGAGTTGGTGGTCCAGGAAGGACAGCTGCATGTCCGCAGCGATGACCCTGCTCGCAGATATGCCGAGCAGGAGCAGGTGGCCGAACACGACACGGACGCGGATGAGGCGTCCGGAGCCGAAGATCGGCGGCGGCAGATCAGGTTGCCCAAGCTGCCCATCCCCTCAGAGATCCTCGATATTCCCATCAAGATCCCAACGCGCGTCTCAGAAATCCTCGGTGACCTGCCTATCCCCACGATTCCCACTGACCCGGGAGACATCATCGACAGTCTGCCTACCGACCCAGGAGAGTTGATCAGCGACCTGCCTATTCCCACGCTCCCCTCGATCCCTGCGATCCCCACGCTACCGGTCCCCGTCCCGATCCCGACAAAGATCCCGGACCTACCCATTCCCACCGGCACGAACCTTCCGGGCGTGCCACTTCCCACCGTCCAACCACCCAGCAAGCCCAAAGACCCCTACAAGCTGCCCGACCTCACCGAAATCCCCCACCGGGTCCTGACCCTGCTACACGGCTCCATCAGCAAGCTGAGCACCAGCAAGGACACCCCGAAGTACCTCCGCGACGTCCTCCGGCTGATCCTCCGGATCCTCAACCGCGTCGCTGGCGGCAAACCCGTCCCCGACCCGTGGCCGTCCAAGACGCTCCCGTTGCCAACAAAGACGAAGCTGCCGCTCCCCACGCTGACCGTCCCGACGGTTCCCAGGTTCCCGCCGCTGCCGAGGCCGACGCTGACCCTGCCCACCGGGCCAAAGCGACCCGGAAGGCCGGACAGCATCGAGCGGGCCGCGGAGGAGGCGCGGGACGAAGGCGGCGGCGGCGAGGAGCTGCTGAGCGACGAGAGGCGCAAGCAGCTCCGGGCCTCTGTGGCCGACGAGGTGTGGGCCGGGGCTGACTGGAGCAACCCGCTCCTTGCGCCCCTCACGGCGGCGGCGGCCATGCTCACGTTTGATGCTGTCTACGCGGTCGCGGGGAAGTGGAAGGAAACAGACGACGAGGGTGAGAAGGACAGGCTGTTGGGCTTGTTTGTTGTTGTCAATGATGATGAGTAGGGGCAGACTGTGGCTTGATTGATCCCTGGTTAGGGTGATGACACTTGGTGTTATGGTGGTCTGCGGTCCGGCGTGATGATGTGATGCGCCTTTGGACTGTGGATAGACGATGTATTATTTCTTATCCTATTGTAGGACCACACCAACAAGGACTCGGGTTCGGGGTAGCTCACAGAGGAGTTGACGCATAGGTAGTTGCTCACCTTCACTAGATTCAATGACAGTTCGCTATCCATGTATATTTACAATCGATGTTACGACAATCGTTTCGATTTGTCCTCTCTTTTACCTAATGTCGCTGTATAGTGTATGCTCTTGAATGGCCGGCTAGCGGATAAACAACTCCGACAGGAATGGTCATTCCAGTGAGTTTGATGTCTTCAATTTGTCATTAATAATAGTGAAGGTCTAATTTGTGATCTTGTCTCCTACTTTCTGGAGGAGGACTGTTACTCTGTTGGCATGGGCACTCACGAATGGTGTGTGCTGTGAGGTGTGCACATGGAGCACGCAGGCGGAAGAGTCCTCATCCTTGGGAGGTGGTTGACCGAGCTTTCAGGGAGATTTGGACAGGCAGAACCAGAAATATCCTTATTTCAAGTTCCCCGCCCTGCACCTTACTTTCATGCCTGCCCCTCCACATATCTCGTCCCAAGGTTGCCGTCCAAGCCATAATTCTGCGCCCCGCTGCCCCCTCCCCCACCGGCCGACTTCCCCTACCGGTGACCAGGACCCAAGCTCTGCTTAAGACCCAGCGTCTGCGTCGCGGGCGTCTTACGCTGTAACATAAGCTGGGTGTCGAAGACCTTCCGATCGAGCACCTTGAAGTCGAACCCGCACGGGGCGAGCTCGTCCCGAGCCTTGAGCAAGGCGTCGCGAGCAGCCTTGATCTTCTCCGGGGCGCCGTCGTCGTGCACGTGGTACCTGGCCCAGAGGGTCCACTTCCCTGCCGAGTCGACCTTCTCGAGGCTGTCGAAGGCCGGTAAAGGGCCGGAGGGCGGGCCCTGGAACGAGGCGGGCGGCGTGTAGTGACGCACCAGGTTGAACTCGAGCAGGGGGTCGTCCCGGTGGTACACGTCGTGCGTCTCCTCGACTATCTGGGCCTTGTAGCGGAACTCGTTGTCGTTCAGGACCGCGGGCAGGTTGAGCTGGCCCCAGATCTCGATCTTCTTGCGCTGCATCACGAGCGACTGGCCCCCGGCGACACTAACTGGGTCTGGGATCTCGGACCAGAAGAGCGCGCCCGGCGTGGACGCCAGCTGCTTGTGCTGCTGCCCGCCGAAGTCGGTGGCCTTGGAGACCTGGTAGCGGGCGGTGACGATGTACGACTGCTTCTTCACAATATCGCTGAGCTCCCTCCAGGCCGGGTCGACGTAGGGGCCCACCTGGGGCTGGAGCGGCTCCGCGCCCGGCAGGCCGAACATGAAGGGGTCCGGCGCCGGGCGGATGCCGTTGATGCCGTTCCTCTTGGCCAGGGGTTTTGGCTGGGCCGGGCCAGTGAAGTGGAAGACGCGGTAGACGCGGGGGTTTGGGTCGCTCCAGCAGTACGAGCTCAGAATGGACCTCGCATTGTCGAAGTCGACGTCGTTGACGAACGCCGTCAGGAACAGCTCGTACATTTTGGCGACGGCTGGTGACAAAGAGAGGAGTTGAAGGCCGAGAAGCACAGGGCGGTGAGCTCTCCAGGCCTCCAGAGGGCCAGAAGCTAGTATCTGGGTGGATGATCGTATCAAAGCGTTCCTGGTGTTGGTTGATGTCTGAGTGAGAGCTCAGGGATTGAATGCACCTCGGGACCTGAGGTTGTTTGTTGATGGTGGGCGGGACAGGGGGCGTCAGGCTTGGCAGCACCGATTTGGCGGGGCAGGTCAAGCTGCCCCCGCCTGTAGGGCTGAACTCAATTCACCTAGGTAGGTACTGGCCTGCCGAGATGCATGTGTTTGACTCTCAAAGCTATGGCAAAGAGGTATTGAATGTCCTGATAGTCAGGCCCTGGTTCGCCAATAGTTCAGTCGTTGAGAATTCTGTTGAAAGGGTCGCACCCACACCAGAAACAGATGAAGCAAATGATTGTTTATTGTGGTGTGTAGGAGGAAGGAAAGATTTCATCCCGCTACGAACGCCCAGAAGAAAGCCATTCCAGGGCCCGCGTGTGCCCCGTGCGGAACGGCCGTGATCTCGACCTCTTGAACAGAAACCACACACACATAATCCGGGATCTGCTACCGTTATGTTCACGCCCATGCACCGCAAAAAATCTTGAACAAGAGCATGGATGGAGATTGTGTCCTACGATGTTTTGGATCAGCTGCCTCTCCTTACTTTCACGATCAAAGGGGTGTCTGCTCGCCGAAACTTTTCTTTTACTTTCAGAAATAAAAGATCGCTCAGTGCATTCTCCTGTTAGCTATGATTAGTCGAATGCCTGTCTCTATGTGCCTCTATGTGACTCCGAAGCATGATGATAAAGTCTCAACCATTTCCCCAAGGGGTAGTAGAAAACTCCATGGCCTGGAATGGACACAGGCTGCCACAGTTCCCTGGGGAAGAACTTCGCATGATGAATGAACCGCCCCGATCAAGATGATGCCTCCACCTACAACGCAATGGTGTACTGTAGGACCTGCCGAGGTTTCCGGAGCTTCTGTCTGAATTTCCCAAATCATCCTGTCAACACTGTGTATGCCCCTGAGACCAAGTCTTCCTCGGCCTCACCGTCTCTTAGTCCTCCCGAGCGTTCCCCAAGCCTGGTCATTTTCGGCCAGAGAACACACAACAACCACCTATTTTTCGGGCTTTGATGGTAAGACTCTCCACACTTGTCCACTTCCGCTCCCATTCGGGCCATGTGGCTTTGTTCATGGGACAGGCTCAAGTATACCTTCCCAACCGGCTGGGGAGGTCTGGTCCAACAATTCTGCTTACGTGTCACTTGTATTAGGCTGTTGCAGCGGGTTTTGAACAGGCAGGGTGACACCAGAGCACATGTTCGGCACGACGAACCGCAGTCGGCCGAACCCAGCAACGCCGGTCTCGTCCATCTGCCGGATGATCCGCTCGAGCTTCTCGCCGAAGGTCTCGGATCCCATATGATCCTTGACGTCGAGCTAGAGGAAGAAGAAAACACAACGGTCAGTCCAAAGCTCCCGCAGTGTACAAAATATGAGACACATGAGTGAGAGGTAATACTCACAAGACGCAAACACTCAGAAGCACTAGCCAGCCGGACAGACCCCCAGAGCGCCCCGACGAGCGCGTCCCGCGACACGCAGCGCGAGACCTCGGCCGCGAGAGGCGTGCCGCCCAGGTTGAGCGCGCAGCTCTCGAGAACCCACAGCAGCGCGAAGGCGTGTCGTTGAGGCTGGAGAGGAAGTGGTCGCGGCGCCCGCTCTCGTTGGTCTTCTTCTCGACCTCCTGGAACCGCTTCAGGATCGTGCCGGCCGTGCCCTCGACCAGCGCCGTGACGGCGGGCGCCCGCTGCAGCTGCTCCTCGGGCGGCTCGTCGCCGTGCGCGTGGAACACCTCCGTCTCGACGCGACGCAGCAGGTCGTCGTAGGCTGGTTTGTCCTCGTCGGTCGTGTTGGTCTGCTCGATTTGCTGCGGCTGTGACTGCTGCGCTGCCTCTCCTTGCTGCTGCTCCTCGGTGTTGGGCTGCTGGGCCTCTGGCCCAGGGTTGCGCAAGCCCTCGGCCTGATCATCCTGTCCCTTTGCGTCCTTGGTCGGCTGCTGAGTTTCCTTGGACTCGGGCTGGTACTCCGTGGCGCCCTTCGCGATGCCCTGGAGCTCCGCGCCCTGACTCAGGTCCCGGAGGCTGGGCTCGATCTGCTCTTGCTCGGTGTGCTCGCCCTCGATCTTAATCTTGCTGGTGGGGGTCGAGTTTGCAGACTTGGCGAAAGGCATGGCCACGGGCCCCGCGGAAGATGGCCTCGAAAAGGGGTTCCGCGATCCGCTCGGCTCGGCGGCCCATCCCTCGGTGATGCCTCGCGGCTGGTGGCTGGACGCGCGGGAAGATCCAGGCGTGGGAGCTCCCTCGCGGTCGATGGCAGCCTGGCCCGCGTACTGGCCGCCTTGGGCCACCTTGCTCCTCTTGGCCGCCGGGACAACCTGATCGGTCGAGACGCGCTTGTTGTTGTTGGGCATCAGCTGCTCGCCGCGGGGCACGTTATATGGAATCGCATCAGATCCAGAGGTTAGGGCCTTGAGGAGGCCGGGGAAAAGGCCGACAGCAGTGGCACGCTTTGTGAGCTCCATGAACTCGCCCTCCATCGAAGGGTCGAGGATTTGACGTCGGGAGGCGTTGGTGGTCGTAGTGGAGAGGATGTTGCCAACTTTGAGGGAAGGAGTTAGCAAGTCTTTCTCGTGCCCAAGGGTATAAAAACGAGACTGGAGGGAATGAATGGCGGTGAAACCATGGCTTATCATGTCTAGTCACTTACCGGCACGACTCAGAGGGTCATACGCAAACATCGCCAGACCCCGCTTAGAGGTCAGGATGGGTATCTCGATGATGATCTTGCCAATCTTGAGAAGAGCCGCAAGGGCGTTGATCTTGGTGACAGTGTGGTCGGAGTAGGTTCCGTAAACGCCAATGTTGTCAGTAGAGGGGGAAAGATAGCTCTTGACGTGCGCCGCGATGTTGTCGAAGTCGCCCTCCTTGAAGAAGTAGACATCCCGCCAGGTGGCAAACAGGCTCTCCATGTGATTGGTCATGTTTTCAAACGAGACGACGACCTGGTTGTCGTGCTGAACCTGCTGGCCGTACGCGAGCCGAATGTTCTGGGTCCACTGGTCGAAGGGAAAGCACAGGGCCCGGTCGTAGACGGCGTTCTTGATCTGCCGGTCATCCAGCTGGCCCATCATCAGGTGACAGTGCTGTGGAGTGAGAGAGCTGACACAGAGGCGCGTGTCGACAATTTGCTCGACCGTCATGTGGCGGTTCGGGCTGTCATGCCTCTGGGATAGGTTGCGGTAAGGCTCGTCTCCCATCGTGACTGGTGCTACTGCGGCACAATCGTTAAAAATAGGAAGTAGTGACGGGTTGTTTTGCTGAGCAGATAAAGGCGGAGGACTAGGACCAGGTGCGGGTTTGGGCGCAAGCGGTCGCAGTTGTTGTCTCAAGGTTGGGGTTCTTGCCATGACAGGAAGGGTTTAGGTACGAAGAGGCATACGGTCAACGAAGATAAACCTTGACGGCAGAGATGGTCGCCAAGTGTTGTTGACCATTTTCAGAGAAAGGCAGTGAAAAGGCGTTGGGAAAGTGAGAGTGTGCGGCGAAGTGTGCCAGAATTTTATGGAATGACTTACTGTGAATGAGGCTGTTGCGCATTTTCTCAAGTAGTTGGAAAGACAAAATCAGGCCTCAAATCTGAATAAGTGAATTTCAGCCCATGTTTTGGACCACGAGGAAGTGGTTGAATCACTCGTATCCGGGGCGTTGTTGAGAACACGTTCCAGTGAAGACAAACGGAAGTGAAAATATTGTTTTCCAGAGTGTGCGTGCACCACATTACTGGCTATTGTAGAGTGGCCTAAAAGTTAAAACTTGAGCCGAATCCAATGCCTGAATTCACAATTCGACCATTTGACACTCCCGGTGGAGCACAAGCATTGGCAAAGTGCCTTGATATTGAAGCTGTAGCCGCGTTCAATATTCCTCTACTTGGCTCTGGGTTCGCATTTCAAAACCCAGTCTGTACGCATTTTTATGCATACACAAGAGCAAAGCCGCTTCCTTTGGGGTCGAGTGGTGAGTGTTCCACAAGAGAGTGTGCCACAGGAGATCGGAGGTTGTCCCATAGGTGGTTGTCCCACAGGAGGTTGTGCCCACAGAAGAGTGTCCCCATAGGAGAGTGTCCCAGCGGAAGTTTGTTTAAATTCAAAATGAACTGCTTCGTTGAATGACTTCAGCTATCCTCTTGCTCTAGGGCACCTCCTGCGTGGCTGAGCTCCTGATGTCACCGAGTCAACCCCTGACCGGGGCGTTGTAGACTTTCAGTAGTGGGTATGTCTCTACCATCGGGAGTAGAACACCACAGTACTGCATCATGTTGCCAGGTTCTTGGAGAATCCCCATAACATGGCCCCCAATCTGGGCCAGGGGGAACTTGAAGGAATGCCATATCGCCTTCCTGACGTTGTTGTACGTATCCGGTCTGCAGCACAGAGATAGCCACAAACTCAGAAGCGTTGGTGTTAGGTCCTGGCCGCTGTCGGTGACATATACGTGCTGGATCTGTTGCACAGGCACCTTGGTGAAGCCAAACTGTCCAGTTGTGCCAAAGAAACCTGGGGTAGCTGTCATTTGCAGGGATCGCAAGACAGGATTATTAGACCACATCGAGCCGTGAGACATATAGCCAACCTCCAGTTCATCATCTGCAGCGTGTGTGTCTCCTTGGCTCTCCTTGAGCCTATTTCCAAAGCTGCCCTCGTGATACTTGGGTGGTTTCGGGGCCTTCCGGACGTGAGGAGGCGCAACGATATAGAATCGTGCTGCAGCAGTGAACGCTCGGAGACAGAAGAGGCTGTCAGAAGGTATGGACACTCTCAGTGACCAGTCTCTAACGAGGCTTGACAGTATTCTATTGGGCGCCATGGCGAAGTTTACCTGCACGCCGAGGTTTTTGATGCGCCTGAAGCCCTCCCAGATGCCTGGGGCCATCGGGCCCCCGCGGCACACATTGAAGGGTGGAACGATGCAGAGAACATCCGCTTCAACGTCGAAGTGAATCTGGCCGGTCTGTAACTTCTGGCTGACACCGAAGAAGCTCGCGAAGCGCAGCGGCGGGGGCAGAGTACGCAGCACCTCCTTCCTGGCCTTCTTGCATGCGAGCAAGAGGGGCCTGAGCCTCCGCGTCCTCTGCTTGACCTCTTCGCACGGGTTGATTGAGATCCATGGATCCTTGATGCCCGAGTCGATGCAAGTGATATGGGCGCGAACGATGTGGAATCGCGGCACGGAGAGGACTGCTGTGTGCCAAATCAGATCCTGGAGCTCCTGGGGGAAATCGCCGAACTTTTTGAACTCGCTTGGTGGTGTCGCCGAGGTGTCACCGCTTTCCCTTCTGTCGGCCTTGGCATGCTCTTCTGAACTCATTGTTTTCGTTGGCGTTCTTTTCCCTCTCTCTCCTCTCGCTCATGAATGAATTTGTAGAAGCTGCAATGCCTAACATTAGTCCCTTTTTCTCCTTGCGTTGTATCGACTGAGAGCGAATACGACCGTGGCCAGGGAAACTTAAATACTCTAGACAGTGAGTCCCGGCATAGATTCGCAGATAATTGAACCTATTCCGATGCCTTTTCAAAAGGAATTCATCTCCGAATTTGCAAACATTGGGCTGAAGATAGCCCCATATTCTGTCGGTGGACGGACAAAACTGGTCTAGGACCGCGTTATTGTACCGGGTGTGCGATAGTGGCTTTTAGGGGGAAAGAATTTGAACTTGAATGTGAGCCAGCTTAGCTGCCAGCCGGCTAGGCTGTTGGTTCATGGTCTGCAGGCCCCGCAGGCTGAAAACTACTCGAGGCTGCCATTTCCTGGAAAGCGCACAAAATGTGAATACCAGTTCTATAATCAGAATGGTAGTACACCAGGATGAAGTCCTAATGGGTCAAATTTAACTCGACACCTTAACTTCTATGTCCTTAGGCACCTCTGTCATCTCAGGTAGTAGGTGCAGAGTTATAGGAAGACTTTTTCAACATCACGGTTAAGGAAGAGGTGAAATCGCAGGGACGAGCTCTTTCCTATAATATTGATAAAATGGATAGGAGACTCTTGCGAAAGTTTCAGAAAGCAGCGAAATCTTGAGAAAGTACTCATTGTGATTTTCGTCTATCGAGCTCTATCATAAAACATCTGAATCCCCCAAAATGCCAATTCATGATGGCCTCCAAAAGACCGCCATGACTGATCAGTAGTCCGAGCTCTTGAGCTCCAGCTCGAAAGTTTAGCAAGTGTCCTTCCCACGAATTCTTACACCTACGTATCCGCCGTAGCAGAACGCTTGACCGGACGGCCATCATACCCTTCTCCTGCCTCATCCAACTCGGAGTCAGCCTCCTCCTTCACTTCGGGGTCTCTTTGCCGCTTCCTGAGCTCTCCAGAGCTGCTTGGGCTTGGAGGCTTTGCAAGGGCTTTCGGCTTCCAGAAACGGCCCTCGATGCGGTCTTGGTCAAGCACGACGATATTGTTCTCGCCGTGGGACACCAAGGGGACGTCGAGGTACAGTTCCGTATCCCCATCCAGGGCAGCGCTGTTCTGGGTGCCGCTCTTCGCTCGTCGGGCGGCTCGCTTTGCTGGCGAGTTGTCCGGGCGCAGGCGCAGAATAAGCACCGCATCCCACCCGTCATATTTCATCTCAGACACATCGATCTTGTAGTACCCCTCCGGGATACGATGAAGCAGCCCCGATCCGGGTGTGGGCTCATGCTCAAAGGGGATTTGCCAGATATCGTAGGCATTCTGGGCGAGGACCGCCCTTGAGTTGCACGATCCGTTTTCGGCGTTGACAAAATCCGGGTCTGCGATGAGCCGGATAACAACGCTCTCTCCTAGTAGGATCTGTACTGTGAAATGCTTCTCGACGCCTGCTTCCTGTTACATGTTTGTCGTTAGTACTATCAACGAAACATGCGCTTCTGCTAAGACCACCAACCTTCCATAAGAGCTGCTTGGCACGACCAGATGTATGTTGCGTGAAGTTCCCTTTGAATGTGCTGGTCTGAATGCCTAACGCAGCGCCTCTGTCAAAGAACTCCTGAACGCTCATTGTCATCGCTAGGGCCTTCGCAGCCCCTTGGGCAAGGGTCCATTTCCAAGCCGCCGTCTGTATGTCCTTCATCGCCTTGACCGTGATCTTGTTCTTGATACTGCCGTGCGACCGCAGACGACCCAAGGTATTACAGAACTCCATGATCTCATTTTTGGCCTTGGAGTTGGCAATACTGCCGCCTGAGAGAAGGATGAAGACCTTTTCAACGTCTTCTCTCTTAGCAACGAGTTGGATATTCTTCTTTGCTAGGTTGAGAATTTGACGGTATGCTGTGTCCCACGCAGCATTCAACACCTCGACGGGGATGTCAATGGCAAAGGTGTGCTTGTCGGATTCGCCGAGCATGCTCTGGAGGTTAATGATCAAGCGCTTGGGCTTGTCAAGAGGCAGTTGTGCCTTCTCCCGGAAGAACACGTCGAGGAATGCCGCGCGGATGGTGCGCCTGTGCTTGTCAGGGAATCTTTCTCTGGCTCTCCAATCTTTTGTCATCTGTTGGTCGATGGCTTTGCCAATCTCGATTTCCCAAATTTCATAACCACCTCTTAGACCAAAGTCACTCTGGGATGGAGAGTATATCGAGGGACGGCCATCGTGTTTCCATCTCAACTCGCCATAAAAGCCTCCCATGGAGTGGCCACCGAAGTCGAGAACCATCAAGTAGTTGTGGCCTGTTAGCTGTCCGGGGTGGTGCCGCAAGAGGTATTGTGCTCGTGCTGCGGCCTCGAAGGTGAAGGTGATCTCAATGTCCTTCCCAGAAACTGTCTTGTCGAGTAAGGGACCCAAATATTTTTGGATGTTGCTCTCGCTAGATGACCACGTATTCGGTATGCAGAGAGTAATGCAACGGACGTCGAATTTCTCTTCCTGAGCTTTGATAACGATGTCTTCAATGATTTTGGTACTGTTTCGATTTTGAAGTTAGTACTTATTCCATGTGTACCTTTATATAGCTCTTGTATATAAAGATACAAGAAGTAGGGATAGGGAAGCGGTACAAGAATTGTAGTAGCATGCTCTCAAGGTGATCCCGGAAATTTTCTTTCTCCTTCGAAGATGGCAACGACGAGTAGTAATCACAGAGAGCCTCCGTGAACGGATGGTTGTCGGTATTGTCGCTCAGAAAATAAACCATGCTCTTCAAGCTGACGGTTCTCTTGCCCGTTTGGTTGGCCGCATCGTACCCGACTATGACGTTCTGTCCGTCGTAAGCGCACCCAACTGAAGGGTACTCTCCTTCATCGAATCGTTTGTCTATTCCATCGTCTGCCCGGGAGTCCTGAATTTGGTAATTAAAGTCGGAAATGATTCTCTCGTTGCTTCTCTGGTTGATCTCTCGACCTGCAACAACCACACGGGTTCCTGTACTTCCAAAGTCTATACCCACGTAGCTTTTGAGAACGTATCAGTACAAGAGAAAGTTTTGAAGAGTTGCTTAGATTCCACTGTGAAGGGATGAAGAACAACTTACCCTAAGCGCTGGACCGTAGCGCGTTGTGGTTGGCTCGCCATCTCCGTGTCTCTGGACGGAAGAAACTCCGGTGAGAAGCTCGCCAGTGACAAGTAAGGCGTAGATTTAGGTGCATCAAGGAGTAGGAGGTGTAGAAGGAGGAGATGTTAATCATTGATCTCAATGTACTTACGCAGACCAGCACTGGGAAGTAGTGCTTGCCGCTCTCGCATAAAGGCTTGGCTCCGTCGGACTTGAAATGTACTCGAGTACTTGCATACGGTACTTGGAGAGGTATTTTAAGGACTTGAGAGGAGTTCGGATAGTATGGTGCTTGAAAGTTGCTTTCAAGGGGGTTTGCACTTGAGTGGGTTGCTCAACTTAGGGAAGATGATGTTGATAATAACACGGTGCTAGTTTTAGGCAGTCGGTCCCTGCATGGGAATAGGATGTAGAAGATCCGTGCAAGAACTCCGTCTCAGGACCTGTTAGATCTAAGTGATGACTTTGGAGACGGGTCACTACGTTTCGCGCATGGTGTTATCGAAACGTAGCTCAAGTTTCTTGATCTGGAGGGGGATGGAAGGCTGGGTGGTGACCTCGGGAAACAAAGGATTTAGGTAAGAAGGGGACAGAAGAGAAGGAGTATGATGACTTGTAGATGAATCTTGTAATGTCGTAATGTAGCAGAAGTGTGTAGAGTAGCAGTCAGGGTGTGATCTGTCAGTCCTGCTTGGCCAGACAGGAAGGCTTAGTTTCGATGCAGCTGGCTTCTAGAAGGAACGACCGCTTCTAGAAGGAATGGAGGCTCCTTCCAGAATGTCTGGTGGAAAAGCCTCGAGGACATTGGAATGTGGAGGAGATACTTACTTCTCATGAGATGGTAAGCAGTCTGTGTACGAGAGTACTGCCTGACTGTAGCTCACCCGGTCCCAGCGATTTGGACGTGCTCATGCGCATCCGTGCAAATGAGTGGTCGCCCCTGCGTTGGTTGATTGCTTTGACTGTTGCCCAATTTGCCAAATGGAAAGAGCAATGTGACTTCCGTCTGAGCCTGGCGAACCTCGTCTACTTTGGCATATGAGGAGCGCAATGATGGTGGCTATCGTGGCGGTTGTTCTGGCCCACCTTATGCTCATAGACAGGGGTTCCGCTGGGTGGGTGGGGTGCCAAGAGCCCAATCAGGCAAGTCTCAGCCTTACCTTCGATGTCGTGGTTCCTGAAGAGATGCAGTTGTAAGCCCGTCCCAAAACGAGATGTACCGTTGGGCGGCCTCAACTAGTTGTATTCGGATCCGAATCAGCTAGAACAGGCAGTAATTGGAAAAGCCTTTCCTTCCATTGAAGTGCTTGCAAAGTCTCGATACCCGAGGCTGAAAAAAAAAAGAAATCCCAGAGTGTCTGGATGCCACTTCGTCAGTGACACGGGCTGTAGTGCAGAGAACAAGCTTTTCCAACATTGAAAGATGATGACCTTGGAAAAGGTTTGGCGTGGATTTAGAGCAGAACTTTGACCGTTATTCTAGAGTGGCACTGCTTGCGGTGTGCCATGAATGAGACCTCGTAAAGTCAGTCGCCTCGTAAGCCCTTAGGGTTATGTATTTCATATGTTAGCTGGACAGTTTCCTCTTTGATCATTCAGAGTGTAAAGGTGCAAATAGACCAGTCGGGAGCACCATGATACCTTCATAGCTGCATCATGAGAACATTTTCACACATAATATCAAGGCTACCGTGTCTACCGGTCATGATACTTAAGGAGCTTCATGACCATTCTGCCATTTGATGGCCGATCAACGGCAGGAGCTGACATGCGTTCTCTTATTGGACCAGAACGAAGCGCAGAACGTATATGCATTCTACTTCTACTGCCAATCTCTGCATCTGTGTATTTCCAAATACATGTGGTTCATGCGCCCATGATCAAGTATGTCCAAGTTGGCTCTCATGGCCAGCATCTCGACTTGGTATCTGCCCGAAAACCCACTGCTATTGAATCCCTCCCCAAACCGCTTTGTCTCCTGTGACGTCCGGCTTCATCAAGTTGATTCACAGAGACGACGCTGAGGCTGTATGCTTATCTGAAGAAAGGACGATGCTAACGAACGTGGTGCTTCCCAGGAACGTCTGCTGACCAGATCTTCACTGAATACCAGGAGCTCTGGCGAGGGCGACAGCAACCCATCGAAAATGCCACGCTAGTCAAACGATGACAGTTAGCTGCACTGTGGCCAGAGGCGAAGAATTTATGCGTGTGTTGAGAAACGAGGAGTTTGGTGGCTCACAATCGCTTGATCCTGTCCCAAATGTCTGACCACAGCTCATCCAGGCCCAGATCGTTTTCGCGGCCGCCCAGGTCGACGCTTTTTGGGAGGGCCCTCCTCTTCGCCGTTTGCACCTGCCAGAGCCAGCTCGTTGGCCTTTGACGCACCAGCCGCCCGCTTCTTGTAAGATCGCTTCGGCCGAGGGACGTCGTTTGTGTTGTTCTGCTCGTTCATTGCGGTTTGCGTGGTGGCGGTCGCGGTATTGTTGTGATCGTCAGCGCCATCCATGTTGCGCACCGTCTGTCGGCCGAGAACGAAGTCGCAGAAGGGGGACCTCGATCGGTGCTCGTGCATAGGGTCGTCTTGCGAGTTCCAGCTGTCGAGGGCGATTGTGCAGTAGGGGCAGACGACATTGTCGTCTTGATACGGGGGCTTGGTAAACGAGAAGAATCCCGCGCGGGCGAGGCGCTCGGGCGAGGGCTTGTCGTCGCTGAGCTCCCAGTCAAGGTTCCACTCCAGGAACGACGCGATCCTGTTATGGTACTGGAAGTAGGGCTCGAGGTCGCACTCGATCTTTGACTTTTTAGGAGCCATTTTGGAGTCCGAACCGAGCGGGGAACCGCGGATTGTGGGCGTTCTTGGTGGGGTTGTGATGGGACGGGACGTGTTTGTGAAGGAAGGAACGAGGCTGTCACCTGAAATGCAGCCGCTGGGGGCAGCATGGGTTGGTCAATCAGATCATTGACGTCGAGACAGATCCTGCAGATGCACTTACTGGATGTCATCCTGTCCCACCCTAAAATCGACTCCATTTCATCCTCTCACCTTCGAATGTGCTGGCATAGACAAATGGCCCTGGCCTGGGCATAACTATCATAGATTAGGATTTGAGTCCTTTTTTCTTGGAGGCAAGCAATCTACAAAGCGGAATGAATCCCATCCTCGTGACATATGTACCGTGCCCAACCATTTATCCGACGAAGGGTTTTCGAAAAGACACGTGAGGTTTCAAAACCTGGTCTGATGTTGTAGCCAGCTCCATAGTAGCTGCATTAGAAAGCCTCGGAGGCTTTAGTGAGTAGGGAAGGTAAATATCCTCGGAGAGGGTGATCGACGTGCAAATCAGAGGCACATATGTGCAGGCACACTGACTGTTACCCAAGCTGCAGCATCTCATACGGGAACTTGAGTCACTTGAAATTTTTGGCAGGATCCCAAAATATTTTTCTCCATTCATAAAAAGTATTATCATTCATTTTGTGACCCTGATTTGAGCTAATCAACGCCTAAGTGCTGCTAGCTGGTCTCACTAGGATGCAAGTGTCAAGCCAGACTTGGATAATCTTCCCCAGCTCTCTTCACTCAGAAATTTTTTCCGCTTTCACATCCAATCGCAACCTGCACGGTGAAATACCTCATTTCTTTTTCAGGCAATCCTGCAGGTAGCCAATCAACCGCAAACAGTCAAGTTCACTACTCCCAAGTTCTGGGCTTCAACAGGTAGGTGTCCAGCTCTAGATACCGGGGATGTGGGGTCTCTCTAAACGGTTGTTGAGCGGTGCAGCTATCGCTTCGGGGGTATAAACCGCGGGCATTTGGGAGGGGAAGTTGGACCATTTAGAATTTCTAAGCGGCTTAGAATTCTAAGCGGTTTAAAACTCAGTCAATGGTTTAGCCACACATAAGCAGGCTTAGCGCGGTTTACACCTATCACCTAAGCAAAAGGAGGAAGTCACTCCTTCCATAAACATCACCAACTTAGTTAACAAAGGGGAAGGGAAGGGAAGGGAAGGGAAGGGAAGGGAAGGAAAAGGAATGCCAAAAAGGAGCTTAAAACCTTTAAAAGCAGAAATCTTTAGAGAAGGTATTTCTAAGGATTTGGCTTAAAATTTAATTCTTTTTTGGGCAGAGTTGATGCCTTGCTAGAATGTTCTCCTGCTCCTTCCTCTTTAAATGTTTAAGTACCTCTAAACCGCTTAAGGATTTTAAACCGTTTAAGACCTTTAAACCGCTTACTCTGCTAAACGGTCCAACTTCCCCTCCCCATTTAAACCGCTTACCTGCCCCTAGTATGGCCGGTACCGCGCGCGCCGGCTTCACTTTTCATCTTCTCACTACAACCACCCTTAACTTGCCTTTCTCACCAAGACAACTAGACCTCCTGACTGATCAAACGTTTAAAGCCAAGGATCCACTACTGCGCACAGAATTTCGCCATGGCATCGCAACCCCAGGAACGGCTCGCGCGGCTGAAGCGGCCTGTGGGCAGCCGGCCACCGACCGACCGGAAGCTGGACGACAGTTGTACACTTGATGGGAAGAGCCTGTCGTACCTCACTCCAGGACAATGGCTAGACGATGGTACCGTCAACACCTTCCTCAAGAGTCTCTGCCTGGCGCGACCGGGCAAATGTGTCACCTTCGACAGCGCCGCTCTCCTGCCCTTGCTAGCCACGCTCGGATCTGAGGAAACGACACAAACGGCGGTCGACGAACTTTACAAACCTCTCAGGACCTTGGCCGCTACCGTCACCGGCAATGACGGTTTGGTGTTTATGCCATTCTGCGCAGAAGGCCACTGGGTCTTGGCAGTTGCTGATTTCCAGAACAAGGTAATCCGTGTGTACGACTCTATGGTGGACTGTACCGAAGCTGGCGAGGTAGATCCGAGTAACCTCGTGCAGACAATACTCCCATGCGTCAAGGGCATCCTGAGTTTCTGCATCGACGAAGACCAGTGGCCGGTAGAACACATGTGGTTGCCGATAAAACCGAACACCACAGATTGTGGCACCTACGTCTGCCTGATGGCGCTGCAGCACGCCTACATGCCCGGGTTCCAGCCCGACGACTACGTCACCCGGTTCTATGATTGGAACAGAAACTGGTCATATTACGAGCTGGACGCGTGGTACTGGTTTGCGGGCCGGAAGATCATCCTCGAAGTCTGCAGGAGATACTTCAAACCCACCTCTACCGACACACCACGGATGCCTTTCTTCGTGGAACAAGACATCAACAAGGCTCTTTGGGATTTCGCTGGCTTCCCACCGGCAATAGCGCCCTTCTCTTGTCTCATGCCGTATTTTTATGCACGGTCACAGACTCTGTACCGAGTCATAAACGCCCTCACATGGGCTATCAACTCGATCCACAGCCTTGGTTCCACGCTACACGTTCATTCCAGCGAATCGATCCAGAACAGGGCACGTGAGGTGGTCCTCACGCCGCGGGGGGAGCCCTTCTTGGACGAAATCGTGGATGAGGCCGTGAGCTACGCGTGGCACGACGTTGAGGCGCTCCAAAACCTGGAGGAAGACCTCAGTCGGGTTTGGAACCAATTGTACCAAGAGGATTGTTATACTCAAGTTCGACTGAATGCCTGGGCGGCTGATGTGGATTCCTGGGCGGCTTATGTGGCCCAGGTGGAACAAGACGCAGAGCAGGCTCCAAGCTTTACGGATCATGGCTCACCATCCTCGCCCGGCAGGGAGTGATTCGGCTGGATTTTCGGAATTTCAATTGCGGAGTCGAAGGTCATTTTGGTGGGTGTCCTGATTTAAGTGTCGTTGAGCCTGGACGCTGACTTCTATCACGATACAGGGCCTCATCTGTCAAGTACCGCAAATTTTCAACTAATCACCATGATTCCAACGATAAGGCCGACAGTCTCGTGCAAATTATTCGCCCATCAGGCTCTGTCTTTCCGAAACCGTTCCACATCCATATTTCGCATCCGCGCCAGGACCAACCCCCATCGACCTCTGGAAAAAAAAAGGAGAGACAGACAAGGTGCTGCATTTACGGCTTCTGAAACATATATGGGACAAAAGTAATCCGGAATCTACTCTTGGCTCTTATATTCCAGCCTCCTCTTCCCAGCTGAACCACGGATGGGAAGTCTCCTCCGTTCCTTGCCACCCCAGCTAGCGAAGCGACGGGGGTTCCACTGACCCTTTTCAAGGACACAGATGGGAAGTCAGAGGTGTCTGGGATTCGGGGATGCCCTTCTGGATCAACTTTACAAGGTGGCCCTCACGGCGGTGGCTCGCATTCCAAGAACTTGTACCTTGCTGGTATCGAAAACTTCATTTGAGAATGGATTGGGCCAACGAACACAAGCGTCCCATCAGCCATGAGGAGCAAAGAGTTTCAATCATTTCTTGTATGAGTCTAGTATATTTAAGCCTCAGGGATTGGGAAGGGATGTTTCTCTGACTCACAATGCTCGAGATAGATGTTCATCATTTGTGCTCAAGAACCGCGAGGTGATTCAGATGGTCTAGATAAGTTTTAGTGTGTTTTAAAATCCAGCAGAGTTTCCTCAGTCATTTTCCTTCACTCACTTGTAACCATCATCAACCATGTGCGACATCAGCCACACCAAACAGGCGAGCAGACACCCTCTTGACCCACTACCATCGAATGAGAGGGAATAACCACATGTTGCTCACTTTTTCTTTTGAGAACGGATATTCACACAGAAAGAGACGGAACGAGACAGATACATTACACGCCTAGTGCACATACACCCAACACACCTACACCCACCTTCGGGCAAACCATCTCTTTCTCCCGGCAGCAAGCACTCTTTGATGTGGATGTACTTCGAAAACCATACCATGATTTGTTTGACACAACACAGAATAATGCCCTTTCCCCACGGTCCATTTGGGAGAACCACACAAGCAACCGAACAGTGAGCGAGTGAAGGTCAAGGCAGTCACCGAGGTCGTATGATCATTTTCAATTTGTTCCGGCCGCTGCATGTCATTAAAACATCACCGGGCAAGGGAACAACGCCTTTGGGAAAACATGTCCCTGTTTATTAACAGTAAACCAGAATGACCAGAGGCAAAGCTAGGTCAGACGGCAAAGAAAAATTAGGCTGCCCGCAAAACTAGTTGCTGGCACTGAAGCTATCTAACCCACTGATGACAGACCTCAGTGAAGGAAGCCACCCCGGCTCAGGCCTGCAGCTCCGCCCAAGCGGATTTCACGATGGCGGAAAGCAAAACGAATTCCCTGGGCCGCCTGCCTTCTTTATGGCGAGTGCCACACATTCCGCATCACCAATGCCAGTACCCCATTCGACCCCAGGCTTAACCCAGAGCACCATTTCTGCCCACCCCGTGGCGTTGGGATGGTGCCACTCCCAACTCATTAAGCCAGCACATTCCCACGTGTGTTTGGCTATGGCATGTCCAGAATCTTTCAGAGCCCAATCACCACGTATCTCGGTGATGTCGAATTTATGCAGACTGCCATCCGGGCTATATCGGATTATGACCCAAGTCAGCAAAAACGCTCATGAGCTTGGTAACAAAGGGGTCGGGGAGGTTTTGATGTTGACTTACTATTGCCTGCAGATTGCGGACGTGGCTGGTGGTGTTGGAGTTGGGGTCGAGGACGAGCTGGTTGTTGATTGAGAGCTGCTTGAAGTCGATGATTCCGATGATGTGGTTGTACTTGAAGTTGGGTTCATCGTGAGTGTCCAAGAGACTGTGGTCATCTCCTTCGATGTTGATGACGAGCTGGCAGAACTCGAATCCGTTGATAGTGAGCTTGTAAAAATGGAACTCGTGTTTTGTTGGGTCGTAGGGGGTGGGAGAGAGGAGCTTGAATTTTGCGACGACACCGATGGCCCCGCTGTACCTGTCATTGAAGGTCCAATCACAGTGACCGTGCCCGACCTTGTCGCAGTCGCGAACGTCGAAGAGTTGGTGCTGAACACCCAAGAGGTTGTCATGTTAGGGGCCAAGGTTGAACGGATTCCTGTCGGCTCTGTCCCATTGTCGCTCGGGGTGTATATGCTTCCCGTTGCAGTTGAGAATCCGGTCCAGTCACTTGGCATGTAGGTCGGCCGATCGGTGAAGAAGATGCTCCCGGTCGACTCGCCATCGGCGCCGCCGCTTCCAGGAACAGGACACGAATCTCCATCGCGCTTCAGGTTGGGGAATCCCTCGACGCTCTTGCACTTCTGATCGCCGTACGCCATGTTGTATGCGACATTGACCTTTGGAGGCACCTCCCATGGAAACCCATGGTTTTGATTATTCTTCTTGATTTCCTTCAGGGACTGGCCGATGAGCTCATCTCGAGGGAGGCGTTGGTAGGCGTAAGTGTCAGCAAGCATAGTCTTCATGCGCCGGCCGACAGAAATATTGTCATCTAGGCTGAAAGGGTTCTGACCCTCGGGCCAAGGATACGAAAGCATATATGCAGCAAGGCCAGCCTGGATAAGGCAGTACTGTTAGCAATCTGATTCCACTGACATGCTTCTGAACTCGGGTTGGAGGATGACAACTCACTACTTGTGGTGCTGCAAAGCTTGTACCAGAACGAAAATCCATAGGAGACTGTGCCGACATCGGGTTGCAACTGTGGACGCTTACGCCTTGGGCCCATATCGAGATGGAGGGAATGCCGGGAGTGCCGGGGCGGGAACTCTGACCAGAGGCGTCGGGCCTTGCGCCAGGGGGTGTCGTAAATTCGGCAATGGACCCATCATGGTATGTGGCGCCAACGGCGATGTAGGGGCTCTCATCTGTCACGATTCCTTGGGGCAAGAATTCTGCCTGGTAGGAGTCGGGCTTTCCGGTGTCTTCGTTATAGCCTTCATTCCCCGCGGACACCACTACCACCACTCCCAAGTCGTCCAATGCCTCAAAGAAATTCCTCAACATTTTTCCATGGAGGGAGTCTTTTGCAAAATCTGGAGGTTGTAAGTTTGAGAAAATCGACAACGCAACTCAGGTTGGGGATTACAAACCAGAAACCATGTTAAACACGGCCCGCCCCTCGAGTGCTTTGTCGCCCACGGCTTCAAGAACTTTACAGGTGGCTTCGAGGAGTGCTGACGAGTGGACTCCCGGAGAAGATTTCTCGCCAGTCAGTGTGTTGACCAAGAAGTTCTCATACTTGATAAGGTACAAATTTGCACGGCATGCTACGCCAAAATCAATAGCACCCGCCAAGCAAGCGACTAAACCACAACAAAAGTCAGTAGATTCTGGAATGTACCGGGATAGTTTCGTCAAATTTGAGCATTATCACTTGCCTGGGGTCCCATGCCCTTCCTCGCCAACATCTGGGAGGTTATCATCAATAACTTCAGCTGCAGGTCTCCATCCAGCATTAATTTGCTGTGGTGTCAACTTCGGAAGGCTAAACTTGTTGGAAATCACGTATGTGACTACTTTTCTGTAGTCTGTGGCAGCGAGTTGCTAGTGCTGCGTCAGCGTTGCTCATAGATGATGCAGTTTGTTAATAGAGGGCGCTGCAAGATACATACCGGGTGCGTTGAGTCAAACCCACTGTCAAGCATGAAGATCCATGATCCTTCACCACGGGGCTCCGCATAGGTGTAGTAATCAAAAGATCGGAGGTCTTGTCCCTTCTGCTGTGAGAGGGACTTGAGATGACTGCCAGGTTGTCTTGACATCCGCTCCGAGCCAGTAGGAGCTGGCCAACTGGATGGATCAAAGGCCTGGTGCTTCCTGTCACCATCCTGGCCTAGACTACTGCCAGAACTTGTGTTCCAGGAAGTACCGCCAGAAGTGAAGTGCTCAAAGCCAAAAGGCTCAAACTCAACGTCTGCCTGGAATTCGGATCCCGTGGGCTTCGAGTTGTCACCAGGGCCTTCCCAAACAAAGCGAAATGTCTCATCGACGAAAGGCATGGTATTGGGCAGCAAAGCTTGCATGATGTTGAGATCCACAACGTAGCCCTTCACAACAGGACCGTCATAGGCAGCCTCCCATCCTTCACCATCTAGAACACGCTCCAGTCCACGCAGGGATGAAATGCTAGAGTCCGGCTTAGTGAAGACTTGATAACGAGGAAGCCAGTCGTCTCTGTCATCCTCGTCGGGCTCTTCTTGTGGATCCTCCAGGCTCCCACGGTCCCAGTTGGTAGTGCACAGACGCCATGCCTGTGTCCAACCCTGGGTGAGATGCCCTGAGCTTGTGATGTAAGCTGTAAATTGGTCGTAGAGGCTCTGGATTAGACTCCTCATAACTGTCTCATCGTCCGACTGTATCAGATTCAGGTTGATGATGCTGTTGATCGAGCTGAGGGCATTGAGCCCGGCATGCAGGGTTGAGTGCTTCTCCACGCCACGCCAGATGCGCCCACTCTCATCGTCTATGTGGCACACAAGTTCTTGAAATGCCTCATCGTTCTCGTCAATCCAAGAATTAATCGGATCCAACACCTGCTGGTTCAAGGTGAACATCGTGTTGAAGAAAGTCTTGATGAACTCAAAGGGTTGTTGGCTCGGGCACACCTGTTCTTGGGCCACTACACGAAGACATTAGTTAAATCAAATGCTCAAAGTCCCACAGTTATGCATTCTGCAATGAATAACAGCTTACTTCCGAAGTAATAAGCGGTAGTTTGCTGGAAAGCCTGCTGAGCAGCACAACCGACTGCGGAGAGCCCTTGTTGTGCAGCCGAGCCAGCCGAGCCAACCGCATTTGAAAGCCCGGCAAGTTCATCTGCGATCTTGGTGACATTCGAACATATGTCACCGTTAGAGCATGGCTCTTTCGACCGCGACCGCGACCGCGAGCGCGAGCGCGACAGGGACAGCGACTGCTGAACATTGCCACATGTGATAGTATTGTCTTCTGGTTTTGCGCCCCACTCGAAGCGTTTAGAGAAGCAAAACGACACATCACATATTGTTGTGTTCTGACAGTCCCCAGACTGAATGTCTTCAGGAAAAGGATGAAAGTCACCCGTACTGCAACGGATGCCGTCACAGGTGAGCGTAAAGTTGCTCAATTCCCGTTGATCTCCATCCCCAGTTGTGAACCAAAGGGTCTGCGGCTGGTCTGAGCAGAGTGGAACGAAGTAAGAAGCATTGCCGGTTTGAAATTGGAAGTTGGGAACTAAAATGGGTACCGTAAAATTGGCAGCTGCGGTGGCGCTGGGAAAGGTCGTAGCACCGGCAGTTGTTGTGGTATTGGAAAATGAGGTGAACGATGAGGTCGTGCCTATTGAGGAGGAAGGAGACGTCTGGGAGCTTGAGGTCTGCTGAGAACCTGACGATTGCTGCGAACTTGGGTACGTGGGAGACTCAGAAAACTGATCAGGCCGAGGACGACTAGGTGTAGGATCGACAGTTGGAGGCAGAGAAAGGCTCGTCACACCTCCTGGATTGGGCATGGGCGAGTACTGAGGTAGAGAGGTCAATGTAGGGCTGGCGGTAGGAGTTCCGGTAGTCATTGACGTCGTCGGAGCTAGAGAGCCGGTTGAGTTCGAAGGCTGAGTAGTCGACAGCGTCGGGACTGGCGGGACAGTGGCATTCGAAGGCACAGAGAATGGAGGTGGAGGAGGCGGCGGAGGCGGAGGCCCTGGAGGTGGATTCGGCGGATTTGGATTTGGTGGGTTTGGATTCGGCGGGTTTGGATTTGGTGGGTTTGGATTTGGTGGGTTTGGATTTGGTGGGTTTGGACCTGGACCTGGCGGAGGATTCGGACCTGGACCTGGCGGAGGGTTTGGATCATCTGGAGGTATTGGGCCTGGGGGAGGTATTGGACCTGGGGGAGGTATTGGAACTGGGAGAGGTATTGGGCCTGGATCTGGCCATGGACCTGGCCCCGGACCTGGATCTGGCCACGGACACGGGAAGAACCATGACCATGGCCATGGGCATGGATCTGGGTTTGGACCTGGATTTGGACCTGGATTTGGACCTGGATTTGGACCTGGATTTGAAGATCCTGTTGGAGACTCAGAGGTTGTAGACCCGGACGCGGTAGACCCGGACGTTGTAGAGTCGGACGCGGTAGAGTCGGACGTGGTAGACTTGGACGTTGTAGACTCGGAGGACGTTGTAGACTCGGAGGACGTTGTAGACTCGGAGGACGTTGTAGACTCGGAGGACGTTGTAGACTCGGAGGACGTTGTAGACTCGGAGGACGTTGTAGACTCGGATTTGGTAGACCCAGACGTTCCAGTTGTGCTTGAAGTTTTGGTCGAGCCAGTACTTGTGGACGATGGCGAACTTGACTTGGAGCTGCTTTGGGATGTTGAAGATGAACTTGAGGCCGGGCTGGATGAGGAAGAGCTGCCAGACGTAGAGCTGCCAGACGTAGAGCTAGTGCTGGTAGACGAGCTGGCAGAGGGCGGAGGCGGAGGCGGAGGCGGGATGGTGATTGTTGAGGGGCCAGGAGGCCAAGGCGGAGGAACAGGCGTCGGGGAGCCGGGAAGCGGGATAATGGTAGGAGGGGGGCCGGAGGGCAGAGGCTCAGGGCTCGGAGTGCCTGTTGGAATTGGAGGCCCAGGTATTGTCACAGAGCTTGTCTCAGAACCAATTGTGCTTGGAGTTATAGTTGAGCCACCACTTGTGATTGATGTCAAGCTCGATGTCAGGCTGGTTTCCGACGTAGACAAGGAGCCAGCAGGCGAGGAGACAGATGAGCTGGGTTGGCTCACACTGGTACTCGACAGGGTTGAGCTGACTTCTGTAGAGCTTGCCAGTACGGAGCTGCTTGTTGACATACTTGTTGCCGGAAGGCTGCTCGGAGGTAAAGGGATCGGAATGACCACAGAGGTGCTGCTTGAACTAGGCAGAGGGACAGAGCTGGACAGGGTCGTTTCTGTCGACCACGCACTGGATATCTGGCTTGACATTGTTGGCCACAGGCTGGAGCTTGAATCCTGCCCAGGTGGTACGACCGTCGTTTCCGATGACGTCCAAGCACTGGACATCTGGCTTGACGTGGTTGTTGATAGGCTGAAGCTTGAGCTCTGCCCAGGTGGGATGACGATCGTTGTGGTTGTGGGCGAAGGCTCCGCCGTTAATGTCGTGGAAGATGGGGCACTACTGCTGAGACCACTTGTGCTGGAGACCGTTGAGCTCCCGTACGGCGTGGAAGGGGACGCAGACGATGTCGGTAGGCCAGGTGAAGAAGTTTCAGTCGGAGTCGGAGGGAGAATAGTCAAGGTAGGCGCAGAGTAGGTGCTCAAGGTAGGCGTAGAGTAGGTACTCAAGGTAGGCTCAGTCGCATACGAGGTAGGAGCAGGGGCCTCCGATGTATAGCTTGAGAAACTGAAGCTAGACTCAGGATAACTGCTGATGGGCGGAGTGGACTCAACGGTTGAGAGAGAAATCATTGGCGAGTCTGAATTGTAAGTTGTGACACTGAAGCTGGACCCAGGGCTCACACTGGAGGGTAGAGTTGATTCCGTTGTGGAGGAGTCCGCAGCGGAGGCGATGCTTGACTCAGGGTACGAGGTCAACGACACTTCAGTACTTGGAGGGTAAGGAATTGGTGTCATGGGCTGGTAGGTCGAGACGGTCAAGCTTGGTGTAGCTGAGGCCGGGATATAAGAGTCGATGCTGCTGCTCATCGCAGTCTCGGACACCGCAGTCCAAGAAATTGACCCAAAGAGGGTGGAGATTGACTCTCCACACTGGACGAGGGTTTCAATGCGGTAGGCGTCAATAGTAACAGACTGATCTGGCACGGACGATGACGTTGAGGCTGGGTCGGCATTGACCGAGTTCAGTTGAGATGCCACATCTCTGTCACTCAGCGTGACAGTGGTGATCGGGGTCGTCTTGACGATTGTGACCGGAGGGATGGTCAAGGTAGTCGAGGCAGTGATCGCAAAGGTATAACAGGTGCTGGTGTCGTACTCTGAGATACCACCAAGGGTCAGTAGGCATGATAGGCAAACGCGGTGATGAACGCGACTTACCAGCGGTCGCAATGCCTAAGATGGCGCCAAAGGCCGCAAGAAGCCACATTATCAGTAGCATTGTGCTGTTGAAGGTGCTATTTGGTTAATGGAGATCTTCTAGAAGAGAAAGGGAAGCTGGTGTTCTTCCATCAAAGGGGCGAGGAGAAGATTTCTTCCAGAGACCAGACTAAACGTGTGCCTGGCAGGGGAAAGTGCTGCAACTTGACTGGGCTTGTAGGAATGCAAAGGTCGACGGCTGTGAGAAGTCCCCGACTTGGGCACAGATGCGATCGGAAAGGAGATCGTTCAGGAAGCAGAGGGTCAATTGAAAGGAAGGAGAGAAAGAAAGACGAAGGGGTAGACAGAGTCTGTAAAATTGCACAACGAGTGCTATGGCTTGCCGGGGAGGAATATAACTTACCCTGACTGCGAAGGCCTCATTGGAAAGATGAGTCGATGGCGAGGTTATCGGTCTTGCGAAACCTTGTATCGAGGTCGCCTCACGAGATAGGTACTGCTTCAAGCAGTTGGGTAGGCTTGAGAGGATCGAACAGGTCGAACAGAACACTGAGAAGAATGGCTTGCTGCTAGGGGCTTGCCTCAAGAATCTCAAAAGACTGGAGGCTGTGTGCTGTGGAGGAAGAGCAGACAAAGGGGAAACGAGTGGTTGATCACAGACGAGAAGCCCTTGGCAGAAAACGAGGAGGGGCACTTTTTTGGTCTGAACAACTTTAGATGGGATGGGACCAAAGCTGTGGAGATCGATAAGAAGGCTGGTCTGCCTTCTGTCTACAGAGTCCAAAGCCTTTTGCTGATGTTTTCTAGTATGAAGTTCTTGAGCCATACAGCTCAGACATCTCAAAGTGTAAACAGAGGAACACCGTCCAACCCCCCGAGCCCCAGTTACAGGTATCATAAGAAGAGAGAAAAGACAAAAGAGAAAAGCAGAGAGGAAAATGAGTGGCAGCATAACCGAGTACCAGAGCAGCTTTGATCATCATACTTACCTTGACTGAGAAACCAAGGGGAAAGTAGTTGGGCCAGTGCTCAAGAGTCAAAGACCAACTTCCTGTTGGAAGGACTTTTTTACAATTAGACACGACTGGGTTTTGCCAACGATTCTTCACACGGATGATCTGAAGTCCGCTGGAGAGTAGAAAACAACATAAAGCAAAGCAAAGACATTGCAAATGCAAGAACCATATTCATCGACCAAGTTGGTTCACCGGTCGATCTATGGGAATAGAATCCAGCAATGATGACAAGGAGATGACTGCAAATAAGTACACTAGCACTTTATTTGCATAGCAAATCTGAGGTCATGCTGTCTCCAGAGGTTCTCAATAGTTGTGTGCAAAAGTGGGGATGAGACGGTGGGAATGCCTGTGTCCTTACCCGGACCCGGCATATAGACTATAGCATACTTTGCTGTGGATATGACCGCATCAAGGCCATCTCCAAGAAGCACCCAACATCGGTTTGTCATCCTGGATATTCTGGAATAACACAGTCCGGCATAGCACCGGTCAGCAGCAGAGCTGACCGAGTAGTACTAGCGTGATGCTTGGGAGGAATGAGGGTGAGCGCCTAGACTATTGATTTGCTGAGTCCCGGAAGGTGACACAAACGTGGGAGAAGCGCGCCAAGGTGGAGACGATTGGCTGAGCAGGCGCCGGTGGTGATGGGAGCTTGATCATCCTCAGCTGGGTGTTACCTGGTTTCAGGATTGCGGCGTAGCACCGTTGTGCCTGAGGTCATGTCTCTGGTTGGCTGTGGCAGAGTAGGCTGACAGACAGGGCGTACTGCAGTCTCTTGTACATGCGGTGTGTGGACCTGCGCGGTCAAGACAGGCCATGTCCGAGGCCTGCCGGACCTGCCGGGCAGTTGGAGAGAGAGAGATGATTGCCAGACGGAGGGATGAGAAGTCAGAGGATAGGGTCTGCTGGGTCTGCTGGGTCTGCTCTGCAGGCTGGAGAGGGAAGCAACACAATGTGCACAATAGTAGCCAGACAAGACACCTCGACGATGAGCATGGCTGGATGGATGGAGGAGGCAGGGCTGCAGGGGGGCTCAGCGACCTGGAGCCGAACTTGGCATGGGTGCAACGGCCCACCTTCCCATGCCTGCCATGCCTACCCCCCTGGTCGTCCCCAGCTGCTGATCCCTCTCTCTCTCTCTTTCTCTCTTCTGCTGCAGCCCATGCCGACCGAGCCATGGGGTTATTGGGCACGGCACGCCAAACCCGCCCGTTGACTCCTGGCTCTCCTCTCCCGTCTTCTCTCCCAAACCCGATTCCGATCAGCTGGGTCACCCAACCCGTTGGAACCTTGAAGCCGTCACATCATCTCGTCTGGTCCCCATCTGACCTGATCGTTCCTCAGCGACTGTCTTATCTCCTCAGAAGCACCATCTCACCGTCGACCACCGCTTCGTAAGCCGAGTTCAGGTCCACGCCCACGCCACGCCCATGTCCCGACCCACGCCCCGACGCCCGTGCCATCAATGAAGCCGTCTCGCCCAGCCGGTCCTTTTCCACAATGCTGGGAATGCGTACCTCACGACGGCATGACCCTTCCCTCTCTCGCTTCCGCCCGTTGCTCATAGCGGGTCTCGCTCTAATTTCCTCCTCTGCTGCGAACAACGTCGATGGCACTACCTTCCTCTATCCCCTCGGTGGCGAATCCTTCTATAACCTTGACACCGTGAAGGTCTCATACCAATCCACTTTTCTCGCCCCTGTTCTCTACACCTTTTTGCAGCATCAACGGCGTCACCACGCAGAGTACGTCCGCACCCTCAGCTCCTCCACGCCCCTAGCCGCCACCACTGACCGTGCCTTAGTGCAAGTGCAAGACGCCGAACCCGACAACGCATCCACGCTCGTCCATCTGAACGTCACCACCAACGTCCCCTGCTGGTTCGACCTGAGGGCAGGCCAGGTTGCAGGCGAGGGTGCCACCACTGAGAAGTGGACTGCCCTAGCGAGATCACAACAGGAGACCACCTGGAGCGGCACCGCCCTCCCGACATCGACACCGACTACGAGCCCCACGACATCCGACGGGCAGAACCCTCACGGCCCACCTCCACCCGGCTTGAACTCGGGCGCCAAGGTCGGCGTTGCCATCGCCGTCGCGCTTGGCATAATCGCAATCTTCACGATGGGTCTGTGGATGTGGTGGAGGAGGCGACAAAAGCGAAAGGTTGCCAAGAATATGGTCAATTTTGTGGATGGTGATATTGTTAACTTGGTTGATGGAGGACGCTTCGAGAAGCGAACCAAGCCGCCCGACGCCTACTACGACCCCTGTCTCGCCGCTTCTAGCCAGTCGACTATTTCTCACTCCACCCACACGCCGACCTCGGCTCATCATTCAGAACCCGCCTACGAGAATCACCAGCCGGCGCAGCAACAATATTATGCTGAGGCATCAGCGTCACACGAGCGAACATCCGCGCCGATATTACCCCAAGAAACCATCCCTCCTGCCCCGGCCGTGAGCAACGAAAGCGCTGCTTGGTCCAACTCAGCGCGACATCCTTGGTCGCCTCCTGATTATGATGCCCACTCGCCAGCATCCGAATGGAGCGTCCAGGGCGAAAACGACTTCTATGCAGTGCCGCGCCAAACCCATTCCATGATGAGAGAATATAAGTTTGCACAGCCAGTCGAGGCTCTGCCCGCCATTCTGCCCGAACCGAAGCCGCAGGCTGAACTACCCGACAATCAGGGCTACCATGCACGCGGCGATGAGCAGGAATTACCAGCACCTCACCAAGCACCGCCGTCGAGAAACGCTCCTCCCAACGGCTTGGAAATAGAAGAACAAAAGTTCCTGTTGGCGGATATGTTGGAATTGAGGGAGGCGAAATCAAAGGCTGCTGAGCGCCGGCCAGCAGGATGAGATGGGAGCCGATGAATTGCGTTATAAAATCTGAGGATCGAATCGATCAGTGGCTCCCTGAGTCAAGGAATACATCCCCTTCCAGGCGGCGGCATAGGGATTCAAAGGTGCCCCGGAAGAATCGCCAGCCAGACAAGGTGATAGCCACAGCCGAGAGATGGAAGCTACCGGTCCGGCACGGGAACCCCTCTGGGACGCAAGGAAAAGCTGGGCAAGCACGCTTTTACGTCGCAGTCGCGTGATTTGAGGACGAGCTACCGTGAGGGCGGCCCAGCGAGGCATACAGAGCCTACGCTGGCTCACCAATGGCCAGGGGAAGGGCGGCCTCATATGGGCGGGTGCGGAGGACTACAAGCCCGTCGAGCGACGGCGAGGTGTCAGAAGTTCCTGTATTGAAGCTAAATCTGGAAGGGTGTAATATGTCCGCAGAGGCGGCCAAAGCTACAATCAATGGAAGATAATTGCAAAACCTACACAATATCAGAAGTCCTACAGGTCTCAAGCTTGACCCACTCTCAAACAATCTTTCGCATCTCGAGCGACGGGATGGCAGGGCGTCATCCAAAGACCGGGACCAGGGCGTTCCGAGACAGAATTAAGCTAAAGACAGCATTCTAGCTTTTCATGGTTCGTCAATACCACTTATGCGGCACTGCCTCCTCTTTACCATCCTCGACATCCACAGCGCCAGATGCCACCACTTCTTGGGCGCTGACCCCGGGTCCATCAACGACTTCTCCAGGTCTGGAAACCGCCTCGACATGTTCTCCTGGATCTTGGGGATCAGCGCGTCGTAGTGGTCCGCGGTCGTGCCATAGAGCTGGCTGTGCCGGCGGTTCAGTATGTTGACCAGGCTCGCGAAGCCCTCTATGCCCTCAAAGTCTGCGTCGCCGATGCGGTCGAGCCAGCCAAAATCTGTAAGGGAGCTGGGCACGGTGCGCTTGAGGATGGCGGCGGTGTGGAAGAGGAAGTAGGGCGACTCGATCTCGGGCGGAAGACCCTGTGGCTGGAATCCTGCGGCGGAGGGTGTCGTCGGCGCCGTGATGCACTTCTGGTTCTGAAGGTACATGATGTCGTCTAGGATATCGTCGTCCATGGCACGTTTCAGCAGCACCACGGCCCGCAGGCGCCGACCCTCCCGGTCAGGGTCTGTCGCCGCGAAGAGGGTCTCGTCCGGCTGCGAGATGAACTCGGACAGACCCCAGTACTTGAACGCGCTCATCACCGTGTCGAACCAAACAAGCCCAACCTTTGCGTATGTCAGCACCGGCAAGTCTGGGATCGGCGGCGGTGGCGCCGGGGCCGGGGCCTTCGAAGTCGCCATCGAGTGATGCCGGACGAGCGCCATCTGGGCCGCAAGCCGGGCTTCGAGGTCGCGATTCCGCCGCTCAGCCCTGTCGCGCTGCCGCCGCGTCGCATCGAGGTCGCCCCCCAGCGCCACGAGCTGCTCCGCCATGGCCTCGCGCTCCTGGCCGTGCCGCTGGTGGTGCGCCACCAACTGGTCTGACAGTATGTCCAGCTCCTCCTCGGCCAGCGACGCGGCGGTCAGGTCCGACTCGGCAATGCTCGCCCTCCGCCGCACGTATGAGCGGGCGCTGGCGGTGACGACGGACGAGCTCGCGGAGTGGTACGGGCTGCGCGCGCGCGAGCGCTTGCCGGCGACATCGGCACCGCCCCGGCCGCTGTATATCGACCCCGGCGTCTCGAAGCCCCCGATGCTGCTCCTCCCCGCCACGCTTCCCCCGCGACTCGACGGCGGTGGCGCGCCCGAGCGCACCGACGCCGCGTATACAGTCCCCTCGTGGCCGCCGGGCTCCCGCTCGCCGACCTCGGCCTGCTGCATCAGCTCCAGCTCCGCGACGCGGCCCAGAAGCGTCCACTTCTCCTCCTTGAGCGCGGCAGCCTCGGCGCGCATCTGCTCCGCCAGCCGCGCGTGCTCGGCGTCCTTGGCCCGCAGCTGGCCGTGCAGGTCGTCGATGGTCGCGACCTGCGTGATCTTGATGGCGCGCAGCTCATCATTTTCGGCCTTCAGGGTCTGGATCTGCCGCTGGAGCTTGCGGAGCTGCGGCAGCACGGGCAGCGTCGGAGCATGCGCCTCTGGTGCTGGTCTGCCGCCAGCGCCGGATGTCTGTAGCGAGAGGAACATTGCCTTCGCGGGCGTGGTGTTCTCCTGCCTGGGCTGGATGATCCTCGAGTTGCGGGCGGGGACATTGAGGCTTGTCCTGTTGGATATTGCTGCGAGGGGCGTCCGGCCTGGTTGGTCTGGGTTACTGTCTCGACCTTGGGCATTTTGGCCACTGCCCACGGTTCGGTTGGCACTCACGTCCTTCGATATGCCCACGATGGTCCCCGCCCCGGATGTCGACGTGACGAAGGAGCTCGTCGTGGCCCGTGAGAGGGTGCTGGTGCTCGAGCGGTGCCGTAGGTCGCGGCTTCCCCGGTTATCACTTTCGCTTGTGCGTCTGCTCCCTGCCTGTTCGGCCCGGTCGGTGTCTCGGGGCCTGCTGCTCGTGGACTTGGGGCTGAGCCGCAAGGTTTGCGACGAGCTGGCCTTTCTGAGTTGCGATGCCCTGCCTACCGGTGATGATACGGGTAGGGCTTTACCCTTGGGAGTGACTGGAGACTCTGGCATTCTGTTCAACTAGCGATAGGCTGTTGATCCACTGGTCACAAGTCGTGATGATCCCGTTGATGCGAAGCTGCGAGGACCCGGCGAAGAAAATAGAGACTACGTCGATGCCTTCACTTGTTTACTTATCACTTGTTTACTCGGTTCGTATTGGTCATGACAGGAACAACACAATCTGCTTGGCGGCGCCACAAGAGCGGCCACCAGGCCCCAGTCGAGATGTGATGACGTGCTAGAACATCCAGAACCGGAGACACTGGAATGGAAAATGGGCTTGTCATCAATTCCCATTGCTGGATACCGGAAACCTGTTGCTTCAATTACATTTGTCTCATTGCCAGAGCGGAATTATGTGCCCTCGGTGACACGAACTGGGGAACCCTACCTTCTCTATCGTTACCTACGCAACGAAGAAGACACACGGGTGCTGGAAATTCAGTCCAAATTATTCATGACTAACGCAATATTTAAATTCCAAATCCGGCGATAGCATCAAATGCTAAATAGGTCAGATCAGTAATCATTGAGGTAATCATATATCTTCCTTGTCCGTTGGCCAAACCGTGGACGCAGCTCCCGAGTCTATTTCCTCACGTTAAAGTGCGATAAATATCCAGTTTCTGCCCTCCTACGGCGCCCACGTCTCTTATAGATCCTGCTAAGTTTCTGTCATATATCCACTGCCACATGGGCTTCAAGAGTGGGTCAAGGCATATGAATGTTTGATGAAAATATTTGAGCTACTCAAGAATCATGCAAAGCCATCACGATGATCTTCTCATCATAGTAGCTCATACAAGGCCGTGACAGCAGCTTACACAGACACGTACGACGGCCCGTGAAAGCCGAGTCGGATGGATTCAACAGGGAGCTAAGGAACGGATGTGAATATGTACCTCAGAGTATCTGAGCAGGCTGTATGTACAGATATGTATCTGTGCAGAGAGAAAGAAATGAAACCCCGCGAGCCCCTCAATGAACCACCTAGTCCCGTAATGTGAGGTTGTCTACAGGCACTGAGAGTAATACTCGTTCGACTTGGTGCAAGTGCTTCCCGAGTCACACACAGTGCAACCGCTCCAGTTGGTACCGCCGCACTGGGCCCACTTAGCAGCAGTGCAGCCAGATGTGGGCGTCGCGGACGCGGAGGAGGCCGTGCTGGTCGCCGGCGCCTTTGAGGTGGTTGACGCGGCCGAGGTCGTGCTCTTGGTGGACGTAGCGGTGCTGGACGGCACAGGCGAGGAGTCTCCGCCCGATGAGCCTATGGAGGGTTCTTAGCCTTCAAGTGAGGGCCGAATTGCTAGGTAAACGCAGGTTACTCACTTCCGGATCCGATCGTGGTCGTCAGGCTGCCGGACTCGACGTACACCCCGGAGAAGTAGAAGTCCTCGTTGCTGTCCGAGTACCCGCTCCTGGGGAGCTCGAGCACGCCCAGGTGCCAGTCCGCGCCGTTGCTGCTTGTGCTCGCGCTGACGGGGGATACGGTCAGCTTGAGGGGGTCTGAGCCGGTCGAGTGCCAGAACCCAACTGTGTTGGCGCTGAAGTCGATTTCGTAAGCAACTAGAAGCTTTGTTAGAAAGTCATCACAGGAAATTTAGACAGCGTGAAAAGAGAACGCGTGTTGTAGAAGCTCAGATAGGAGCATGCGGAACCCTGTAAGTCTTTTGATCGCTCTTGACTTACCATTGTGCCATACACCCGCGGTGAAGTTGGTAGACCACTTGCTCACGCCGCCGACCATCCACTGGAGGTTAGGGTTGCTCGTGGCAGCCTCGCCAGAGATCCAGCCAGACTTCATCTCGGTGAAGTGGCTCTCGAAGAAGTTGATCTGGTGCTCCCGGTAGATGGATGGGTAGTTGGTGCCGCTCGTCATCATTGAGAAGTGATACCACACTTTGCCCTTGTTGATGCCCGCGGAAGTCTGCGGGATGAGCTCTGTGCGGCGCATATTCTGCCCGTTCCAGTACGCCGTGTTGGTGAGCGTAATCTTGGCTCCCTGCTTGGACGTCGTATCGGCCGGGTTCTTGTACGAGGGTGACAGGTTGACATATTCAGTGACGGCGCCCGAGCCGTGGATGTAGTACTGGTACGGCCCGACCTGGTTTGACCAGGACCATGTAGCCAAGTCTGCGGACGAGGACAGGTCGTTGAAGCGGCCGTCCCAGATGACAGTGCCTGCATTGGCGGTGGCCAGCAAGGCTGCGACGGCGGCAAGGCTGAAGGTCCTCATCGTAGTGATCGGCAGGGGAACAGCGTGGGGGATGACGGGGTCGCAGGGAGCAGAGTTCGGTCGAGGTGAAGATCCTGGGCCTTTCCGGCGTCCCCTGGATCTCCTGGGCGCAGCGAGCACTTATACCAGATCGATCACATATTATCGTTGAAAGAATAGCCGGAACAGACGTTAGCTTCCGCCTCGGAAGAGAAGCTTAAGTTGCTCCGCAGGGTCGCTTGTGGCTTCTGGTGTGGTCATGCGTGCTATTTCCAGGGCAGTGGAGCGTCTCCCGGGTCTGGCCCAATGTGACCATGAATGGAGAAGCACGCGTAATAAATGAAACACAGCGCATGTCCGGGCCGTCAGGTCCAGGCTCAGCTGGAAGATTATGGTAGCACGTCGTGGTCCGTTGTGCCATCACGGAGGTTGTGCCGAGATTTCCTTTTCAGGTAAGCGTGATCCATTCGGGGATGAGCATACACACACCCACCCAAGCTGTCAGTCTACCTTCGCGACGTGTGAGACACGGGGAATGTTTAGGAATTGGGGAATGCTTCTTTCCGTGCTCGAGATAAGAGGATTGGGGGGACCATGAGAACAGTGGCGTGTTGCTCTAGTGTTGGCATCAAGAACTCCGCCCATGAGTAACGAGCTGAACCACTGTGGGTGACCAGCACTTATTGCCCGCAGAGACCAATTGCAAATACAGTTATCTTCCACAGTCCTCCGTACTGATTCCCAGACCCTAGAAAAGAGATGGCAAAGCCCATGGACACGACTGACGATCTCCCCCTCCTCACCCGGCGCTCGAGGGTGGCCACAACCTTCTGCGTGGAGACTTGAACGAGAAACGAACCACGTCGGTGCCCCTTGTCGCCTTCCAGTGTATACAGTCGTCTTGTATACCACTCGAAATCTTCTTGCACGGTGATTGTATTGTCAACCGGGTGCGGGATGCCGACTGTGAAGCGCCAGGTGTGCTTCTCGCAGGCCCCAGGCCGTGCATTGATAACCGTGGTCTCGGGCGCAGTTCCTAACTGGTGATCGCAGACTTTGACAGTGATTTGATGCTCGTCGGCAGATGCCTTCAAGAAAGGAGCCGTCCAAGTTGCGTACCACTTGTCACCCACGCAAAGGCTCACTTGTCTGGTTTTGCTGCTCAAATGGTGGCCTTCTCGGTAGCCTACCAACAAAGGCAAGTTGCTACAGCTGTCGATGATCTTTACGCCATGTTCATTCAAATGGTGTAGCGTGAGGCCGCGTAAAACAAGTTGGTCCGGCAGACTAGGATGGGGTCAGTTGCTTGAAGTCATCTAATGTAGCTGCCCATGTGGTAGTCCCGACGTACCTCAATGGGAGAAACTGGCTTGCAGACCATCGATTCAGTCTCTCGGATTCTTTCCGGTCGTCATCACGATTGGCAAGCGCTGGTTCGTATTGCCATTTCTTTCGGCGAAACAGCCTTGACACGAAAGAAGCTAAAGACGTGCGTAGGGACGCCATCAGTGTAAGGCGTAGTTTTGTAAGAATTAGTAGGATGATGCCTGTGATCTGTAAAATAAGGAGATCAAGTTCGGAGGGATCTGACCTGGCTCCTTCTACGCCAGGCGCATCAAGACCCAAAATATGTGCGGAAGGAACGACACGCCGTTGCCGAAGACGACTGCCAATCGTCCCTGCAAAAAAAAAAAAAAAAAAAAAAGAGAAATACAATAAAAACAAAAGTCAAACGACTGGTCATTTAAAACACAACAAGCTCGTCCGCGATGCCTTGGCCTCTTTCCTTAACGACTCCTTGTCTTCCTCTTCCAGCTCCTTGAGGGCCAAGGCAAGTCGCTTCAACCCAAGCTTGAAGATGAACTCCTCTGTGCCGTAGTTCAAGCGGAAACTCCCCGGCACCTTTGCTGAGAAGGCGCTGCCGGGCTCAAGGAACACCCCACGAGCCATCAGGTACTCGAGCAGGGCGACCTCGCGCTCCTTGTCACTGTCGCCCTCGACGTTTGACAGCCAGCTAGAAAGGTCGACAAAGGCGAAGAAGGCCGCGTCGGGGTTGGTATATCGGATCAGGTTGCCAGCCAGGAACTCGTCGAGCTGTTTCCTTCGTTTGTTCAGGGCTTTTTGGTACACGGGCAGGTACCTCCTCCGGACGTATTTGGGATTTGATAACACCGTCGTGGCTGTGATGCCACCATATGCCGAAATCCAGGTGAACATACTGGAACACGTCGATGTTAAGTCATGGCATGCGCTTTGACAACAAAAGGAAACTCGCTGACAACAACGATGTGTGCTTACCTCACAGTCCGCATCGACTGGTAGAGCCTCTCATTGTACGTGGCAAGGAAGCCAACCCGACAACCGCCCATTCCAAAGTCCTTAGACATGCCCCATAGTACATGCACATTCCCGGCAGCGTCACGCAGGTCCAGGCTCAACACACTTGTGAATTCGGCGCCTCCGCTGAGCGCGTAGATCTCGTCCACGACGAAATGCATCGACTCGCGCTGGCAGAAGTCGACCATGTACCGCAGCAGCTCCGCGGTATAGCAGCGGGCGTGCGGGTTGTCCGGGTTCGCGATGAGTAGCGCGGCGACACGCCTCCCCAGGCGGCGCTGCTCGGCGGCGGCGGTCTCCAGCCGGTTGATCAGCTCCGGCTGCGGCCTACCGGGGCGGATGTGCTGCCGGAAGCGCGCCTCGGTGATGTCGTCGCAAGGAACTCCAATGAGATGGATGCCGTTGCGTGTGGTTACATCGTGGTTGAACATGCCGTAGCTCGGCGTCGGATAGAGCACGACCTCGCCCTCGTCGGCGAGGTTGAAGAAAAGGGTGTCCAGCAGGGCGGTCACGCCATTCCCAGCAAGGACGTTGGAAGAGGTAAGCAAGATCCTGGGGCTGAAGAAGTGGTTCATGAACTCTGCGGCCGCGGCCGGGAGCGCAGGAGAGCACTGTGTGTCGTTGTACTTCAGATCTAGGACGCGAGGTTCAACTGATCAGCCCCTGGCCCACTGCTGGTGGGTTGCTGTCCACTCAGAGTGTGGTCTTACACTCGGCCTTGTCCTTCTCGTCGTCATGTCTCGCCAGCCAGGTCTGAAGCTCGTCGATCATCAGCTCGTTCTTCGCGGAGCCCAGGTCGACGATGCCGCTGGGGTTGAACTTCTTGTGGTAGGCGTTCTCTGCGATCCTCCGGCTGAGGTCGACCATCTGATCCGGTCGGACATTGTTCTGTCCACGCCGTGAGGGTGGTAGAGGAGGCATGATGGATCGATCCTTACACGATACCAAGGACGATGCCTGTCAAGAGAGCGACTGCAACCACATCACCATGCTATCGAAGGTATGTTCGTGGGTCCATGGATGGTGAAGACGCGTCGTCTCCATGGGTTGACTAGATGACTAAGCCTCCTGAGCCCATCGTTTTTGTGGAGGTCAAAGAGATACGGTACGAGGCGATACGATAAAGCACGATGCGACGCTCTTAGCCTGTTCCGGTGCAGATTTTCTCGTATCGCCTTGCAGGAGGATCCGTGTGTCAGCCACACTGACAGTACACACTCCTTCCTAATGGACACAGGCAATCAGCAAGCTCAACGAAGCTCATAAGTCCTACTGGAGATCAGTGCGCAGCCTTTAACTCCAAGACTTGGTTCTGGTCTGCTGTGGTGATCGACTGCGCTTGGCATCAACACGTGAAAACACGGACCCATTGAATCGGCACACCAAATATAGAATGATCAACGAGAAATGATGAGGTTGCAGTGGACCAGCGCAGCAATGACGCGGCTCCTCGTCCGCCCGGCCGGGGTGCAGCACCGAGTCAGGTGGCCGCCACACGGCGGACCCGACGACGTAGTCGGCGCCGAGGCAAGGCATCCCGCTCGGCAGCATGGACGATCGCACGGCGACGCAGCACAGCAGTTCGCGATGCGACGTCGTGGTGCAGGCGCCCCGTCACAAGAGTCGTCCACGTGAGCACCCGCAGAGTCCTAATATACTGGCATTCCGGCTGATTGGGCCACCCAAGAAGCCGCAAAATGAACCGGTTCGCTCGTCGCTCGCTTCGTGGCTCGGCGCTGCTCGGGGGATCGGTAGGTGCATAAAAAGATTCGGCCAGCCCGAGGTCCCCCAAGAGGATGCCTAGGCACCACTGCCGCACCCTGGGCGACCGGCATGCTTATCTTATCCGATCCCCACATATATGACTGTGTTTTCTGTGTTCCTGTGTCTCTGATGTTGCAGCCCGGGGCCCCACCCCGGGCATCCGGCAGGGGCACGGCAGGACGAAGCCAGCGGGAGACGGCCGGTACGTCAAATCAGCGGCGCCGTCATCGCGCAGCCAAAACAAGGAACCCATTCCCCAAGGCCGCCCTGCATGCCAGGCTTCTTTGTTTTTCCAAGGCACGGCCTCAGCCGTCAGCTCGGCGGAGTACGCTCGGTCGGCGCTCATTGGGGAGCCTCGCGTCAATCATATGCCTTGGCACCTGCACCCACCCAGTCCACCCAACACATGTGACTAATCCTTCGGCTGCGGGCTAATGAGCGTCGGGCATTCTGGCGATTGGGCCCTGGGGATGGGCCGGGAATATGGGAGCGGCCGGGGTGGTGACGATCAAGGGCAGCGACGGCCGTGCCGTACATCCGTTTGAGCCTCTTGGTGCTGGGGTGCAGCGATATCCCAGGGATCCCTTCTTGGCGGATGACGGCGTGGGACGATTCTAGGACAATGTTTGGGAAGCCTTCCCGTCCACGAGACTCGTCGGAATGTCGGATCACAAACATAAAAGAACCGCTTGTCCCCCGTTGGAAGAGATTGTCATGTTCCATAGGAATCACCTCAATTGATCAAGTTTAACTTAACAGTAAAAAGTAAAACAAATTTCAACCAGACCAATCCACACAATCAAAACAAAACAAACCAAACACGCACACAAGAACCTCAAATTCTTCTGTGACAACAGTAGTCACCAGAGAATCATCACCATCAAACAAAACCAACCCACAAAAACAAGGCTCCGTCTTCTAAAGAAGACAGAGCCCACCGCAAACAAGCACTTGCCGATGAAGAGCTTCGAGACCCAACGCACCTACACCAGCCTGACCAGCTGCTCGGCCTCGTCCGCAGATTCCAATAACAACAACCCCAACAACAACAACCGCGTCAACCCCTGGACCGGCCGCCCGCTCCGCAACACCTCCTTCGGGGGCCGCCACAGCAACGACTGGCTGTTCGGCAGCGTCGCCGTCAAGAAGTCCATCAAGAAGGGCGTCAAGCGGGTCCTGCACCACGAGTGAACGAGAGAGCGAGGATAGAGACAGCTCAGCCATTCACCACTGAGTAGTCGCGCTTGGTCATAGTAAACTAGGAGATTCGTGCGCGAAAATGGCGGTCCGCATGATGATGATGCCGGCCGAGGAGATGCTGGTCGACGAGGAGGCCGAGCCGCCCCATGGGTGGAGTGGGCGGCCGGTCAGCAGACGCATCAGGCCAGAGGAGCAGTGTGAGGACGGGATAGCTGTACAGGTAGCAGGAGGAGGATCACCACAGGATCACCATGGCAATATTGGCCATGCCGCATTAGACAGTATCGTCTATTCAATACATTCGTTACCTCATGCTCGTCCGAATCCAGTTGATTGGTGTGTGAGCTCATTGCCCTCGTGTTTCCCAGAACAAATCCGTACGTATACATGCGGGGCGAGAGCACCCGGCCACCCTCCCGAAACAAGTACATGCCACGTTGCCAGTGTCGCCCCCTTTGCGGCATCCCCGGTCCGCCTCACATGATAAATCGCAGGTTGACATCTGTCGGGTGGTTCGTTAGTGACCAGTCCAGTACGAGAACATGTGCTCCCATCGGTAGATAGTAGACTCACCTAGAGGATGACTGCAGCTGAGCTGTGGCTTCTGTGTGTACTTGGTCTCCAGGACATCACGGACGCTGTTCAGCAGCTCGAGGTACGTCTGGTTGCGGTTCTGCTTGAGCGCGGAGATAAACGCCCAGGACATGGCGCCAGTGGCCTGCGACGCAATGGTCGCATCGGCGCTGGTCTGGTCGTCCTTGCTCCCGCTCCACAGGATCACGTCCGCGGGGCTCGTCTTGGTCCGGATCGTCTTCTCGTGCGCCTTGTCGCCGGTCATGGCGGACTTGGCGAAGCTCATGAAGGAGCTCGCCACGCCGCCGATGTCGCCGCGGGCGTAGGACATGACGGCGGAAAGCAGCCCCTGGCCGGCTTCCTTGGCCAGGTTAGGCTCCTTCAGCACGCCCTTGGTGGAGTAGATGTACGGCAGGTCCATCATGGACCCCGAGTGGCACGAGTCGAAGATGGCCGTGAGACGGACACCGGGCGAGAGCGGCTTGACGACAATTGCGTGGACCTCGTCATCGACAATATGGCCTCGTTGTTTGAAATCGACTGGGTAGATGACCTCGTCAAATCCATCACCTTCGTCGCCGTCCAGGTCCTTCGTCTGTCCTCCGTGTCCTGTGAAAGCACCGTCAGCACCGGCCCTTTCCCCATCGATCCCGAAACCCCGGTGGAACCTTCCATGTTGACTTACCAGAGTAGTGCAAAAAGAGCGAATCGTTGGGCTGCGCATTGCTGACCAGCCAGTTCATGGCTCGCAAGATGTTCTGCTTGGTGGGCTGCAGTACTGGGTTGGCCTGGTCGTCCGTCAAGATCACCATGTCCTCGCGCTTGTAATGGTAAAAGTCCATCAGGAAGCTCGAGACGTTCCTCGTGTCGTTGATGCAGCCCTTGAGCTCCGCGTTGGTGCCAAAGTAGTTGATGCCGATCAGCAACGCCTTGCGCCGCCCGGTACAGGCACTGTACTGGAACGTGTAGCCCTGCGGCGCGCCATGGCCGAACTGCTGTGCCCCTTGTGGCGGCGGCGGAGCATTCCCTCTAGGAGCGTAGCCGCCTTGGTGATATTGCTGCTGAGGTGCGTATTGGTTTTGCGGAGGAGGGTAACCGTAGCCCTGCTGGAGGGTAGTGATGCTGTGGTGGTCCCTGATTGTAACCATAGCCTTGCTGCTGGGGAGGTCCCCATTGCTGCTGAGGAGGCCCCTGGTTGTGCCACCCCCCGCCGCCGCCCGGACCGTAGCCTTGACCTGGGTACGCCATGTATGAGGAAGGTGTTGCGAAGGTGGGAAGGGCACGAGGAGCACGAGTGTCGATGCTCGGGAATGGACCGTCCGGAGATGGTGAAGTCGGCCTCGCTCGGTGTCGTCGGCTGATTGGGCTGTGATGGAGGAGGACGTCGTCGGAGTCTTAGGGGAGTCGATGGGCACGGAGAGTGGAAGGTAAAGTAAGGTTGCACGTAAGGTTGGTTAGGTTGATTGCGGCCTCTCTGGAAGGAGAGCTGACGTTTCGGCGCTGCAGGCTGAGTGCTAGCTGAGCCCACGCGCGCTAGGCCGCTTCGAGGCGCTCCCGTCAGCTGTCAGCTCAGGGTGTGAGGCGCGATTCAGTCGGGGCCTGGTGAGGGGCCTGAGGGGCTGAAGGGGCAGCAAGCGTCGCAGGTGCGGGTGGTCTGCCGTCTGACTGTCTTTGGTGGTTGGACCTCTCTTGAGATTCAGGGTCTCCCCCGCCTGGGGCCGGCCTGGCCCACTACCTAGGTAGCACCCCCTGGGGGCCGTCTTGGAGAATGCCGATCCATCCACCCGCAGACGATGGCTGGACATTAGTCTATTAGTCTACAGTAGGACATGGCATTATAGCTGTTCGTAGCCCGAGTTCGCCGAGAACCGGCTAGCGGATTGGGGCCCTACGACTGGCTGGATTTAGAAGCCGACGAACAGACCTCATGTCTTCCCGTCGCTGAGCTTGTCAGCGTCAGGAGTGCTGACCCGAGACGGTCACGGCGACCTCAACACCAACGGCAGCAGGTTGGCCAAGGGGTGACAGCACACAAAGGTCGGTCTATAGTCAGTGTGCGAAACCCCTTTTCTTGACCACGCCTGCTTCTAGGACTACTTTACTTACGTGGACACTCTCCCTCAGTCTCCGATCACCAACCTTCCTCGCATTCCCACAGATGTCGAACCTCATTTCGTCGTGGACTTCCGTCGACTGCCCAACTGTATTGAGCGTCTTTCAGTACGTCATGAGCAGCAAAACAGCAAGCACAATCGAATTCTGTCGGTGCATCTGGTGAACCAATCCGGCTCCGCGGTTCTGCGTGCTTGATCAGTTTCTTTTGCCGGTGGCTTAGATCGCCAAGTGGGATCGACCACCTACAGTCTCGTGCGATGTGCCTGCTGGGGCTGTCCTGCTGGTGAAGGGATGGTCATCTGCACACAGCCATCAGTCTTCTGGCCCTGTGCTATGTCGTGCCGTGCGTCTGGACTGTTCTGGCACAGCTTGGAAGCCCTACCCGCTGTGGGAGTGGCTGCTCTCGCATGCGTCCTCCAGCCTATGGAGAACCACGGCGCGGGCTCATCGGAGCCGTCGGGGTGTAGGGTATCGGGCACACATGCTCCAGGGGCGTGTAGACTGGCGGGGGAGATTGCATCTTGCGAGCGCTGTCGTGAAATTCTCTGTACTTCATTTCAGTTCATTTCCAGTTCAAGGTCAGGATGTTGGACCCCACATCTCGTCGGGACTATCGAAAAAGTCCTCAAGGTAAACGTGTTCGTCTGCCATGGCGCGCAGCACATGCGACGGTGTGCCAAGAGACAAATGTGTTGTGGGTAGACGGGGCTTGGGAGTGAGGTTGTGCTTCTCGAGGGCAATATCTTCTGCTGGTTTCACGTAGGGCTAAAGCAAGCTCTGCTGGTAATCATTGTTTTTTTGCTGTCTTGTAGTGCAAGACTTCTGAGAGCGATGGTGGTTGATTCTTTAGGGCGGCAGGAGGGAGAATTGTGGTGCGCACAGGAGGTTGTCGTGTTGAGATGGTCATATATTGCTTTCCTCTTTCGGCTCGTGCGATTCCTATCCTGGAGCTTCTGCGTGTAAAACAGTACGTGTGTGCATCAAGAGCACTATGCGTGTGTAATACAGCAGCTGCGATCCAAGTCCGTCCGCCCGTCCCTTCGTTATTTCCGGTTGAGGCTGTGTACGCCGTTCTCTCTCCTGTCCCCGAAGTCCGCGGATTACGATCAACACTGTGCTGGTCTAATCTTCGCTTCTCTTCACTTCCCCCTTCGGACGACGGTGCTTGCATTGCGCGGCATTCCGAACGGCAGCAGGAGATGTTGATGAGCCACTTTGAGCCTTGGAAGCGCTTCAGGTTGTCGCAAGCTGCGGCCTGTGCATTGTGCTGCGCTGCCCCTGCATGTTTCTGATCCCGAACTCTGGGGAACAGTCAACATGATGGAATACTTGGGTGCTTGGGGGCTTGGGTGCTTATCGGTGTGCTGCGACTGATTGTGGCAGTGTGGCAGTGTTCAGTGAGCAAGCGTGCACTGCATGCATGCAGGTCACCGTGCTTCGCGCGTTTGTCTGCAGCCACCTCCAGCCAGCTTTGCCCAAGAGCTGCAACATCCCACACCTTCCGTCAACGGCGTCAACGGGGGCCATGTAAACGGTGAACAGAGCCCAGTGTGTGAATTGCAGGGCGTTTCTCGCCATTTCTAACGCCCACAGTGACGCTTGGCACCTGCACAAACAGCTCATCCACCACCCACCCGCCGCCCCATCCAGTCTCGAGATTGCCATCTGGCCCCACTCTGTATTTCCCTCACCCCTCGGGGACGGGATGCCATGACCGTCGCGTACGGAGCACGTTAGGGACAGACGGATGGACTGTACAGTACGGACCCGAACGAGCCAGCAAGCAATCGCCATCAGTGAGTGACACACTGGCCAGTCTGACCCTTGAGGCCTCCCCAACCGCGTGGCCAATGCTCCTTGTGTCCTATACGCACCAGCCTATCACTGCAAGGCCGTCGTGCTTTAAAAGCAACTGTCGTCCCAGACAGAAGCTCTCGCTGTCACTGTTACCGCTGCTGCTGCTGTCCAGACCACGTCTCTTCTTACACAGCTCAAGCTCAAGCTCTCTTAAGCTCTCTTTCCCTTTCTCTTGCACACCAAACCCCCACATCACCACCAAACAACCCCGCCATCCCACCATATCAACCAACCCATCCACAACCACCATGTCTTTCTTCAAGAAACTGGCCTCCGATTTCGAGGGCCTGACCACCAAGGACAAGGATCGTGCTGTAGATCCAGGCCAGCAGTATCCCGGCCAGGGTCAGTTCAAGCTTCTCGCTCCCCGCCAATAACAGCTCTGTTATACGCGACCCTTCAGGGCTCCTCCTGACTCGAGGCTGACCAAATATGCTGCAGGTTACCCTCCTCAGGGCCAGTACCCTCCCCCTTCGCAGAGCCCCTACGGTGGACAGCCCTACGGCCAGCCCCCACCACAGCAGTACGGAGCCTACGGACAGCCGCCCCAGGGCTACGGACAGCCTCCATACCAGCAGCCACCTCAGCAGTACGGCAGCCCGTCCCCTTACGGCGAGCGTCCCCCCGCGCCTCCCGCCACCAGCAGCTATGCATCTTCCGACCGCGCCCCCGTGCCCAGCCAGTGGGTTCCAGCCTGGTCTGAGCAGCACCAGCGGTGGTTCTTCGCCGAGACGACCGGTCGGTCCCTTTGGGACGCCCCCATCCACATCCCCTCTCAGCCTGCCTACGGCGACCATGCTTCTGGCACCCGAGGTGTAGACTCTGGCTACGGTGGCGCTCCCGCGTATGGCGCCGCCGGTGCTGCCGGTGCTGCCGGTGCCTACAGCTCACCTCCTCCCCAGGGCTACACCTCGCCTCCTCCACAGGGCTACGGCGCTCCCCCTGGCGCTCCTTATGGCCAGGAGGGCTACCCGTCGGAGGAGAAGAAGAAGGACAACAGCACAAGGAACATGATGCTTGGTGCTGCAGGTGGTCTGGCCGTCGGTGCCGTCGGCGGCGCACTGATTGCTGATGCTCTCGGTATGTGAACCAGTACTGGACCTTTTTCGATTACTTGACGCTAACATATGACCAATAGACGACAGCGATGATGAGCACCGCTCAGCCCCACCTCCGGCGCAGAACTACGACCAGGGTGGTTACGGTGACCAGAGCTACGGAGATCAGCCCCCTGCGGTCCTGCCCCCTACCGACAACGATGGAGACAGCGTCTCCTCGAGCGATCGTGAGGACGTGCAGGAAGCCCGTGCCGATTATGAGGACGCGCTTGCCGAGGCGCACGAGTCTGGTGACCGCAGTGACTGGGAAGAGGCTGAGGAGGCCCGGCAGGAGTACGAGGAGGAGTACGAGGAGGTCTATGAGGACTAAACTCGTCAAGTCAAACGGGATTTTGTGTCCTTCAGGCATAATGTGTCACCTGTGATGGGCGTTCTACGTTGAGGATTCCGCTCTGCCGTTGTCTTGAACGGAATAGCGGATGCGGGACCCAGGGGACCTCAGCAGGTACCGGGTCACGCGTGATTTCGCAGCATGAGGATAGACAGGACTTTGTGCTCAACGTCACATCAAGTAGACAAAAAAGACAAACCATTTTTGGAGCAATCAACCAACATCTCAATGGAGACTGGCTCACATATGCTTGTGTCTGTGGTTTTTCATTCGCTCTTGTGCTCGCAGTGAACCATATCTGATCTTTTAATACGTGCTACAGTGAACAACAAGGCTCTCCACCTTTTCGTCCTTCATGTTCCAATTCATATTTATCTCGTAGAACGTACGTATTCGTTTGTGAGTTTTATTGAACCGCCCGTCAGGGCATCTTCTGAGCTACTTGAGGTTCTGTTGCCTTCAGATTCTGCCTCCAATCAAGGCGCGGCAAAGACTATCCAGCCCAACCCTGATGATCACATGCCATCAGTAACCTTCTTCTCCCTCAAAGTGACAAAACTGAATCTCCACCAAGTGACATCAGGCGCGGATCGCGCCACAGCAGGGCCATTCCTCGTCGAAAGCCATCTGAGATCCCCCCTTGGCTCCCCAAGTGCTTGACCAATATCCACACCTAGTTTCTCCCCTGTCAACCCTCCTCAGAGGTTTCAAAGCCACCTACAGCCAGAATGTGGCCTCAGACCGGATCGTGTCGATGTACGACTCCTCCCTCCCGTCGAACAGCTCGTATCCCAGGACGTTGGGGAACCCGCACAGCCATGCCTTGGGGCTCTGCCACTTGAGATATCGGCGCGGCGCGGTGACAGTCTCGCGGGCCTCGACACGCTCGAGCACCTGTGCCCCGTTTTCATCCTCGCCCCGGACCGCGTGGTACACCCTGCCGACCTGGTCGCGGACGAAGCAGACGCGCCTGAGGCTGGGGATGGCCTCGAAGAAGGTGGCGGCGGCGTCGGCGAGCCCGGTGTTGGAAGGGTGTTCGCGGATGAGGCGGCTGTGGGCGATGGCCCAGTCGGTCGCGTCGTCCCGGTGCGCGCCGCTGCGGGCGTCCATGACCTGCCGCGCGCAGACAGCCTGCTGGTCCGTGATGTCGAGCTGCTCGAGCGAGCGCATCGGCGATAGCCGCGCGGCGAGGTCCTTGATGGGCCCGTTGAGGAGCCCGCACATGGCGAGGTGCTTCAGCTGCGGGAGGGTGCGGGCCAGCGCCGCGAGCTTGGACTGTGAGTCGGCGGGCTCGCTCCAGCCGTAGAAGCGCGCGAGGTCGGACGCGTCGTTGGGGAAGCGGGCCGGGAACGAGCGGATCATGAGGTATTCGAGGTTCGGGAGGCGGGCAAGGTTGAGCGTGGCGGGCTCCAGGAGGTCGCAGTTGTAGTCGAGCCATATGCGCGAGACGTTGACGTAGGGGCTGGCGAGGAACTGGAAGTCCCAGTTGTGGCCGAATGGCGCGGAGATCTCGAGCTGCTTGGTGTTGTAGATGCGGTGCGGGAAGCCGCTCTGTGCCCACTTGCGCCAGACATTCTCGACGAGGCACAGAAGCTGCCACTGGGTGCTGTGATTCTCGATAACGAAGCGCTGGGTCTTGGGGCGGGCCAGGTCCAGCATGAGGATCAGGTCCTCCTCGACGTACCGGTGGTTCGGCTGGGGGGTTCGGGTGAGGGAAACTGTGAATTTTTCGATGTTTGGCAGCCACTGGTGCATGCGGGGACTGGTCATGATGGCCTGGATGCTCTCCTTGAGGAGGTCTTTCATAGTCGCCTCGGTCTTGTCGTTGATGCAGATGTTCTTGAAGAGGTACGGCGCAGTGAGCTCGCGGAAGTATTGGTTGACGAGGGTCAGCTCCCGAACGGCACCGCCAATGTATCTCTTGTCCCTGTTCGCATTGTGGTTGTCGCCCCAGCCATTGAGCATGAAGCAGATTTCAACGATGTCCAGGTGCAACTCGGTGGGCAGGTCCATGAGGGACAGCTCGGGCTTGCCATCGCGGCTTCCAGTGGTAGTGGCGGCGGTGGAGCTGCGAGAAGAATGACGCTGCTTCCCGAAGCACCTCGCCAAGTTCTCAGAGGTCAACTTGGGCTTGTGATCATGGCCGCAATCGGCTCGGTCACTGGCAGCCGAAGAGGCGACCGAACTGGTGGATGAAGAAAAGAAAGAAGCAGCATTACAGGCCACGGTTCCGAAGGGGATCGGCGTGATCATGGGGTAGAGCTCGTCGGTCTCGAATTCAGGCTCGTCCTCGTAGTCTCGGCGACCGCGGCGGCCACACACTGCCCGGTTACTGTCCATGGACGAAGATCTCTTCCTGGAGGAGCCCATCGTGAGATATATCTTGAGTTCGGGGTATTCGAGTCGCCTTCAAAGCGGTGGTAGTAGGGTAAGAGTTAGACTGAGTGAAATGGCGCAAGGTTGCTCAGGAGAGCTGTCAATTGAATCTGGGAGATGTGCTGTCTTCTGAAGATCAAAGTGGACTTGGATGTCCGTTCAGATTGAGGTCGCTTGCGATTCGGATGGTGTCGAGGGAGGAAAGTGAAAAGATTGGAGTCTGGAGGGGAGTGGAAGGGGTTTAAATATCCCTAGGGACCGCTGGCGCCCTGGTACCTATGGGTGACTTGATGCTATTCAGAGCTTCATCCCACCTTCTGATTGGTTCATGTACAATAAGGTACGGTGGCCACAACCCATTGTGCCTTCCATTGATGCTCTGGGACCGAGGCCCGACCGTTTTGGTCACTTCACGCTGACGTTCAATTTTCCTATCAGCCTATTTGGTATTGTTGATCTTCTAAACCTCGCATTTCGATTGTGCATATTGTTCTCGCGAATTCCCCTATTGTCCACAGCTTCCACCCACTGGCCGCTTTAGTGGGCTTTGGGAAATGGAAAGCCAACGCCTCGAATCTGCAGTTGTGTTGTGCTGGGAATTTCTCTCCCTCCAAACAGCATCACCCAGGACAATAGCCCAAACCCTAAGCCTGGTCACCTTGTGGACGCCCACCAGTGCTGCGAAATGTTGCCCCAGTAGGCTGGGTATCTTAGAGCTCACACCCGAGCTCTGACAACCATTGTGTATCTAGATACAATTTGGGAGGAAGCTGTCTCCCAGTCTATTTTGCATTGGCGCTGTAGCCGCCTAGTCTAGCAAAAGTCAATGAAGGCTTCATCTGTGTCATGGAGACAGATCCCACAATTCGAGACTTTCCAGCATGCGAGACTTCTTCGTGGAGGTGTCACCATGGAGCTTAGTGGTCGAAATCATTGCACCACCGTGTTCATAGTATCCTGCCCAGGGGACCAAGGCATCGAGGAGCCACCGCGGTCTCTTGAAGACCTGGTGCGTCAAGAAGACATCACGCTTGCGGATCCCTGACGATTGAAGTTGAAACTGCTGACATAGGTCATAAACTCGCCTGTCATCTTATCCTTCGCCGTCGAGAGCGCTGTGTGAGGACCTGCCCCTCTGAGAACAAGTCAGAGTCTCGTCCTCAATAGATTGTTCGGAGGAGGGGAGAGTGTAGACATTCTAGGGCCACGGGAAGAGGGCCAAAATGTTGGAGCGCGCAGGTCAGACTCAGCATCTTATCAATGAGCACGAATCACCCGTCACACCCTCTGACTTATGATTGAAGATTTTCTAGAGTATCGTCGCAAGGATTTTCAGTTGTTTTCGCCAGATCCCGAAACTGTGAGTAAGCTTCGTTCATTCCCCTCAAGTGCTGAAGAGCAACCGTGATGCTCAAGCCTGTCCGAAGAGGTGTTGCCGTCCTGGGCGGCACTATCACTTGAGCCTCCTCCACACGCGAACAAATCCCGAACAAGACACCGCTTCGTGCATCGCAGAGTTCTCAAAAGGCATTTTCTACGGTTATAGTGAAGCTGCTACAGGCGCCGTCTTACATCTCACAGTGTCTTGCGAGGGTCTTTTATAATATTGTCTTAATCCTGGTCGTTGTGCCTTTATGTGCTCGAAGATACGGTCAAATGGCGGGGATGCGTATTCTGAAAGACTTGAGAGCCCATGCTTTGAGAAGACGTCTTGTGTAACAGGTCGAATGAAGTAAAGTATGTAAGTCACTTCCTTGCTCCAGTAGATACTTTACAATTACTAGTGAAGGTCCACAGGCAACTTAGGGCTATGTAACTAGGAATTTAATGGTACAGAGCACCATCATGCAAGAATAATTACAATTGCGCAAGTAAAAATTCAAAAAGGAAAACCGCCACTATTTAACTATTTAGGCAGGAACAGGACATTGTGTCTTGTATTTGTTTTATAACACTGGTGACTTAAAACTTTTTGTGGGCAGTTATAGCTATCCCACTTTAAAAAAACTAGGGGTGGGATATTGTTATTTACGCCACAGCTGCTCCTGCTCCTTCCCAACGCTCCAAGTAAATAACTAGAAATTGAATCACCTGAGCTATTTGTACAGCATTAGCTTATGTCAAAATGCTAAAAGAGAACAGAGTGGACGATGCCGGAATCGAACCGGCGACCTTTCGCATGCGTATGGGAAACTGCGAAGCGAACATTATACCACTAAACCAAACGCCCGTGCTGGAATATCCGTGAAATTTAGGTAATGGTGATTTTTGACAAATGTCTGACTCCTTTCTTTAAGAATAAGGGAAGACTTTTTTTCTATTAATATTATCATAAATCTTACAATTAATTTCAAGAGCAAATTTTTTTTTTGTTTCCAGGTGAGTTTATATTTCTCTTTTAAAGGTTATTTAAAAATAAAGACTTATAACTTATAGGTATTCTGCTCTGCAAGCCCTTCGTTGAAAGAGAAGCACGTCGGCCCAAGGGACAAAAGTCTAGGGCAAGAGAGCTAATGGCTCTGATCGGAGTTGAATGGTAAGGGGTCCTTCCATCTCCAGGTGTGTAGACTGCTGAGGAAAGAGCTTTGGAAGCAACGGGCTGGCAGGAAATCGTCATGATTACCCAGCCCAAGTTGAACCTCTTACTCAAGTCAAAGCATGAAAGTCACGACGCCCGGCAACAATATGCCAAGTATTTGCAAGCCAGAATATTACAATGCCACTAATATAGAAGCTTCCCGCATGTCTGTCAACACCATGGCTGCCCTTGAAGTACCACGGCATACCATAGAACCCAGTTGAGATATTTGGACACATGGCAAACGAACATGTAATTACTCACGAAATCGTCGACAATTACATGGCTATCATTAAACAATAAAGCACCGACAGCATGTGCCGTGCGCCAGTTCCGCCCCAACGCCAGCACTCCGCGCCGTGGGGGAGAAGCCTTTAAAAATAATGGGTATCCTGCTGCAAAGACTTTTCTCGACCGATACCCATGCCCTCCCGGATGTCATAAACCCCAACGCCGCCGTCAATGTCACCAACGAACAGCCTGCCGCCGTCGCCCGAGAACGCAAGCTCCGTCACCCTGCCCAGGTCCCCGCCGAGCTGCTCCAGCCCGGCCGCCTGCTGCTGCTGGGGCTCGCCGCTCATCTCGGACGAGCGCCCGCTCCTCTGCGAGCTGCGCCCGCTCCGCCTGCTCGACACGGACCGCCCGTCCCACGCGGTGCCGCTCCCGACCCTTCCGCTGCTCCCGCTGGAACCGCTACCGCCCATCCGCCACAGCTCGCGCCCGCTCATGGCGTCCAGGACCACGAGCGCGCCCTGCCTCTGCGCCGACCCGGGGTCGCAGTACGCCACGAAGCGGCAGTCCGGGCTGACGCAGTTGAGCGCGTCGGGGATCCTGTACGTGGTCGTCCTGTCGGTCGAGAAGTCCCACACGAGCACGACCCTCTCCGTCACCACCGCGGGCTCCACCTGCCACATGCCCGGCCGCCCGATGGTCTTGAACTTGGACTGGATCCACACCGACACCGCCACGCTGCCGTACGTCACCAGGCTCAGCGCCAGCGAGTTCTCCAGCTCCGGGTGCTTCCTGCGGTCCGGCATGAGGAACTTGTACGGCCTGTGCGCGGGGCCCGCGCCGCCGTCGGTGCCGCCGTCGTCGAGCCGCCACGCCATCAGGAGGGCCGCGTGCTCGGGCGGCGGGCAGTTTGGCCTGGGCGGGCGGGGGCCCGCCGCCGCGACGAGGAGGGGCCCCGTCGCCGAGTAGGCCAGCTCGGGGAGCTGGGGCAGGAAGGGCAGCCCGGCCTTGCGGAGCTCGATGGACCGGGGCTTGCCGAACGGCTTCTTGGACGACGGCGGCGACGACGGGAACAGGTCGATCGTGTCCTTCTCCTCCCTGTACGCGGCGAGCGGGTAGCACTCGGACTGCGCCTGCCGCGCGTACGCCCACCGGTACGCGTCGCTGATGCTCTGCACCTTCTTGCGCCTGGCCCAGTTGTGGATCTCGAGCGTGTGCCCGAAGCCCGAGGTGATGACGACCAGGTTGAGCGTCTCGGAGAGGATGGCGTGCGACCGGATGAAGTTCTCGCGGGACCGCGGCTGCGCCTGCACGTTGGAGGAGACCTTGATGGTGGTGATCAGCTCGCAGCCCGAGGTGAGGTCCCACAGGTTGACGTGGGTCTTGCCGTGGCGGCTGGCCAGCACGGTGGATGTGGGTGAGGTGTCGATGGAGTATACTCCATGGGCGCTTTCCTTGTCACTGGGCTCTAAACGCCTTACTGGGATGATCTCAAGTCCTGGAGAGTCTTCAGAAACGGTGGAAACTGTGGGCTTCGGACTGGCCAGTGGCGGCTCGTACGCATGGGAGCTCGTCCTGACGGGTGGCTTGGCGAGTGAAGAGGCTGTCGAGTACCGGTTCGAAGCTGCTTCGCTCAGCGACGAGAATTTCGAGTCGCGGTTCAAGTCGTAAGTTGTCTCGGACGCAGCCCTCGACCTTGACTTGGCGGGGATACTGGGCACTTGATTTGTTGACGCCGACGGGCCTTTGCGTCTATACGGTGATTTGGGTGGTGGAATAGGTGGCAGGCTCTTGGTCGGGGGAGGAGACGGAAAGAGGCTATAGCCTTGCGAAGGACGGACGTCGGTAACTGACATGCTCTTCACAGTGAGTTGCAGAGGGGACGGCTTCAATCTTCGGGGCCCCTGGCCCGGTCCGTCTGATAGGCTTTCGTCCGGAACGGCGCCGGGCTGCGAGTGGGCCGAAGTCTCGGAGATCGACTGAAGCTCGGAGCTTGTTGCTGAATAAGGTCTCGTCTCTGCCCGGTCGATCGAGTCCGACGACCTCCTCCTGAAGGAGGTCATCATGGTGTGGACGGATGGCGTCGGTGGCAGGGGCTGGTCCACTGCACCAGGCGTGTCGGGCGTGGCAGCCGGCAAGCTTTCGACTGCTGCGACATAATTCTCAACCTCATCAAGGCAGTGGGCAAGCACTGCATCCAAACGAGCAACTCGCAGGCCACTTGGGGTCAGGTGCTTCCGCACATATTCGACATCGGCCATCGTTTGTTGGCTCACGTTCCTTTCTTGGGGGTCAGCAAACGGCAACTGACACGACCGAACGGGCACTCGCTCAAACACGCAGAGTGACGTTTGTAGTGAGGAACGAGGGAAACCTACCGGGCATTGGCTTCAAATGCGAACTGCACGGTCTGGCGGCAAAAACCCAGCGCCCTGGCCAGTCTCCGGATGTCAACCGAGGCATCGGTGAGGGCCCAGCGACCGCTCCGGAGTGGGCCATCCCCACACCCGGCGAGGCAAGAGTCGATCCGGGCGCAGACATCGGTGCAGCCCCGCGTGACCCCAATCAGGGGGTTACACAAGACGTCAGGCGGTGCAATGTGCTGGAGACGCTCGAAGAAGCCGCGCAGGTCAAACAGCTCGATGAGGACGGACTCGAGCTCGCTGTGGGCCGGCGGCACGTCCCTCAGGAAGTCGGTGACGATGTAGGCGGTCTGAGTGGCGGCAGCGAGGGCAGCGGTGGTCGCTGCGATAATGGGGCCATCCATCCGGTACCTGGCTTGCACGGTATCGACATGCATTTAATTGGTAATTGGTATAGTAGTTATTTGTCCCCTTGGACGGGGGCAGTCTGCTGGAGAAGAGACGGATGGAACAGTAGTCTCAGTTCGGGTGGGTAGGCGGGTGGGTTGCAAGTCAGCTCGGGTCAGATCAGTTGAGAGCAGTCCAGTCCAGTCCGGCCCAGTTCGGATCGGATTAAGGAACGGAGAAAGGCTGTTTGTGGATGTGAATATCCGACAGGTGAATGGACGGCGTTCAGGTGGTGGCATCAGATCGGGGAGTGCCGGTGGTGAGACAGCATCAGTCTCGAGCGCGAGGGAGGAGAAGGGACGAAGGATTCGTGCCGTGTGTTTCGGCGGTCGCACACGGCGAAAGACTCGATATTTGGATCGCCGCGGCTCATCTCACGGCTTGCGCAGGTAGCTGACTGGTGTGAGAGTCTGCTCATTCAGCCTCGAGAAAAGGAACCGCGGAACACAAAAGGTGCTTTTGTCACAGCCGCTCCCGCAGCAGAGTGAGACATTTGATGGGCGGGACGGGCAGGGCAGCCTATGGGGATGCATGATGGTCAGGTAGTGCATGGCACGCGCAGCTAACAAGGCTCTTTTTTTTTTTTCCTTCGCCTCTTTCTGCTGGCCACGACCCGTGTCCTTGATCCGGGCGGTCCTTCTGAGGCAGGATCCCCCCTGCATCAGCATCGAGTGTCTTGGGGGGACATGGGTTTATTCCCAAAAGAGAGCACGCATTAGCGCTGTCTGGGGAAATTTGGGGTCCTGTTGGGCTCGGATGGGGCCTCGACTGGCCTCGACTGAGTGTTTTTCCCTCGTGCTGGGTGTCTTGGTGTGTCAAGGTTTCCCGGGGTAAAATGATAGAGTGATAACATGAGAGTGCCGCCAACCCACAATGACCTATCGTCATCAAATATCCCGATGATCCCGAGCGTCTGGATCCATGCATTGGTCGGCTGGTCGGTTGATCCCACATGCCACCGCCTCCTCTTTTGCTCTTTTGTGGGGACGGGACCCTGGAGCTTCTCTCTGCCCGCCACCGCCGTCTTCTGGCTGCCCGTGCATGATGCTTCGAATTCCGGGGCCAAGCGTCATGCCCGGCATGACCCGTCTTCGGCCACTGTCAGTCATCACTCAGGCCTTGTCAGACGGTTGCACGGTGTCACCGCGCTGTCCGACTCCCGCCCGGGCCGCAGCAGTCGGTCATTTGCAAACACGAACAAGAAATAATGAGCTGGGGAGAAGCAGCATCCTTGGCTTCGAGGACCAACAACAAGCAATTCCCTCCTTAGCGGGCTTGGGACCCTGCCCGCGCCGGTCAGCAAACCTGCCCTGCTCACCTGCTCATCAGACTACCGTGGGTTATGCGACCAGTCGGCTGGCTGTGAGAGCAGGCTGGGCCGGGCTGGGTGGCGTCAAGAGGTGACGGACACTCGCCAACCGCAGGATCAATCGATCGATGCATTGGACTAGGCCAGCCGACGCGGCTCGACGAATAGCATCAGCCACCGGCCCATCGGCCCATCACAGGGGAACCCCATCATCCTTCCATCACTTGCCCACGCGGCGCGGTCGGGCCTGTCCCGACCAGTCAGCCAGTTCCCGGAGAAATCTTGGGGTGACTGGGAATTATCCGGCCGCCCTGCCACGCCCTACCACGCCCTCACCACGCCCTCACCACGCTGTGTTTTAGCCGCCCAGGCTCCCGCCCGTCTTCCTTTGTTGTCTCGACCCTGCTCTTGCCATGCTGGCTGGTCCAGAGCCAGAGACAGAGGTTAAATTAGGCCAGCCGCATTGTTCCGCTTCTGGAAAACTGGCACATGCTCGACCCGGGCTGCCGGTAAACCATCGTTGAGTAGTCCTAGCCGGGGCTTGCTAAATTCGCCCGGTCCCTTGTTATCATTCTCGGGACAATCGCTGTCAAAAATGCCACCGTTGCTGCCGCTGCCACTCAGCACAGACTGGCGATCGAAGGCGCGTAGATCCGCACCCACCAAAAGCCCTTCCACGGCTGCATCGGTGCTACTCTCGTGGTCTCGCTGCAAGTCTGGCGTAAGCAGGGCCCGGCATTGAGCACCCCGCGCCGGCGTCACTCACCACGGTGTAGACTTCCGCAAGCAGCAGGTGACTGGCCGGCCCTGCAGTCCCCCATTCCATCGCCCAATTGACATGTCGCATCCGCCTGCCCACTGGCTTGGGCTGTCACATGCCGATCACGTCCGACGATTCCCCCCCCCCCCCAATTATTAGACTCATTATCAAATAGCTGACACATACACTACTTGCCGAACGAGACCCATCCTCTCAAGCTTTTCTGGAACCAAGTGCTTACTCACCCGTGAGCCGTCTCACCACACGGCGGAACGGATCGAGCAGATCTGTTCCTGATTGAAGAGCACTACAACGGAAATACTATATTGCACAAGTACAGTGTCCTGGCGAGTGCCTGAGCATTGAAGGAACGCCGGCAAGTCTTGGTCAATCGCGCATCCATGAACATGATGCGCTCCAACCAGCTCTCTAGTGCTGCAATCTAGATGCGACTACGTGGGTCTTGCAAACGGAAAGACTAAACCGACAGCAACGAGATCGACCTTGATCGCCGCAACCCAACCCCTTAGATGATAATAGCCGGACTCTTCTCATCGTATACGTCAAACCCATCGCTGTCGCACCTGCTACCAGGCCGAATCTCAGGCGAGTTGTCCGCAGAGGCGACCTCTTGCATGTCGACATCATCATCCAACGCCTCGTCGTGCAGCATCTTAGGGTTGAACGCCACCGCCCCCTTGGGCACGAACGTGCTCGCGAACACCACCACGCAGATGATGGTGAACTGCGCGCCGGCCGTGTACACGAGCCCGCTCGAGATGGAACCCCCGTCAGAGCCGCCCGTCGCGTTGTACACGCCGTCCAGGTACCTCCCGAGGAACGTGCCGAGGACGGCATAAGTGACGATGTAGAAGGAATAGAGGAATGCCATGACCGCCCCCAGAGCAGACACGTTCTTGTTCTTGGACTCCAGCCTAGCCAGGCACGCCTGTATGTACGCGGCCAGGGAGACATCACCGGCCGCCCAGCCGAAGGAGATGGGCAGGAACGTTGCGGCCACGAGCCAAGCCTGACCGACCTGGTTACGGGGCGGGCGCCAGAAGGGCATGTACCACACGATCAGCAGGAAGAGGGAGTCCAGGCGCAACCACGGCATGGGCGTCTGCACGTAGTTGTTGGACAGGAACACGACCAGCGCCCCGAGCAGCTCGCCCATGTTCGACCCGCCGACCATCAGCTGGCCCCACCCGGACTGGCCCAGGTAGCGCCTGGCCACCTGGGGCGCGATGCCGTTCTCGAGGTACCTGTGGCCGTACAGCGCGATGGCGTAACCCGGGACGAGCCAGACGAACTTGCGCGACGTGAAGAGGATCTTGGCGCCGGCGCCGATGGACTCGAAGAAGAGCCAGAAGCCGCCCAGGGTCGCCTTGACGTAGCCCGGCTGGTTGGCGAGGACCTGGCCCTTCCTCTTCTCGTGGCCGAGGTCCGAGATGAAGAACCACGAGGTGGCGCAGAAGAAGAAGGCGACGGGCGTGATGATGAAGGCGCGGTTGTTGCCCAGCTGGGGGATCAGCACCAGGGCCGTGACGAAGGCGCCTGTCGTGCCCGTAATCTCGTAGAAGATGTGAACCTGCGGATGTGAGCTAATTGCTGCCAACGTTATTATGGAGTGCATACAAGGGACGTACAACTGAGTCCATCCTCCTCAGCTTCTGGACAGTACCCGCAATGAGGACGACAAGTGCATAATGGCAGGACAGAATCAGGCGGCCGTAAAGCAAAGACATCTGTCCAAACATGCCCTTGCAATCCATTTGCCACATCTGATGTAGGGTCAGCAGTTGAAGTATCGACGAAATCGCTGGACCCGTAAATACCCGCGTTGCAAACAAGGCCGTTGAGCTTGTCACTCATGCCCTTGAATTTAGATGCCGCCTCTTGTACACTAGCAAGTGAGGTCATGTCTAACTTGATGAAGACCACCTTCCCAGGCTTGCCGTCCTTAGCAACACCGTTCAACAAGATTGTGACCCGCTTTCTCGTCTCGGCCGGTGAAGTAAACGTCGGCTCCCGTGACGTGGGGGGCGCTAGCCGTCTCAGTACCGATCCCAGATGTACATCCGGTCACAAAGAAGACCTTGCCCAACAGCTCGCCGTCTAAGCCTTGATCTCGGACGATCTTGAGCGCCGTCGGCCTGGCATCCCCAGGGCCGTTCGGGTTTCTGTGGTCATTGGCGTGGTGGGCGTTGAGAACCATGTTGACTTGTGAGAGTCTAAGCATAGAAACACCAACTAAAGTCAATGTTAGGAAAAGCATACTATCGAAATAAATAATGTACGAGTATGAATCCCGGCTCGGACACATTTGTCAGCATCTGGCCGGGGTCTGAAGCGGATGCAAATATGTGAGCGAGATCCGTTGTAGAGTGTGCAGAGTCTGGGACTCTGGGGACTCTGCGGTCAATACAGGCATAGGGTTGCGCTTTTGGCGGGAGACGGTAAACTTTGAACGTTGCAGACCTCCTGATTATCCAACTTTACATGAGGGGAATTGACCACTCACAGTCCTTGCCTAGAATTTCTCACCAAATCAAATTGAAGTGTTAAGCAGTATAAATGCATGGTGTTGCGCGCACTTGGCTGTTCCAGAGGCACAGCCTGAGGTGTTCCGCCGGGTGGGGTCACATGGTAGGTACTACTCTTATATGCAATTAATCGTATCAAAATGGCGCTAGTGGCTTGCATATAATACACCATATTAAAAATTATATGCATTTATTATACCATGCCCTTTTTAACTATTAACTATAATTACTTATCCTATAACCCTTATAATGCTATGCCTTTTGCTATAATATATATGTGAGTACATGTATGGGTGAAGGCCCCATTGACTGCAGGCATTTACTGAGGCTCTGGGCCCCATACCCCTCAGGCATAAAACCCCTTGCCTGCGATTTGCTTAAGACCTCTTCCTTACATAGAAGGTAGCGCCGTCTTAATTTAAATTAACGTATTAAGGATAGTTGCCTTGTCTCTATATCCCCTCTCATGACAATATATTTTAATTCTTATAAATTAATTTATAGTAGTTTTATAATTATATCTTACTACTTAATCCCCTTAAAGCTTTGTATAATTTAAGAGTTGTTAAATATTAATTAAGAAAATAATGCTATTATTATAAGGATTATAAAGTGCTTTAAGGTATGGATTTATAAGCTAAAAAAAGAAATTTAATAATTAACATAATTATTAAGCTAAGCAACTTATATAAGGCTGTTTAATTAATTAACTTTCATTATAATATATATAATTTAAGTTTTAAATATTTACTTTTTTTAATATATATTTTTATTACTTAAGCCTTTTTTAATTATCTTACTTTAAAAAACGATTTATATTAAAATAAAATATAATAATAATTATTAAATAACTTTAATTTATTTATTTCTTAAAGTATTATTAATTAAGTATTTAAAGAAATTAATTAAAATAAAAAGATTATAAGTATAATTATTACTTAATAAAATTACCTTATTTAAGTTAATTAAATTATTAAGACTTAAAAACTTTATATAAATTAATTTATCTTTATTAATAAGTTTAATATAAATAAAAGAAATGGGTTATAATATATAAGATAATTATTAAAAGGTATTAAGTTAAAGAAACTTATATTTAATAATAATAAAAATTATAATATATAATATTAAGTGCTTTTAATATTTATAATTATAAATATACTTAGTTTATTTATATATAAGGGTAATATAAATAGTTAAAGCTTTATTAACTTTATTAAAAATAAAGTTTTACTTAAGATATTATTATTTTTAAGGCTTAACTTAATGTTAATAATAAATAATGCTAGTTTTTACTTTTATAATAACCTTTAATAAATATATAATTAAGTTAATATTTAACTTAAATATTTACTTTTATATTTACTTAATTTTAACTTAATTAAGGCATTTTTTAATAATTTAAAGAAGTATATTTATTATTATTTTTAATATTATAAAAATTAATAATATATATAAAAAAATTAATAATAATTTCTTATTAACTTAATATATAAGGTTGCTTTAAATATAAAAGTAATTTAAGGTTACTTTTAAAAAGCTATAATTCTTAAATTAAAGCAAGCTTAAGTTAATTAAATAATTAATTAATTATATAATTTAATGCATATATTAATAGCATATATATTTTTTAATCTTTAATTATTATTATAAAGGTTATAATATATAAATAATTTAAGGGTTTTTAATAATATATATTATTATATATATTAATTAATTATATTATAACGCCTTAATTATAAATTATTATATATTAAAAATTATATAGCTTTTATAAATAAAAAGTATATTATAAAAGAAAGCTTATTTAAATAAGTAAAATAATATATTATTTAAGTTTAAATATTTATTTAAAGGTAATTACCTTAAAAGCAATTAATTATATTTAATATGCAAGATAATATTTTATTATAATTATATTTATTTATTATTTTAAATATATAAATTACTTAAATATTAAAAACAAGCTATTTAAATAATGGGGGATAGGTTTTGCTAAACTTTCTTAAGGATAACTTAAGAAGGAGCTTTAATATAATAAAGAGGGAAGATAAGAATAAAAGGGAATTAAAAAAAGGAAAAGATAAATATTTTAAAAATTCTTAAAAATAAGAAAAGCTTAATTAAAGCATTAAATATATAAAAAAAGAAAAGAATTAATTTTTTAAAAAAATATTTAAAATAAATATAAAAATTAGCTTTTTATAGCTAGCTAAAATTTAATATAATATTATTTCTTATATAATTCTTTATATTTATTAATATATTCCTTTTTAAGTTTTTTATAATAAATATTATAAAGATTATTAAAATAAAATTTTATTATTTTTAATTAAGCCTTTAAGTTTTAAAATTTATTTTATTATAATTTTAATTATTATTATTATTTTTAATTCCTTGCTTATTTATTTTATTATAGCTTTTGCTTTTTTATAGAAATTTTAAATATTCTTAAGACTTACTTAATAATATATTTATTAATTATATTTTTTTAATTATTAAAGTTTACTTTAATAATTAATATTAATATAGCTATTAAAGATTTAAATATTTTTATAAAATAAAAAATAAATTTATTTTTTCTTTTAATTATTATATTAAATATAATATATTAGCTTTATTAATTTTTACTTTTACTTTTTATAAAGCTTTTACTTTTATTTTTATTTTTTATAATATTTTTACTTTTAATATTTATGCCTTATATTTAATTATTTAATTAATTTATTTATAAGCCTTTTAAATTATTTTTAAATAAACTTTATTATTATTTTAATTATTTTAAATTAATTAATATACTTTAAGTTTTATTTATATTTATTATTAAGATAAGTAAATAAAAAAGATTTTTATATATATTAAGATAAGCATTCTTTATTAATTTTAAAATATTTTATAATATAATGCTTAAATTAAAGGCTTATTTAATTAAAGTTATATTTAATTAATTTTAAATTATTTAAAAATTTATATTTTATTATATATTAAATATTTAAAATTAAGTTATTAAATTAATTTATATTAAAGGTATTATTTTTTTTATATTCTTTTTATAATTAATAATAATCTTAATATATTATAATTTAAATAATTATTATTAAATAATATTCCTTTATAATAAAAGCTTATTTCTTATTTTAATTATTTTTATGCTATTAATTTTAATAAAGGGAATTAATATAAATATTTAAATAACTTTATTAATTTTATTAAGCTTTAATTAAATAATAAATATTTAAGTAATAATATTAATAATAGCTTTAAATATTTTATAATATATAATTTTAATTAAAAAAGCCTTAGCTTAGTTTTATATTTTTTAATTATTCTTTCCTTAATTCTCTTTAAAGTAGTTTTTAATAAACTTAATAATATATTATTTATAAAATACTTTATTAATTTATTTTAATCTTAATATAAACTTTTTATTAAAATCTTATATTTTATTTTTTAAAATAGTTATTAAATATTTATAAATAAGCATTTTAATATCCTTATTTATTTTATTCTTCTTATTTTTTAATATAAAATTATTTTATAATAAGTAATAATTCTTTATTTTATTAAAAATTATTATTATTTAATAATTAAATATATAAATAAGTATAATAATAAATTTATAATTCTTTATTAATTTATATTATTAATATTTTTTAAATAAAGTATAATTATAATATAAAGATTTTTTAAGTAAAAATATAATATTTTAAAAGTTAAAAAGCTATTAAGTTATAAGGATTATAATATACTAAGTTTTTAATTCTTTATATTTATAAAGCATTCCTTTTATATTAAAGAAATTAAAAATAAGGAAAGCTTAATATTATTTTATTAAATTTATTAATTTAATTAATTTTCTTAATTTAAAATAAAAATTAATACTTAAAAAATATTTTTATATTATTTTTATAAGTTTATTATTAAATGCTATTTATTTTATATTAAAGAATAATAATTAATTAAGGGTTTAAAATTATTAAATATTATTTAAGTAAACCTTATTTATAATAATTCTTATTTTAAAGGAATCTTTAAAAAAGTTAATATTTATTTCTTAAATAAAGTTTTATTAATTTTAAATATTTATAATATTTAAAAATTATAATACTTTGCTAAATAAGTTTTTAAAATTATTAAAGTAAGAAAGTTTTATAATTATTAGCATTAAATTATTCTTTTTTAAATTAATAAGCTTAATTATTAAAATTAAGGCATTAAGGTTTTAAGGTATTTTATAATATAAAGGTAATTAAGATTACTTTTTTACCTTATCTTTTTAATTAAAAAATATCTTAGCTTTTAATTATAAAGAAAAAAGGTAAAGAAAATAAATAATAAAGTAAAGAATAAGTAATAAAAGTTAAATAATAAAAAGAAAAGGTATAGTAATGAAAAGAACCTTATATTTTTAAGGATTATTATATAGGTAATTAAAATAAAGAGGATTAAAAATAAAAAAGAAATATAATTAATATTTAATTATAGCTTAAATTAGCTTTTATAAATAATTATTACCTATTCTTAAATAAGAATTAAGTAAGGGAAAAGATTAATATATTAAAAGTATATTATTATTAAAATAGCTAAGTAATAGCTAATCTTTAACCTTTAATTAATAATAATATAAAAGTAAAAAGAAAAAGAAGAAAAGAGAAAAAAAGAGGGCTTAGCT